CCTCATTGAATAAATATGTTTATATTTATATATAAATATATTACATTAAAAAAAAAAGGAAATGAATTTAAAAGTAGAGGTGTCGAGTTCTTTTTGTCGAGAAAGTATTAATTATTAAAAAAAAAAAATTCCTTGTGATAATATATATATATGTGAAAAAATGTATGTGCGTGTGTATTAGAAAAATTTGCACTCTAAAAAATAAGTACATTCGATTTTTTTTTTTCGGCAATAAACTCATTCTCACCTAGAGGGGAAAAAATACTATTATATAGATATTTTATTACCAAACTATTTTATTTATAAGGAACAATTATTTATTTTTTACGTATTTAGGCTGTTTTTTTTTTTGCACTGTACACGTATTTCTCTTTTATTCCTATATGAAATTAAAAAAAAAAAAATTGATAATCTGGTCCTATTACAAAAAATGGATACAAAGAGAAAAAATAAAAATAATAATACTGAATTATTCTAAACCGCTAAGTGAAAATGAGTCCCCTAGTTATTATTATTATTATTATTATTATTATTATTGTATAATACTTTTAGTTTTATGCGCATTAATTTTTCAAATTTTTATATTACTGCTTTTTTTTTCTTTCTCATTCAAAAAACATCAAAAGCGAGACTTATTATTTATACCTTGAAATCCTCTTTTTATCGATGGACGAAAACGTCTATAGATGTGTGTGTGTGTATACAACAGTAATTAATTTATCTCGAAGCGAAGGTACAATAGCGTTAATACACAATTTCGGATTTCTTACAATATCCAAATATATACCTATATAATACACAAATATATATATTTTTATATTTGTATATTATAATTTTCATTTTTTCTCTCAAAAAAAAAAAAAAAATTAATTAATTGAATCAGGGCTGAATTTTTAGGAAAATTCAATTAAAATAATTATTATATAAAATGAAATGTGGATAAATAAAATTTTAGTAGGTATTTAAAGATTTTTTAAATTGACAACCCTGAATCAATTTTATTAAATGCGATAACTCTCCAATTTTCAAAATTATGCTTTTTGGAAAAAAAAAAGTGCGCTAAAATGCTCAGTTGCACCTTTTTGAAAGTATGGAGAGTTTCGAGATTCTTAATTTTCTAGACAATCTAAAATTGATGATATATTTTGTTTTATATTTATATATATATATTTTTTTTTATATAAACGATATAAACAGTCAAGAAATAAATACTCGATTTTACGCAGATAATATTACAATATAATATATGATAATATGTATTTTTTTCGGGGCTCGCACGCATAATAGAGATCGAATTGGACTATATTGGCGTATATATATATATTTTTATATATTTATTATATATATTTTTTTTATTTTTTTTGTATATTGCACCACTTTTTCCATGATCGAGTTATTTTTATCTTAAAAATAATAACAAACTTTTTTTTCACATTCTATTTTAAAAAAAAGTGTCTTTGAAAACGAGTGATTTGATTACTTGTGCTCGTATTTTTTTGTTTTTTCAAATTTTCAACAAGTTTTTCATTTTTTTTTTTAAAAGATATTCTCAACTCGATACTGGACTTTTTTTTCTTTAACAGTAAATAAAGACTTTTGCTATTTTTTTTTTTTGTTTTTAACGGTAAAATACGAACGAACCCCATTTTTGTATCACAATAATAAATTAGACTCTCTCATCATTATATTGACCTGCGATCAAAATGACATGTACAATAAAAAATTTTTGTCATTTAATTTACACGCAGGCAAAAAATGACTCACAAACTGCAAACAAAATGCACTGGCCGGCAGCGAGGTTTTTTTCAAAAAAAAAAGAAAAAAAAAATTATACAAAAATCTTAAAAACGAAAATTCATTCCCAGAAAGACTCCATTTTATTTTGATTACTATTAAATTTTTTATTTATTAATTTAAATAAATAATTTATTATTTATTAAATAATTAAATAAAAATTAAAAACAAAATTAAATAACTATTATTCATTAGTTTTTTTTTCAATTTTCAAATCTAAAAATAAAAACGAAAATAAATTCTTCAAATAGTAGGTAATTATAAATTTTTCCAATTTTTCAACAAAAAAATATTATAATCATCAAAAATGGAAATTTTATTTTTCCCCAACAAAATAAAAATAAAACTTTTTCAATTAAATTTTAATAAATAAAATTTGATAGCTAAATTTAAGAAAATTTATTAATATTGAAAATCGAGTGAATAAAATTGGGAAAATATTTTTTTACGAGTCTCCTTTTCATCATTATCAATCACAAATTATTTTTTTTACCAACATAATAAGAGTTTTAATTATAATGACAATAATAATAATCGTGATTAAAAAAAAAAAAAAAAATATGATTCGACGGACTTTGTCACAATTTTAAATAAAATAAAAATTTTACTCTCACTCACATTTTTTTAACTCTCACTCAATATATCTCGTATAGGATATTGCACTCAATTTTACAATAATTTAAATAATTATAATATTTATATAAATATACTCGTGATTAATGTTTCGATTATTATTAAATGGTACTACACATTAATGTTTGTGAATTAGATGCGTATTTCAAAATTCGAATGATGCTCGGAAGAAAAAAAATCTGCGAGTAGATAATACATACATAATAACGATTATTTTTTCAAAACAATTTTTCCAAATTAATCGAAAAAAAACTGTAATTATTTTTTTTATAAATTTTTCATTTTTTGATAATTATTTCTTCAATTATTCAAAATTTTTTTTTTTAAATTAATTATTTATTTAAGAAATATTTTTTTCGAATTAATTTTAATCTTTTCTGATTTTATTGACAAAATAATAGTTATCGTTTATTTTTAAAAAAAATCTACTCGCAACATTTTTAATCTTTAAATTACAACAAGTGTAAATTAATTTTTTACATTTTATTTTTTTTCTGATAAATATCTCTCGGATCGTTTTATAATATATATTAATAATATATTTCGTCTCTGGCATACATTTTTCATATATATATATAAATTTTTCTCTGAATGCGCAGATTTTTTTTAAATTAATTATTTTTGAACATCAAAATTCTATTTACCTGTATACTAACAATTTATAAGTGTATACCTCTCTATCTTCTAGACACGAGTGCATAATAATAGCGACGTTAAACTACACGACGCATATATAATAATTATTGTATATAACATTCAACATAAATTTTCTTTTTTTCTTTATTATTATTAATTAATTAATTAGCTAAATAGAATTATTTAATTAGCGATACAAAAAAAATCACATCGATCAGAACAACGAATTGTACTAAGACAGGGTCAACAATTTTTTTTTTTTCGCAATTCCTACTTGACGTCGATCCTACCTAATTAAATATATATATATATTTTTTTTTTATACTTAAAAACGATCAATTAACTAAAAAAAATCGCTCACGATTTTTTTTTTCACGAAATATACAATTTTTCGCTACGTATCTTCGTGAACAGATTTTTTATAATTTCTTTAACAAAGAAAAAAAAAATTCTATAATTCCCTTTAAAAACGAAAATTCATTTTATAAAAAAAAGAAATCAATTTTTCTTTCTCTTTCTCATTTGTAAAAATAAATCGCAAAAAAAATATAATAAAAAAAAAATGGGAAAAAAAAGTCTTGGAACGACGGATTTTTTTTTTTTGTGCGACGAATGCACCGAGGACGGCGTGCCGATTTTCTTTCCGCAAAAGTTTGAAAACTATTTAAGTTGGAAAAAAAAATTTTTTTTTACGCTCGAATCGATGTGAGTATAAGGACGGCAACTGAGCGTCGCGTTTTTTTCTGTCTTTTTCCAATTGACAAAAAAAAAAAAAAACGCAGTGCGAATTCAAATATCGATTAAATATTGGTTTTTGAATAATTTCTCTTAATTTGTCTGAATTACGGAGATACGTACGACAAACGATTTTCATTGATTTTATACTCACTTAAATCAAATTATTACAGACGAAAGCATTTTTTCGTACAAAATTATTATTATTATTATTATTATTATAAGTTTTATTTTTATTATAATTTCTGTTTAATTTTTTTTAATTATCTATGTAAAAATTATTGCAAACTATTTATTTTTTAAAAAAATGATAACGAAAAATTTTTTCAATTATTATTAATTTATTTTTTAAATTCATAAAATAATAACAATTTATTATTATAAATATTTATTAATAATAGTAATATAATAATAAATAACAATATAGTAATAAATAAAAAAAACTAGTGGGAAAGAAAAAATTGTAAAACTTTGTAAAAATTACACAATGGAGAAATAAAATCTAAAAATATAGTAATAAATAATAAAATTAATATATTTTAAACACAAAATTTTTTCCAAAAATTTTTCATCATAAAACTTGTTGAGAAAAAAGAAAGAAATATTTCCTACGAAAAAATGATTTCGAATGCAATGAATTTTCAATGATTATATATATATATATGATAAGCCTAAAGAAATGGCTTCCTAACTAACAATGATAAATTTTTTTTTTTTTTTTTTTTAATGTAATTTCTCCACAATGTGTGTGATGATCTATACAATAGTATTAATATACTTAAACGTTAACTGGTATTTTTTTCCATTTCTTTTATTTTTCGAAAATTATGTTCTATCACCTGTTAGCTAAACATAGGCCGGACTAACCGTTTTTGTTTTTTTGTTTTTTTTTTTTTTTTTATTATTAACGTACGGTCGGTTGGTAAATATTATACGATTGTACGCATATCAACGAATTTACTGTTATTATATTATTTTTATTATTATAATTAATATTATAATTATTATTATGTAATTAAGCCTCCTGTGTCTCGCGAACGTCGGAATTCGACTTCTAATTTACTTTTGTCGAGACTGACTAGATTTTTCACGCTTATACGTTATTTTATTTATTTATTTATTTTTTTTTTTATATAAGTTATGGAGGCCATTGGCTTCTAAGCCGTCTGATATTAGGTAGGTACGCGAATGAGTCGAGTCCATTATTTTTTTTTTTTTTTTTTTGCTTTCTTTTTTGAGGACTCCGCAAAGGCAATGGAGATAATCACTGAGAGATAGAGAGTGAGTGAGAGAGACCATTAAGTCGAGTGAAATTTTTCTAAAAATCAACTTATCTCTCTAAAATATTTGGTTTTTTTTTTAAATCTACGTCACGACCAAAAAAAAAAAATCAGATCTCGTTGAAAAAAATCACAAATAAAAATTGATAAAAAAAAAGGAATTTTTACAAATTTATTCAAAAAAATTGCGCTTTTCCTTGAATTTTTCCAAAAAGAAAATATAGAAACACTAAATCTATTTAACGAAGAAAAATTTTCAGAAATATGTTTCTTAATATTTTTTTTTCTTTTTTTAATTGTATTTTTTTTTTGGATTCATGAAAATCCAAATTATTCTATGTGTATGAGAAAACTTATTTTAATCGACTAGACGGTTCTCTCGATGAACAGAAAAAAAAGAAAGAGCACCGAGAAGAGAAGAGGTACTATTATTATTATTTTCATCAATTTGAAAATATTTTTTTTTTGAGAAATTTACATACATATACTTTCAAACGCAGAAAGTATTTTTGCCAAAAAAAAAAAAATTATCGATTTTCAAAAATGATTCGAAATGAATTTTTTTTTAAATTATTATTCAATAATTGGGTTTTTATAATTTTTATTTATATTCTTTGGATTGAATTATAATTTTTTTTTTTTTCAATAAAAAATTCTTCGTGTCGAATCATTTTTGAATTTCTGTCAAGTCGAGAAAATTCGAAAGGCACAATCCCGAATTTCAAATTATTTGATTGAAATTTAAGGAAGACCTCGAATGACAGTTAAACTATGGACGCCTTTGAACACTAAATTAATATTTGAGAATAGCTAAATGACAACGATTCACGACATCGATTTTTTTTTTGTTTTTTTTGGTTTTTGTTTTGTTGCACTCGTAATATTTATTTCCACATTTTTTTTTTTTTTTTGACTCGTCACGTGTTTATACCATTTTTTGGGAGGAAGGGGATTTTTTTTTTTCATGCCACACGAGAGTCTTTGGGAAATATATATATATATATTTTTTTTTTTTTGAGACGTTTTGTACTACTATACGTTAATTTAATTTACAAAGACAAATCCCTTGTTAGAATAAAAATTTTTTTTTGAGATTTAAGCGAAATGAATCTTTTTGTCTTTAAATATGTGCTACTTTAATAGAAATATCAGGGACTCATTTCATTTTTTTTTTGTTAAATAATTAAATTTCCATATCGGAAAATTAGAAAAAAAAAAATTTGCTAAATTTGTAAGAAAAATGATTAAAAATATTTTTCTAATTGAAATAAATAATTATTATTTTAAATACACAATCCCTGAAATATTTTCTCGTGTTTTAAGGGCAAAAAGATTTTCCTCTCAAGAATATTCTTTCTCAAATAGAATATCTCGAATAATTCTTTCAATCTTAGGAATTATTCTAGAAATTAAAATTATTTTTTTTTGTATCTTATTTTCGACGTTTTTTTTTATTTTTTTAAGTAAATATGTGCGAACGTGCGCGAACGCCTCACTGGTAAGACTAGAAACTGAGATTTTTTTTTTTTTTTTAAATAATTAATGGAAGTGGAGTTTGTCTCTTATAATGTAATAACAAAAAATCGTTTGGTCAAAATCTGGACACTGGACGTCTCCGCACGTGCGCTGATTAACATTTGGTATTATAGTATTATAAGATTGCAATAAAAGCCATAATACATTTAACTAGAGACAACGCTTATAATATATAATTTTTTTTTTTTTTTTTGAATTAAATCAAAGGGAAGGTGCGACTTTTGTTTTAAAACAAATAATATGCAATCTTAAACACTAGATTTGAATTTAACCAAAACGGTTAATTGCCTCTTGATTATGCTTTATTTAGGCGTATGCTAAAATAATTTAAATATAATTGTTCTATATATATATATATATATATAATTTATATATAGATTCTCTGATAGAGACCACCTGTGGTCCTTGCGACGCTTTTTTTTAATATATATATAATAATATTAACTTCAGGTTTTTTCCATTTTTCAATCTTTCGAGAAAATTGTATCCTATTCTCACTGCGAAAGATTGGAATTAGCTCTTTCGAAAAAAAAAAAAAAAAAAAAAAAAAATTTGCGCGTTTATCGAAATTTCTAGTTTTAACTAGTCCTAAATTGTTTTTAATCTAACTTCGAATTACTCGAAGCATTTTTACACAGTTTTGACCCGTGTATGAAAATAAAAAGAAAAAATGCGAATCTGTAAGAAAGCGAATTTTCTTTTCAGAATTTTTTTTTTTTTTTTTGCGAGTTTCGTTGTAATCGCCCAGCGATTGACTGTCGCCTTTTTTTTTCTTTTCATTGAGTATTATCTAAGGACGCCACACTTCTCAGAAAAAAAAAACCAAATTAAATTAAATCCGATTTCACGACAGATTCGCAAAAATACTTTGAAAAAATCGCGTTTCAGGTATAAAATCTCTCGTTTTTCCTTCTAATGGTTTTTTTTTATATATCCAATTTTGTGCGAGAATTTGCACTATTTTTTTTTTTTATCTGTTTAATAATAACAATTGTATTTAACTCCTAAATTCTCATTGTAAACAACGAACAGGGAAACATTTTAGTTAAAGAAAAAAATGTTTTTTTTTCTTTCGCGAGACAAGTGTCACCTTGACGCGTTAAGGCTCCATCAGGTTTTTTTTTGAGATTTTTTTTTTTTTTTTTAACATATTCGATGGGCTTTGTTTTGTCGCGATAATATTAATTTTTCATTTTCTTTGATAATAATCAGAAAAAATTTTTAAATCTCACCTTTTTATGAATTATTTTGCTCCACAAGAAATGCTCGCGAATGAAATGAGCTTGATTTGGAGACAAAAGGCGATTATTTAATTTTTTCGTACCTTTTTTTTTGTTGAAAAAATCCTTTTCTTCTTTTCATTTTTAATTCCACAACGACGACGACGACGACGACAATTTATTGCGTCACAAATCTGGTTGGATTGAAGTCCTTATTCACGAATGAAAAACCTTTGAATTCTTCTTGATTTATACAAGGAACGATATCAGTATTAATTGGCGTTAATTCAGGTGTTTCTCTCGTAAATTCAGCATCAAAATTCACTGCGTCCTTCTTGCTTTTCTATAATTGGAAATTAAATTTTTATGAAATTACAATTTTTACGGAAAATAAAATAACTTACAATTTTTGGTCTAAATGGTGGTTTTAGTTTTCGCGCCTCAAGTGCTTCCCAATCCATATATTGAAAAAATGGATGAGTTCTTATTGCACTCTCGCCACCATTTGCCGTGACGCATCCCAATCGTTTAGCGGAATTTTTTGTCATAAATCCTTTTAATATTGATACAGCCTCTTTGGTAAGCCACACTGGATAAAGTACATCATCATGTAAAATTGATTCAAATAAATCATCCTCATTGTCAGCTTCAAATGGAGGTTGTCCAGCCATCATTTCATACATAAGTACACCCAATGCCCACCAATCGACACTCGCTCCATATTCAAGTTCTTGTAATATTTCCGGTGCAATATAATCGGGTGTACCACAAAATGTTGTTGTTGTTGCACCATCTTTAATTCCCTCTTTACACATTCCAAAATCTGCCAATTTACAATGACCCTCTTGATCCAATAAAATATTATCCAATTTTAAATCACGATAAATAACGCCATGCCTATGGAGAAATTGTAACGCTAACGTAACTTCAGCCGCATAAAAACGTGCTCGATTCTCTTCAAATTTTCTTGCTCTTTGAATTTGAAACATTAAATCACCTAAAAATAATAATTAATTTAAATAATTATAAAATAGTATGTTTTCAAAAATAATCAATTATTTACCTCCATTGACGTATTCCATAACAAATAAAAGTCTCTCTTTTGTTTGAAAACAACTATGTAGAGCAGTGAGAAATGGATGATTGGCAGCGAGTGCTAATATACGTTTTTCCGTCATTGTACAATCAACATCGTCATCTTGAATAATGACATCTTTTTTCAAAACTTTAACAGCATAAACCTCATCTGGATTACCCTTTTTTTCCGCTAACATTACTTTACCAAAACTACCTTTACCAAGTACTTTGATAAAATTAAAATCCGAAAGATTCACTTTTTTCATTTCACTCTCGCTACCTGATACTGAACCCTCAATTGGTGTTGTTGCATCTTTTGCTTTTTGTATCGATGACAATTGTGAATCAGGCGTTGACGATTCGCTACTTGAAATTGATGATTGTGCACCTGCACCTGGTTTATAAGTGATTTTCGGTGTTTTCACATGTTTATCAGCTGATATACCAATTGTACTGAGCACCTCGGCCATTGCTTTTGTATTAATTCCACAATTATTCGCCACATTTTTTTGACATCTCTTATGAACATTCATACTACAAACTGTAATGAAAAATTAAATTAAAAAAATTAAAAATCAAAAATTAATTCAATTAGAAAATAATTTAAAATAAAAAAAAGAATTTTTGTAAAAAAGAATTTTTGAAAAAAAAGAATTTACATTTTTAATCAAAATTACCTTCACATTGTAGTCCTTGCTTAATCAAACCATAAAGAAGTGATCCACAATGATCACAAAATGTGAAACGTTTGTAATTGTGAACAACAAATCGATGAGGAACGTCTATACTGAATCGAGCTCCTTGCGTACATTGGCTCGTCTGAAATTTAATTTTTTTTTAATAATTTTCTTCATTAATTATAAAATTACAATAAAAAAAAAATAATTTACCTCGTCTCTCATGCCAGGACATTTTGTTACCACTAAATTGTGGCATCTTTTATGAACAACACACGTACAAACTGGAACAAATTTAAATTTATTTAAAATCCCCATAATTAATCAACAAAAATACAATAAATATCATTTTAAGCAACAGTCACATGCATTGTAAGCGTATAAAAAACAAAATCCAAAAACAATGGTAATTAGTATACGATCCTTAATTGAAATTAAATGACAGTACAGCTGACAATGAAGAAAAACAAAAATTGGAACAAAAAAAAATAAAAGAATAATTAATAGACAAAAAAAACAACACATGAATTAATATAAAAAAAATACAAAGTAGAATACTTGAAATCAAAAAAATAAAAGGCGAACCTGCAATTATTTCCCCGAAAGGAGAAAGAAGAAGAAGAATACATGCAAAAATAAAAAAGTGAGCCAATTTGTTTTTTTTTAATCGCATCGTTTTTTTAAAACGAATTTTAACATTTTTGATAAAAGCAATAATTCTCGGACTTCCAGCAGAAGAAATCAGAAAAGCATTTATAAAGACACCAAGACGAGGGACAAATATATGTCTGAGATTCTCAGGCTTAAGAGTTCTGAGTAGTTGATAACTACCTGCGTGAAAAAAAAAAATGATATAATAATAAAAAGTATAATATAAAAAAAATAAATATACGCACAAAATGAAAATGCACACACAAAAATTGGTTCTGCAAGCGAGAACATTTATATATATATATATATATGTAATAACATATAATAATCGGTTAATAAACGTGATTTGTGTCTTTCTCACCTTGACACTGATAGCCCTGCTTGCCCAAGCCCCTGAAATACAACAGACAAAAAACACGTCACATCATCTCGGTGATAAACCCGCTTGGTTAAAAAAAGAAAAAAAACACACATTCGTAATTTATCCCTTTTCCGCCAATTAAAATCTTACATTAGCTTATAAATAGAGAAAGAGAGAAATAGATCTATGGCGAACTCTTAAGATAGAGAAAAAGGCGATAGAGGGTAAAAAAAATTTTTTTTTTATTTATTCTTAAACTAAAGAAAATTTTCTCTTGCCAATAATTTAATTTTTTTTCATCACTAATTTAATCATAAAATTTCTAGAATAATATCCCAAATTATAATAAAAATTTTATCAATTATTTCACATAGAAATCATGATTTTTAAAAAAAAGTTTTTCAAAAATTCATTGTGTTTCTTTAATTATTTAAAATCTAAAATAAATTTTTTAATAATCGTTCTCGGCCTATTTATAAACAAAAAAAATTTGTATTAAATTTATTTCAAAATAAAAATATAATTTCAAATAAATTTATGAAGTTTATTATTAAATAATTCTATTTTCAAATTAAAGTTTTTAAAATAAGTTTTATTTTTAATTAACTTTATTTTGATTTAAATTGCTTAAAATTCAATTTGTTCGGGATAGAATAAACTCCCAATTGAACAAATAATAATTTAAAAAAAACTTTTAATTTTTGAAAATAAATTGTAAATTGAACATAATAGTTATATTAATCCTATTATTTTTTTTTTATTTTTTTTTTAAATTTCTTTTATTAATTATTGAATGAATTTCTTGTACCGAATTTATTTATAAATTCACATAATTATTAAATAAATATAATATTAGCAAAATTTGACGAAAATTATTCTCAACACACTGCTTGAATAGTAAATGGCAATCCTAATTTTGAAATAAGCTCTTCCATGAAACAGATAATTCCGCAATATTACACAATTCATAATCTGACTCATCATAACGTGTGTGAAAACCCACTTTTTTTTTTTTAGTCATTTAAAGAATCTTATAAAGATTTTAATACTCATTAGCTCGTGTTCTAAAGGCAGAAAGCATGCAACGTTCTAGAAAACTGATTATAACGGCAGTTAATTATAATAATATACCCGCTTTAAAGAATTTGTGAATATATGTAAACGAAATGAGTCACACATGCAACCTGAGAATAAAATCCAAAACCCCCACAAGGATTCGATATATAAAAATCATCTTAAGATCAAGAGAAAATTTTTTCAACAGTGAATAAAATTTTCAAGAAAAGAAAAAAAGAATTTTGATTTATATATTGAATCCAGCATGCAGTATAATTTTTTTTTTTTTTTGTTTCTTTTGTTAATTATATAATATATTTTTTTTTCATTCCGAACCTGTAAAAGTGACTAGTTTTTTTTTTTAATTCCACGAAAAATTGCACCAATCCCAAAAGATAGCGTGAGAAAAAAAAATTAAAAAAAAAAAAAAAAAAGAATGAAATACATACCATATAAATTCGCGGCAGTGAGAGCAGAATGTTGGCTGTCTAAGAAAAGTGGCCATAAACTTATGACCATTGACTTGATGAACTCTTCGTCGCATTGCACCTCGACGACGATTAAAACCCTGACGTTCCTTAAATTCACGTCGTGGCTCTTTTCCGCTAACTGTCCCGCCAACGACACCACTTCCAATACCATCTCCGTCGCCTGCAACGCATCCTGGCTGTTGACCTTTAAAATTTTCATTAAAATATTAATATTTCCCCCTAAAAGAATAAATAATAGCTTCTTTTTTTTTTTTAAAGAATTCTCTGTTTTGAAGAAAAATTTATAGTTAAATTTTTTAATTACATTTTGTAATTATAATAATTAATAAAAAATTATAATTATATTTTTTAATGCAATAAATTCTTTATTTTTTTATTGCAATAATTAAAAAGCAAAGCAAATTTATTTAAAAAGTTAATATAAAAAATTAATTATTTTATAATAAAATTAAAATCTTAAAAATTGAAATTATACCTTGATTATTCCGCTGTAAATCTATCTTAATTCGCAGCTTCCCTTGAGGTTCTAAGTCGACCTAAAACAGAATATATATCATTAGAAAAATAATTCTTGTCTATTTTATATATTTTTTAAAAATTTATTAATTAAATAAATTTATAGAAGCAAAATATTGCTATTCAATAATTAAATTAGTTTTAATTTAATAATTATTATCTATTTCGAATTAACATAATTAAATTTATTTAAACTTTTACTTATGAATTATTATTTAGTTAATTATAAATTTTTTAATTTAATTATTATATTGAATTCTTTTTTTTGAATAACATTCATCTTTTATATTCTAAAATTATAAATTATTAATTTAAATTAACTTTTCTAAATTATAAATTAGATAATTAATAATTTTATTTTAATTAAATATAAATATTTTCATCCTCACTAAAGGTATTGGATGTGCTATTGAAATTTTTCCAAGAGTTTCCTGTTGTATTTTAATCAACCTACGAAAGCATATTGCTAACGCATAATTTCTATGTGTTTGAAACATATTTTCACAAAAATTCAAAAATTCTTTTCACCTATTTCACGTATAACGAAATAAAATAAAATTGAAAATATAATTAAATTCGCCTTATAATGAACTCTAGAAGTTTCAATTTTTCTTATTTTTTTTTTTTTTTTTGGAATAATAAGTTAACAAATTAACACTCTTTGCTAATCACTGAATACAATCTCGAGAATAGCTTTTTTTTCCCCAGTTTGTTTTCATAATCTTATCTCTTGTTAAAGTGTCGTCAAGAATTGCGTGTTTTATCGTCTTAAAAATTATTATACGCAGGACTGTGAACCTGTGAATCATATTTTTGACAGAAAACTTAAAAAAAATTTGATTGATTTTTCATCAGTGAAATCGTAAAAAAAAAGTGAAATAAATTTAAATATTAGAAAAATCAGGTAAGTTTATTATAAAAAAATTAATTTAATTTTTAATCTAAAATTGAGATATAAAAAAAAAATTGAATAAAATTTTTCAATTTAACTAATTAAAATTAATTTTTCAAGTCCATAGTGAAAAACAAATTATGTATTATTTCACGTGACTTATGTAACAATAGTAAAATAATTATTACACTACATTTGTGATTATTGTTGTTATATTCAGAAGTGAAACAATTAACAAAAAGGAGGCCAGAAGGAACTTGTTTCATTTGAATTTTAAATAAAAAAAAAAAACTAATTAAACTTCAATGGGTGCTCATTATTGACTTTAGAAGCATGGCAAAGTACATTTTTTGAGAAATAAATGTGTGTGTCAACATATTATAAGGAAAATGAAACTACAACTAATATAGGAAAATAATCATCTCAACTAAAATTATGATGCTGAAGTAATCTTACACGTGAGTAGAATCTAATTTTAGTTCACAAGCCACTTATATATTTCACTACAGGGATGAACTGTAGGAAAAATTGTTTTACTTTTGGTGCAAAAATTTATAATTGAAGACTATACTTAAAAAAAAACTATTCCGAGATAAAATTGAGAAATTTCAAGCTAATTAATTTATTATTCACATTCAAATTTTCAAAATTAATCAAAACATGGTAATTGAATATTAGATTTATAATTTGTAATTATAAGTTCAATATTTATTTAATTTTACCAGTTACCTAATTAATAATTAATAATTAATAATTAATTTGATAACTTTACTAGTTCTCTAATTAATAATTTTATTATAATTTCAAAACAAAAATTCGATAATTTTTCTATATCAGAATTTTCTACATCCTGCATTGTTTATTAACTTCCTTATATTGATACTGAATTTCCTGTTTCAGAAAAAAAAAAAAATTTGCAAAAAGAAAAAAGAATTGAAAAAAGAAAATTAAAATAGTATAGGCAAAAAAAAACTGCAATGCGCACCCAAAAATCAGCAGTTGAATCATCCCTTTGAAGAAGTTCCTCGAATGGAATGCAACAGTTAGCCACAAAATCATCGGGAGGCAGGGCAGCATTGTGGAAGACGGTGAGATTTAACATCATCGCATCCTGGACATCGTGTGTAAAACTTTCATTCCAAATTGGATCAAATGTTTTTGGCTTTGTGGAAGAACGATCCAATGGATTTTCATCGACATCCATTGATACATAGGGATCAAGAATTGGCGATTCGTCCTGCCAAAATTTTCTTTGCTTATCAGTTGCCCTAAGACCAGAGGCCTCACAAATTTCCACTTTTATCTTTCCGGTGAACATTTTCTTTTCAAGAAATATATTTACAAAATCCGTATATGATACGACAATATATATATATATCTATATGTATTGATATATATGAAGACTAGATGTCGTGTCCTGTTCCGATATATATATACTCTTTCCAGAGAAATTTGCTTAATATTGGAAATTGATGATATTGAAAATTGTAATTAATCAGTCATGGTGACTTTTTTTTTTTTTTTTTTTTCTTTTTTGAGGCGAATATCGTTTATTCCTTTACCGCCACTTGTCACCAAGTACGTAGTTATAAACACCTCCACTTTTCACCTCAGGTTTACACATAATCGAGGCAAAAACGGAAGTAATAGAGACTCATTCAAGAAACAGGGGCAAATAATGATGAGAATATCGAATGAACGGTGAATAAAACTTTTTGATATTTAGGACTTCTTAATAATAAGCTGGAGTCCCCTTGGCGAGCTGTCCTGACAGCCATAGGTCGCGGCTTCACCCAAAAAAAAAAATATATATATATCTATATATGCACACACAATTTTTCTTTCGGGTATAACAAATTTTTATATTATTTCTTTGCAAGAAAATAAAAATTTCGAGTCTATTTTAAAGATAAATTAATAACGATTGCCCACTCTATTTCGTGTATTTCCGTTTCCTTGTTATTATAATTCTCTTTTTTTCTCTCTCTCTCTCTTTCTCTTTCTTAAAATCCAACAAAATCGTTCAATTTGGTCGTCGCTGCTCTCGTCGGTCGTCGCGACACACAGAGGTAATTCCGCGCATACGTACAAGGATGATGTCGAGTCCATGACTTCGGTTTCTTTTCGGTGTTGATCGACCATCTCCGGAGAAACAATATCATCATCATCATCAGATTGCCTATGGAGCCGGCAATTAAATTTTTTTATAGAAATACCCTAGTAATTTATATCGTCCTGGATAAGAAAATTTCAAATTCAAATAAAATATTTCCAAAAAGTATAATATTTTAATAAATATATGAATATAATTATTTTATTTTTTAATTCAAAAACGGCGTTTTTGTTAATTTCTTAATTATTATTAAGTTATTCATAAAAAAAAAATTTTTAAATAATAAATAATAATAAATAATATATAATAATAATATAATAATATATAATAATAAATAATAATAATAATAATAATTTATTTAATTATAGAACCCTTTTCAAAAATCTTGTAACTAATTATATTAATAAATGAGAAATATTTTTCAATAAAACAAAAAATAATTAAAAAGTAATTAATAAATTATTTACCTTATTTAAAATTTATTTATATAGAACTGTTTTCGTAGACTTTTTTAATTATTAATTTAATAATTTCTAAATGTAAAAAATAAAGCGGCGGTAATTCACATAAACGCAACTGTCAAAATTTTTTAGGTTATATGTCAAAAAATGTTTTACATTTATTTTTCTTCGCACAATTTCCATAAAACTTTTCCCCTTTTTTTTTGGTTTATTTATTTATTTATTTAGAAAAAAAATATGTATAATTAACTTTTTATGATTACAAATATAATAATAACGTAAAATAAATCTTTCTTTTCTCTGACGCAATTTGCAATGATCCGCAATGCCAACATAACGAAACTTTTTTTCACTACTTACCAAATGTGAAAAAAAAAATTCCCTTTTTCTTTGGACAAAATAATATACATGTTGCCATGGCAACCTGTCAAAACAAATCTGACAGCTTTCGTTCTAAAAGTAAATAAATAAGAAGTAAAACTATATATGACAAATTTATTTTTAAAAAATGAGATTTAAAATTTCATTGCAAGAGAGAAAAGATAATATAAAATTAGTGACTTGTGTTGCATGGAGTTCTACAGACGAAATCTATTCCTGCGGGTTTGTATTATTTTTTATTTAATTTAAAAATAGAAACACTAAAAATTTTTGCAATTTTAAAAAAAAAGCGAGGATCATCAATTAATATGTTGGCGCTTGGAAAGTGGAATGTTAAATTCATCTGTAATTGCTGAATTTCCTACTGATTTTTATCCAACTGATATGCAATATTATCCACGACCATCGCAAACAACAATTTCATCATCAAAAAAACAATCGTTGGATGTTCTTTTGATAACAACAACCGACGGTAAAAAAAAATGAATATATTATAGAAAACTAATTTTGTTTTTCTTACTAATTTAATTTTTTTTTTAAGGAAAATTTTATTTAATAAGCAAAAGTGGACGAATTGAAAAAAGTGTTTCTGCTCATGTTGGTGCAACTCTTGTTGGAAAATGGAGTTATGATGGTTCAGCATTTTTTACAGGTATTTAAAAAGAAAATAAATTAAATGTTTTTTTTTATATTAATATTTAATTAATATTTAATTATATTTATAATATAATTATTTAAGTAATAAAAATATTATTTAAATCAGCTGGTGAGGATGGACTTATTAAAATATGGTCACGTAGTGGAATGTTAAGATCAACATTAGTTAGAGGAACATTGCCAATTATGACAGCAGCATGGAGTCCAAATTCTTCTCTAATTCTCTATTCACAAGGAGTCAATCTTATTTTACAATCACTTAGTTCAAATTCAAAACCACAAAAGGTTTGGAAATTATTATATAATAATAAAATGCTTGGTCTGTCCTTCTGTCCTAACTTGAAGTTGGCATTTTCTGATTTCACGTGTTTTTTTTTAATAGTAATCTTATGACGTGTGAAATTTTGACAATTCTTTTTCTCATTTTTGCCAAAGTTGTATAATTGTGTTTCCAAATTTCGGAATAAGTTTCTTTAAAATTCCAAATTCCAAAATTCAATTCACGAAGCTGAAGTACACACCGTTTATTAACGAAATTTTTTTTAAAGTTGTATATTGATTCAAAAATTCTATACAAATACAAAAAATTTATGAGGAGAAAAAAGATGCGCCAGGAAATTTCGTACAAAATAGTAATTTGAAAAAAATTTATTTTTAAGGTACCAGGGGCCAACGAATACCTATTAAATATTAATTATAAAAAAAACGGGCCTCGAATCAACTTAAAGACACAAAAAAGTCGTTTTAGTCGATTTATATTCCAAAAAAAAGTGGATTTGTTTTTTATTTTAACAAAAATATTCTACAGTTTTTGAAATAAAAAATTTTTTTTTAATAATAATCCTTTTCAAAGGGTTAAAGTTGAAATTTTTAGTAATAATTAAATTTCAAAAGATATTGTTAATTTTCAAACAATTATTAATTTTTACAGAACTAAAAATAATTTATCAAACAATTTTTGGAAAACATTTTTTAAATTTAATTGAATTTTCAAAGATTTAAAATTGAGATTTTTGAAATTAATTGAAACTTTAAGTGATTTTTAATTAAAATTTTAGATCATTTCACTAAAAATTTATTAGAAAATGTGGACAAAATACAATAATTTGAAAATCATTTTTAATTGAAAAATGGTTTCAGATAGTTGAATTTTCAAAGAATATTATTAAAATAGTTAAAAATAATTGAATTTTTTTAGAGTTATAATTGAAATTATCAAATTTCAAAAAAAAAAATTTTCGATGGAAAATTTTAGAAATAATTAAATTTTAGATGCTTTTAAATTCAAATTATTGAAAATTCAATTAATTTTGAATTCAAATTTTTGAGAATAATTAAATTTTATTTGATTTTAAATTTGAAAAATAATTGAATTTCAGTTCATTTTGAATTGAAAATTTTGGGAAATAATTAAATTTGAATTGAAATATTGGATAATAATTGAATTTAAGTTCATTTTTGATTGAAAATTTGGATAATTAATTTTGAATAGAAATTTTAGAAAATAATTGAATTTTATTTCATTTTAAATTGAAAACTTGGTAAATAATTAAATTTTAAATTGAAAATTTTGGATAATTATTGGATTTTTCATTGATTTTGAATTAAAATTTCGGGTAATAATTGAATTTTAGTTTATTTTGAATTGAAATTTTTAAAAAATAATTCAATTTTATTGTGATATTTTTTTTTCAAAATTATAAACAATTGTTAAATTTCATAAAAATTTTAATAGAAAAATAATTTTGATATAATTGAATTTGTGATGTATTTCATTAAAATTATTTAAAATAATTAATTTAGTGAAGAATCATTTTAGTTCAAAATTTGTTAAATAATTGAATTGAAGAAGATCTGAAGAAGATCTACATTTTATACTAAAAAAATGTATTTTATTTACATTTTTTTTCAAATGTAAAAAAAAAATGTCGCATTTTATTAAAATAAGTCGATAAAAAGTCGTACTTTTGAAAAAAGTCTGAAAAAGTCGTATAATCCGAGGCCTGTAAACATATAATTTTCATTATTATCATTTAATATGTAATAATATTCTAATAAATTAAATTATTATTATTAATATTAATCTTTAATTTCTTTATAACAAATAATTAAATACTCAATTTGGCGCGCTTGCGCGCGTTTAATTTTGCTAGTAATTAAAATATTTTCTTTCTTTTCTTTTATTTAATAAAATATTTTATTTATAAAAAAAAAATGTTAAAGAAATATATATTTAATTTTTTCTAGTGGTTAGCTCACGATGGTTTAATACTTTCATTGTCATGGAATCAGTGTAATGATCTTATTGTCACAGGTGGTGAAGATTGCCGATACAAAGTGAGTCAGTTACTATTCTTTTTTTTTATAATTTGTAATTTTTATTGATAATTTTTTTTTTTTCATAAAAAAAAAAGGTTTGGGATTCTTCAGGAAATCAACTTTACAGCAGTAGTGTTAACGAATATCCAATAACTTCTGTTAATTGGTGCAATTCTGGAAATTATTTTTCAATTGGATTTTTCAATACTGTTAAACTTTGCGACAGAACTGGAGTAATTATTAATATTTATATTATTAAATTTTTTTGTCTGCTTTAAAATAATTTACTAATAAAATAATAATTTTTCAGTGGTCTCATTCAATGGAAAAATTGAATATTGGCAGTGTTTTTAGTATTGCATGGTCCAGTGATGGTACACAAGTGGCAATGGCCTGTGGAAGAGGAATTGTTCTCACGGCACATATAATTGATAGGTATTTTTTTTTTTTTTAATTTTCTTATTTTCGGAACAATTTTTTTTCTAATTTAATTTAAAAAAAAAAATTTTGTTTAGAAAATTAGAGTGGAATAATTTTGAGGCAACGCTTATCAGAAGAAAAGCAATAGAAATCAAAGAAATAGGCACTGAATGTCAAGAAATTTTAGAAATAGCCGATAGAGTTGTACAATTGGAATTTGGATTTGATTATTTAGTTGTTATTACACCAAATCAATGTCATATTTATTCGACATTAAATTGGAATACACCAGCGATATTTGATTTAAGAAGTGGCTCTGTATCAACAGTTCTTCTTGCTGAAAAGTATTTAGAAAAATAATTTTATTACTATGATAAAAATAATAATAGATTAAAAAAAAAAAATTTATTTTGAATTTTTGCCTTTTTTTACTAAATTTCTTTTCTTTTTTGCACAGACATTTTCTCTTAGTTGAATGGAACGTTATAACTCTTTACAATTATCAAGGACGTTCTTTAGGCACTCCAAAATGGAAAGGAATGACACAAGAATTGTTACATCCTTTAAGCATTTCTTTATGTTCTGATACATTAGTTGTCAGGGATCAAAGCAGTGAAAAATGTGGGTAATTATACAAAAATTACATAAAAAAAAAAATAATATAGAAAGTAATATCGATTTGATGATGATTTTCATTTGAGGGGAAACAAAATTAAATTAATTCGAAATTTAATTTTCTTTAATTATTTACTTTTTTTCAATAGTATTGCACGTGATGGATATTTCATATGCGAAACCAATATCAGAACTTCAGTCATACGTTCATTTGGAAAATGTTAGACAACTTGCTTTAAATCACGTTGGTGGGATAAATAATCGTCAATTGGGAATTATTGATATTAATAGAGATTTGTATCTCGTCTCCATTAGATCCACAGGATTTGGCCGTGTTTGTAAAATTGGTATAAATTTATTTATTTTTTAAATTAATAAATTCTTTATTTCTAAACATAATTTTTAAATAATAATATTTTTTCAGCTGTAATGGCTCAGAGTATTGTTTGGGCAAGTGATGCCGATGTTTTAGTTGCAATGTTGGACGCAACATTGTCCGTTTGGCTTTGTCCAAATTGCGTTCATTATAGTGATCGAAAAGCTATTAAAAAAACGAGAATAGATAAAGAAAACAGGTTAATAATTTCAAATTTTGTTTTTTTACTTTACTTTTTTTTTTAATTTTAATTTATTTATTTGTATTTAATAGCGAATATGGAAAGCAACCGAGTATTGTGAGAGTACAAAATGGAATGGTCACTGTGAGACGTGGTGATGGTGCATTAGTTGTTTCTTCATTTTATACATTCTTCACTAATTTACATAGACATATTTTACAAAATCGTTGGTCAGAAGGACTTTCACTTTGTCGAATTGCACAGGTAATTTCTTTTATTTTTTTTAAATTTGATATTTCCATTCTTGAAGAAACATTTTTCTATTTTAGAATGAAATTTTATGGACTTGCATGGCAGTTATGGCAATTGATAACAAGGAATTAACAGTTGCTGAAGAAGCTTGTGCTGCTATTGGCAGATATGACAAAGTTGAATTCATTCAATACATTAAGGTATTATCAATTATATTTTTTTAATTTTTAATTAAATTTTTTTTTTTATTCTAATAAATTAATTTATAATCTAGAGCTTGTCGAAAAAATCCGAACTATTGGCAGAAACAGCTCTTCTTGCAGGCGATTTATTGGCAGCTGAAGGAATATTATTGCAAAATGGTTTAGTGAATGAAGCGATTCGTATCAATATTCAAATTTACAATTGGAATAGGTAAATTATTTTTTTACAAATAAATTATATTATTTATATATGTATTTTATTATTTTCTAGAGCGCTTGAACTTGCGATAAAACATAAAAAACAATTGACGGAAATTTTGAAAGCAAGAGAAAATTATCTTCAATTATTGGATAAACAAGAAACAAATCAAAGTTATCTTGCTGTAATGTCAAATATTTCAAAAACAAATACAAAGGTATTTTATTTTTTTTTAATAATTTTATTTTTTGAAGACTAAAATTAATTTCTTTATGTATTAATTTTTTGTTTTCCTTTTTTATTGTCTCTATAGGAAAACTTGAGCAAAATAAAAGACTTGGATGAAATTGAAAAAAGTCAAAATAGTGAATCGATTGAGTGATTAGATTCATTGAATTGTAAATATGTATAATACAAAAACTTAATATTTTAAAGAAAGAAAAAATATAATACTGTAATTGAAATCACTATAATAGAAATCTTAGAAGAATCCATAAAATAATCACAATTGGCGTAAACACAGTGGCAATCAAAGCAAATCTTTTTGAATTCCATTCTAATGTTTTTTGCGGCAATCTATAGCGTGATATAAAAGCATTCTAGAAAAATAGAAGAAAAATAGACGAGGTAAATATTTGTTATTTTTTAATTTGAAAATTATAAAATAGAATTTTTTTTTACCCATCCACCACTTGTTTCAATCCAAATAGCAAGATCTTTTTCAACAATATTTGCAACAACTTTATGTATTATTGGTAAAAATTCTGGCTTTCCCTGTCTTACACAATCAACAGAAATACCACCAGCAACAGCATAAATTGCAATTATTTTACTCCATGTAATATCATGACGAATTATTTCACGTGAAATATGTGTCATTATATTACCAACTGAATTATCAGAAAAACATCCGCATCCAATTTGTCTTCCAATTTTAATATAAAGATTTGGATTTTCTTTTTCTAATTCAATTCCAATTGCAATAAGCACTGGACATGCTTCCTTAACAATTGTTATATCCGGCAACATTGTTGAACTTCTCATTCGTTTTAAACCCAATTTACGATGATAAATTCCTGATCGTTTTAATCGATTTCGAATGTATTGTGCACACAAAGCGGAACTCTATAAAAAAATTAAGATTTTTATACTAAATTAAAAATCAACAAAAAAAAATTTAATTTATTTTCTATTGATTTATGTTTTCTAATTAATTTTAATTATTTTCTATATAATAGTATAATTAAAATTTTATTATAGAATTAAATTTTTAAAAGGGGTTTCGAAATTTTTTATTTGGAAATCACTGGTCGTTAATTTTGATAAATATGAATAATTAATGAGGAATTTAATTAAATTTTACTATTTAATTTGATATTTTTCTATTCTTAAATATCAAATTTCTTCAATTATTAAGGAAATAATATATTAATTATTAGAAAATGTAAAAAAATTAAATACTTGTGAAACTGTCTCTTCAACAGGAGCAAAAATTGGCTTCCAACCAATAGTACGAGATAATTTTCTCGAAAAAACATCGCCCACATTACTCAATCTTCGACGTGCAAATTCCATAACATCAGGATTTGATGAACCTCCAAATGTTACGTGATTTGCATGAAGATTTGCTGCGAGACTATTTCTTCTTCGTCCTCGTGTTCCATTAATATTTCCATGAAATGAATGTAATGAATCCTCAAAATTTTTCAAATTCGTAATTGCCCTTGACATTTTTAATTTTTCAAATTAATAAATAGAAAAAATTGTTGCCTGCAATAAAAGGAAAAAAAAAATAAAATTTTTCAATTAATTACAATAATAATTAAAATTAGTAATATTAATTAAATTTATTATAATTGAGGACAAAATTGTCTAAAATATGTAAATTATTTTTCACAATTGATAGATATTCTGACAAGTACTTAACATATGAGTAAATCGCCTTAAGAATACTTAATAAAATGATGGCCCTGAATTTATAAACAAAAAAAAGGGGGTCGCCTGATAAAGAATAATATATGGAAACTATTTTTGAACCGTTGTCAAATTTCAATTTAATAAAATTAGATATTTCATTTTATTTTTCCAACTTTTGGGAAAAATTGTTTCTAGTTAAAAAATTCTCAAAGTTCAAAAAAAAGTGGTATTTTGTTTTTTTTCCTGAAAAATTGAATTTATTTTTCAATTATAAATTTGTAAAAAAAAATTAGCTAAAGAATATCTTTTTTTTTTAAATTTGTTGATAAATTACATTTTTTGATGACAATTTTCACTTACCTTTTAATTAAAATTGTAATATGATGAGAAAATTAATTTAGTTTGAAGTTTATTAATTTTTTTTTTGTTCGTTTTAACACAACACAATACACGACTGATACACGTTCGCGGCGGCATTCGAATCACTCGTTTTGTCGACTCCAACTGACAAGAAAAATATATAATGAAGTCCGTTTTCTCGCATTATATTATTTACGTGCCTTTCTGTCTTATTCTCAACAGATGACAGACATCCTTAAGTCATCGTACGTGCCATTATTAAACAAATAAATAAAACATGATCAGTTATCTATAAAACAGAATGTGTATAAATTATACGCAAATATTTATAACTAATTATAACTAGAGAAAAAATTTATTTTTAAATTACAAAAAACGAAAATTAACTTTTTTTTTTACAATTTTCCAAAACTAAAGGGAAAATTATATTGTTAAAAAATGTATGAATTTTTTCTCTAATCAATGGCATAATTAAAAAAAAAAAGAAAAAAAAAATTGACAAGTGTTCATTATAAAGAATTTTTACTGTTTGATGGTGAAAACGTGTATTTAATTTCTCACACGAGAATTATGTAATCTAGATAAAAAAAAAAAATAAAAATAAATAAAACTAGAAAAGTAGTACACTTGTCACAGCCTTGAAATATAATTTTATGAATTATTTGTGTATATTATAAACTTGTGGGAAAAAAATTTATATTTTAACTATTTTTTCCATATGAATTGTAATTGAATCAAAAAAAAAAAAAAATTGTAAATTAAAAGAAACGAAATATGCTTTCCTTTAACAAGAATTCTATTTAATTGCAATTAATTTTTTTTTTTTACGACAACGACGATGATATGGTAATTTATAGCAACAACTTTCAATTGGAAAACGTTAATAATTTTGTCTTATACACGGAAAGCGTAGTAACATTCCATTATAATTATTTTTAGTATTTTTTTTCTTTTATAGTACAGATTACAATCTTTGAGATTATCTTTAGGCAACACACATTCGCGCTTATGAAAAAAAAAATTTCATTCTCAATAATAATAATAATAATAATAATAATAATAATAATAATATAATAATAATACTTTCAATTTTTAACTAATTTATACATTTTTTTGTGTTTATATATATATATATATATATATATATATATAATATATAGCTGATAAATGTTTTACACATAATAACCTGCTGTTCCATTCATTCCATCACATTCAAAATTTCAAGGAGCTTAAGAAGCACCAGGAGAAAAAATTTCTCATCAACTTTATAATAATATATAAAATAATCAAATATATATATATATTGAATAGATATATTTTATACACTTATTTTATAAATGAATTTCTTTACTCAATTTATACAATATAAAATTATTCTCATTAAATATTTTGTAATTTAAACAATTTTTTGTTTTGTGAGTTTATATTAATTTTTTTTTTATTATTATATATTTATATAAATAAATAACATTAAACTAACTAAATAAATAATTTAATATCGTTTTTTCTTATATAACAACTCAAAGTATATACCAACTTATAATATATATATATATAATTCTTTTAACAAAGGCATTTTAAATGCTTAATAGAAAATATTTATCCTAGTAATTGTTTTTTTTTTTTATTTATTAATTGTATAGTACTATTGTGATAATATTTTATATTAAATAATACTATACTATCAAATTATATAAAAAAAAGAAAAGAAAAAATAATGACAATTTTTTTCCCTCGGCTCCTTGAAATTTAATTGTATTAGAATTTTATACGCTATGGGTTGTCATTATAACAGTGCCCTGCGCTTGTCATGACGCTTTGATTTCTATTCTATACAACACTCGATCTAAATATTTATCTAAATATACAGTTTTTGACAATAATATTATTTATAATAATATTTGTAATAATAATAATAATAATAATAATATTAATAATAATAATGATAATATTTATAATAATAATAATAATAATAATAATAATAATAATAATAATAATGATAATATTTATAATAATAATAATATTAATAATAAATACGAATATGATGTTGCAATGTGCAGTATTTTTACGATGATTTATAAATCGAGCAACCAACGTCTTACTAAGGAGAAAATGTCAACAATATTTCAAAATTACTTTTTTTTTCTTTATATTTTTTGTGATTTATTCTCTCCTTTTTCAGACTTAATTCTCATATCAATGTGTCAAAAAATTTTATCGTTGAAAATTAATAAGAGAAAAAAAAAAGTTACATATCTAATTCACATATTTAAATCTCTATTTCGATATCAGTTTTCATTTTTTTTTTTAGACGGAAATTTTTTTTTGATAAACTTGTTTTTTTTTTCTAAATAATATATTAAAAATTTAACGACAAATCAAATAATAGAAAATTAGCATTTAAATTAGAATCTATATAGCTTTTTAAATTAGTTTTATGAAACAAAATATTAGCTTTCAGAATCAAAAGCTGCAAAATAAGAATAAATTAACTAAACTTTTTAATAATTGACTTTATAAGCTTCATGATAAGCTTGGATTTATGAATATTATACAATATATTTTATTATAGTGCCTGAATTTTCATTTTTTTTTTCTCGATTTTATTCTACTTTTTGTTTATTTATTAGGCCCATTTATAGTTTTTGTGCACAGATTTCGATGAATTTCTTTTGTTTTTTTTTTTACAAAAGTTTTTGTAAAAATTAATTATAATAATTTGAGATCATATTACAACTTTAAATATCAAAATTAGAGCACTTATAAAAGCATGAATGTTAAAAAATTAAAACAAATAAAATTGAAAAATAGAAAATTACATTATTAATAAATAATGAAATATTTTTTTTTCTCTCTGTGCAAATTAAAAAAAAAAAAAAAAAACAAAAATAGTTTAATGCGCTTAGATTAACAGATTAATTTACATATTCATTATTATATCCTATTTATGAGGGAGATAGGACACAGCAGGGAAGAACTATATCGATCGCAGGTAGAGAAAATCACATTAAATGCTATGACTGTACAACAAAATATAAATAATATTATAATAGTAATGAATTAAAAAAAAAAATTTGTTTCCTATTTCACAAGAATTTTTTTTTTTTTTTGTCAAGTTTTTCATTTGTTACACCTTTTAAAAAATTAATGACTTTTTCTTTCATATCAAAATATTCACGAATAAAAACAAATTCAAATTAAAAAACAATAATTAGAAAAAATTATTTTCAATTAATTAAATTATTGAATTTTATAATAAAAAAGCCTTGTACCGTATACAAGGACCTTTTGTCATTATAAAATTAATTTTAGAAAAAACGGTTTTAACAAAAAGCAAATATTTAATTATTTTAGTTAATTAAAAAAAAAAATCTTCACTTTTAAAAAAAAAACCTTAAATCAGTGAATAATTAAAAAAAAAAATTAACCAATAATTATTGTCTTCATTTACTGTTAAATTGTAACTCACATATCAATGAAATCTTGTAAAAATTTTAACCAAATACTTATTACAAATCTCTTAATTCTTACATATTCAGTTCGAGAAAAGTAACTGATTCAAATTTAAAGATGAAAAAAAAATAATTAAAAATAGCTAATGAATAAAAAAATGAAAGCTAAATAAAAAAAAAAAAAAAAATTAGGACAAAACTTGTTAATTATTTGTCTTTATATATATTATATATAATACAAGTAATAATATTGTATATAGGTTCACTATTCGGAAAGTATCTAGTCAAATGATTGCTGATTGATATGCATGGTACTCGTTAAAGAGTAAAAATATTGAATCATCGAATCAATCGCAGCGCCTTGTCGTATTCATATTATTATTTTTCTTTTTTTTTCATTTTGCTATAAACTATATAGAATCTAATGGCATAATTGTACCAAATATTATTTTGTACATTTGTCGAGTGTGCCTCGACACAAGGTGCATATATAATAATGCGCTCGACGATAATAAGCGTTAATCGATGCGAGTCAAAAGAAAAAAAAAAAATTAAAAAAAAAAAAACTTACAAGAGAAAATTTACTTTTCTCGATTTATCTAAATGGGTCCAGCCATCACATACAAATGACAAATACAAGATAAACAAACAAAAATTGATCGATAAAAGCAAGTCTATATTTATAAGGAAAAAAAAAAAAAACATTTTTCTTTGGTCGTTAATGAAGGAAAAAAAAGCTGCACACTCTAAATTTGAATCAGTGAAAATTAAACGTGAATTATTTAATTATTTTTTTAATTTCAATATAACGAATATCAAATTTTAATTCAATTAATAAACAGTTTCGATTAACTGATTTTTTTCAGGATGCTGTATTCCATAAAATTCATTTCATATTGAAATTTATAAAATGTCGAATTTCTATTTAGCTAAATTTTGATAATGTAGAATTTTTCAATCAATCAAATTTTCATATATAATCGAATTTTATTTATATTCAATAGAATTTTCATTTTATTTTAATAACAATAAAAATTCTATTTCAATGGAAATTTAGATCAGTAGAGAATGAAAATTTTAATTTTGAATAAAAATTCAATTAAATTTTGATTTAAAATAAAAAAGAACATTCGAAGCACTGCAAATAAATTTTATGGAATATTTAGCAATTATTTTAACAAATAAATTTTAATATTAACTGTTATTTTTTTTTTTTAATCTTAAATAAATGAGTGACTGCCTTTTTTGCTTAATTAAAAATCACATATACATGCGGGTTAGATTAGAAAGAAAACAAAAATATTTTTTTAATTGACCACAAAAGACGCACGACAGCAAAAAGACAAATAAGTCGACAAATAGATTTCTGTGATCACGAGAATTGTTCTTTTTTTTTTTTTTTACTTAAATCTTTCAATGCAGCATTAACGCTGTCAATCACAATATATATTGTTGAACCATGTCTAATATTTCTATAGTATTAAATAATTTTTATATTAATTAAAATTCAATACTTAATCTTTCATATTCTCTATATGTATATAATATGTACAAGAATCGGGCGTTATATTAGTTAATAAAAAAAAAAAAAAGGAAAAAAGAAAGCAAACTTGAATTAAAATTTAAAGCTAGAGGAGTAACAAAGCTAAATGTTACGAAACAAAACATTTATACAAATATTGACAGGGGGGAGGGGGGGGCGATTCTCAATAGATCGGATAAATCTTTAAATAAATATATACATGATAATTTCTGGTCCGATTAACTTAAGTAATTCTCATGTGAATTGTTTCTTTTTTTTTTTTTTTGTCTTTTTTACTATATAAACTTCGATTATTGTCAAAATTTTGTCACTGCGTTTACATCGCCTAGTTTATGTTTTTTTTTTTTTTCACATAATGAAAAAATTTATTTATAGAAAATAATCTAGGCCCTTTTTTATATAGCAAATTCTTCTTTCCTTTTTTTGTTATTGTTGAGAAAAATTTATATTTATATGTATATCTGAATAAGGCATGAAATAGATTTTTTTTTTTTTGAGAAACAAAATGAAAAGAATAAATTAACAAGACAAAAAAAAGTTTTGTTTTGAGTAAAACCGGTTTTTTTCTGATGGAGAGAAATCTAGCATATTAATCCGTATGTGTGCTTTTCAATTAATTTTTGTTTTCTAACACATACACACACATATTTGAATGAGTCTTGGAGTCGTTGAACGCACGACAATATATAAAATTCTACATGGCAGTTGGAATCACATACCTATTTTTAACAAATGTCAGCATTTTTTTTTTATTAAGCACCGGAGAATCCATAGACTTCCAATACTCGAATCTCAAAGTCACCGCTCGCACACAATGGAGGATTATTGAATGTTGAGCAATGATCGGTTTTGCCAAACCTTATATTCTCATCCATCCAAATTGCTTGTCCGTCACTGAAATCAAATTAATTTATATAAACGAAATTTTTATTTTTAAAAAAGAAAAGCTGTCTGTTTAAATAAGAGGTTGAAAAAAAAAATTATTCACCCTCCTCCAATTGTAATCATTTTTGCATCGGCAGCCATAAACAATTCTGCTGAATGATGTACACGCGAATCATTATGAGATGAATCCATTCCAATCCAAGGATATTTTGCTCGTTCTGGATATAAACTGAAAAGGAATGTTTCTCCCGTACCAAAATAAGCTTGCCTTTGTCCTTTGTCATCTTTTAAATTTCTCTCACACCATCTTGTCGAGCAATAAGCTCCAAAAACCTTCGAAAAAAAAAAATATTTTAATAAACATATTTTTTTTTTGGTACTATTGAAAAAAAAAATCTCCTACCTCATTATTGCATGTTTTAATCATAAGAAGAGTTGGTTCATGTTGTTCAACTCGAACATAAAATGTTGTAAGCGAACATCCATGTTCTTCAGTGGTGTAGAGTAATAATGGTTGATACATTGTAATCCTCACAGGTAACCACGACCAGAGTGTAAATAACTGTCAAAAAAAGAAAAAAATAAAATTATTTAAAATTTAGAATTTAATTCACTATTTTTAATTTTTAACATCGATTATTATTTCTCTTTTAACAATGCTTAGAAAAAAAAAACATAACAATTTACATTGACAAAAATCATGCGTAATTAAAAAAATTTATTTCAATTTAACTGTTATTAATTAATAATCACCTAATGAAAAAAGAAATATTTTTTTATAATTACTTGTCAATTATTGAAATTTAATAAAAGTTCTATCAATAAACTGTATACAAATTCAGTTTAGAATTAAATATACTTAAAAAAATTATTAAATTAATAATTATTAATTACAAATATATAATTAATAATTATTAATTTTATTCGCTTGATAATAGTAAACAATAAATAAATATATTCAAAGTCATTCCTCATGCAAATTGCAAATTAAAAATGCCAAAATGCAGTGAATAAAAAATAAATCAAAGAGAAAGGGAAATGAATTTGCGATGAAAAGGAAGTAGATTTTTTTTTTTTGACAATTATTTTGTAATGATTAAATAACAATTATTTTCACATATAATTATGAGAAAAAAAAAGAGAGAGGAACAATGAAAAAAGCAAGAGTAGTGCAAAATTATAATAGCATTCTGGGTAAAAAATACAATTTTTTTTTTTTTGAAATCTCATTATTATTAATAAAATAAGCCAATCAAATTCTACGTTAATAATTATACTAACTATACCAAAAACTACCTAATTCCTAAAATTAAAGAATCCTTATCCTATTCACCGAAAAAGAAAAACTTCCAGAAAAAAGTTTAGTTATAAACAATTTTATAAAAAGTCAGTCTAAAAAATATTAAATTCGAAAATAACGAATTACGAAATATAATTAATCGACAAATAAATATGATAAGCAAAAAAAAAAAAAAAACGACAGTAGCATTAGTTTCTTATTTTTATAATCTGTGAAGAAACGTTCTTTTTTTTCTAAAAGAAAAATATAGCCAAGATAAAACAAAAAAGAAACTATTTTCATAGGCTGAGCAAAAATAATCATGCCACAATTATCACGAACGACCTACAAATATATCCATTTTATTTATTTCTTTTTTTTATATATATATGTATATATAAATAAATAAATAAATATTTATACTGATTACAATCCACCGTATGTACTTACATCAGGCATATCTAGAATTTGAGACCGAATACTTTGTATGGGATAAACACCCATTGAGAGAGCACGGGGTCCAGGACTGTGTGCACCCTACACCGATCACCATTTTAAATCCGTCATCATTCCAGAAACGCAGCAAAACACAAGACAACACGGAGTCGTCAATAATAACAATAGCATGCTCTTTTTTTCAAAAAAAAAATATTTGCCATCTTATTAAAAAAAAACCTTTTATATAAGCTTTTTTTTCGAAAATTTATAATTAACCGACTTATAATATTAATTCGAGAAAAATTCACAAGATATTTTTTTTTTTTTTAGTGGAAGAATAGAAAGTAGAAGGGGAGTGACTTATAAAAATAATTAGTTTCGCAAAGCGAATTTTTTTTTTATTATTCCTGTTTATCAGTGGAAAATAATAATTAGAAGATAAAATATAAAAAATAAAGACAAAAAAAAAGATTTCAAATGGAAAATCGCTGGAGAAACTAATCTATCAACATTGGAATATTTTCCACCTTTATAAATTAATAACGAATCGTATATTCGTTGCAAAAAAAAATATATATTTCGTTTCATTCATAAATTACGGATTGATATTTGTGTAAATAAATTACATGTACAATAAAAATATTTGTAAAAAGAAGCTGGCAAAATAATTCATTGATTTAAGCTCATCTTTAATAGAAGAAAAAATAATATAATTTTTTAAATAACACAAAAGAAATTTAAACACTGTACATAACATAAACGTGCAAATGTTTAATAAAATTTTGAAAAAAAAATCCACTCTTACTTTTTCAGAAAATTTTTCTATTAGAGAATAATTTTTTTTTTTTAAATATTTTAAAGAATGAGAGCGAAAAAATTCAAAATTACATTTAGAAAAAAAAAAGGAAAAGTTATGGAACATAAATATTAAGAAATATTTCTTAGTTTCCATTAAAAAAAAAAAAATAGAAATCAAATCGTCTGAATGATGACGATGAAAACGCAAACAATTAAAAGCCATTAGCGTCTTTTTTTTGCGTTTACATAATTGCCTTTAAAACACTGCAAAATCAAATCACTCAAAAAAATAGAAAAAAAAATAAATAAATAAAAGTGAAAGAGAAAAAGAAAATAGCGGCAATCGCATATGAATACAATCATGATAACAGGAACAAAGCTTGTCGCCAGTGTCACAAAAAAAAAAAATTAATGAATTATATATATAATATATAATGTGAGTGTTCTGATTTAAAAAAAAAAAAAAAAAAAAAATTTCAGGGAGAAAAAGGGTAGCACATGAAACGAACGGCACATCTTCCAAAAATATAATCATACAATACCCTGTCTTTGTACGTGTCTTCACATTCTTTCTGAAAACAAATTTGAATCATTTGAAAATATTATCGGCACATTGAGCCTTTTATTCTTTTGCGCACACTTTTTTTTTTTTTTACTTTTCTTTTTTGCCGTCAATAATGTGCCTTTTTGTAATTCCAAAAAAAAAAAAAAGAAATCCAGAATTATTTTATAGAAAAAAAAACAAATTTTTTTTTCTAAATTGTCTCTGGATCTCCAAGTTCTAAAATATACGAGATGCGAGTTATCATGCCTCTTTTTTTATTTTATCATCAGAAAAAAAAAAGATTTTCCTTTATTTTTCTGAAATATATTCGTGTTAGTTGTTTAATACATCAAAGAGTACTATACGAATCATGCACAAAATTAATTACTTTATCAAATGCTTTTCTTTCAAAAAGAAAGAAAAAAAAATTATTTCTATAAATTTTATATTCTTAAATTAACTAGTTGTATTTTATTCTGAGTAGTAAGAGAAAAAAACCCGTATTAAAAAAAAAATTGTTTTGTTCGCTTACTTCTCATTCTTCCTTTTAATAATAATTAATTATCTCACACTGGACACACATGACATATCTAAAACACTACTACAATTTATACAAATGCAATTATATTGACCCTACACCATTTGTTATATTAGTCACATATTTCCCATCACCCGCGATTTTTATAAACGACATTGTATCAAAAAATACAATTTTCTATAAATTAATATAATTGAAAACAAGAAATAACAAACTACAAAAAATAATTGAGAATTAAAAATTAATAAAACTAGATAGATTAATATAAAAAAAAACTAAGAGAAAAAAGAAACAAAAAAAGTAATTTTCATATTTTTCGTAATAAAAATATAAAAATTACCTTTTTTATTGTCTCTAATTCTTTATACATTTTTCCTGTAAATAATTTTAGTAGACTGTTAAAAATCTGTATTAAGAAATTTTGAAAAGCCGGATTAAAAGATTATTAAAAAAAAAAAAACAAATTCTCTGGTATCTGAAATTTTTTTTGTTCTTTTTCTATTAAATGAGTTTTTACTCACCTCTCTTATGGTCAGTGTATGAGACATCATTTGTATGTTGACTTGCGATTGACTCGTGGGTAAATTATCAGTAGATCGCGACCTGGCCAATGATCTTGAGCCAATTAATACATTTCGACTTTTCAATGCCATTTCTGTTCGTAAAAATACTCTTGATATGTATGCCGAACTTAATCCTCGAATTCCAAATGCAGTACGCAAAAATTTGGCTGGAGTTACCTTTTTCAAAAATTGAAATTTACTTAATTTATTTTTAAAAAAAATTTTTTCATTTAAAAAAAAAATAAAATTTCTTACCGGCATTTGTCGACAAAATTTTGAAAGAGCCGCATCTACACCATTTTTTGTTATTTCAGCCATCCATTCGGAGTTTTGTGTATTGGAGTGCTTATAAAATAATAATATTATCGCCATAGCTACCCTATAGAAGACCTACAAAAAAAATACGAAAAAAAAAAAGAAATTAGTAACAAATTTTAATTAATTAATCTTTTTCATTAAAATATCTCACTTTAATGCCTTCATGGAGAAAACAGTCCATAACTCTGACTAGATGTTGGAAAGGGAGCAACTGCAAAATCCACCAGATCCAATCCATGTAGATTCTCTCTGCTCTTGATCCTGAGCAATTTCTCGTTAAGTGTGCCGCTGCCGATTTCTACGAAAATGCAAAAATTTAATTTCGAATTCTAATTCACGTATGACAAATATTTATTTTTTAATACTTTTTTTTTACAATAATCTAAGAATTTGTCGAAAAAATAATAAATAAATAATTAAAAGAGAAAATAAATAAAATGAGAATTTAGTATTCTTACCACGTGCTTTTTAGTAATCTGTTCGACCGTTTTCCAAGTGACTTCGTACAATAATTTCGTTTGTGTGATAAACATTTTTTCTTTCGCTGCTACTAAACTGGCCATGCAGTGATAACATTGCTCCTCTGTCAATGAATAATTTCAATAAAATAATTAAAAAATAAAAATAAATCATTTAAATTGATAGTCAATTTTTCAAAACAAAAAAAAATTACATAATTCTGGTTTTTATGTTTATAAAATTACAAATATTTCCCTGACATTCTCTCAACATTTTTCCGAACAAAATTTAAATTATATTAACAAAATAGAAATTAAGGAAAATAATAATATAAGAAAATTTGTGTACCTGGCATAAAGTGTAAAAGAAGTGCAGTAATGGGGTACAAAGATGGACTGTAAGTAATATCAGGACACGCATATCCTAATACAGATACAATCCTATCTGCCACACTTCTGCCCTTCCTAGTTAAGTTATAAGAAAGACAATGCGTGCTATCAACAAATGGCGGTAACATAATCGACATTTCCGGCAGCTCTGAAAGAAAAAAAAAAAAAAAAAAAATTAATAGGAAATAAATGATAAATTTTTTTTTATTTATAAAAATAAATGATTTTACCTGTCGTTCCTAAAACTTGGCTCACCATATCCCAATAAAATCCATCCATCATACTTTTTCCAAGTGCATGTTGATTACAAAGTGCAGGCCATAGTTGTGCTCTGATTCCATTATTGAGTGGCCATGCATTTTCACGTAGTATAAGTTTAATTTCTCGCTTTCTGCTTGCTTGAAGTAAATTATTAACTTCATTAAATGTTTTGAGCGTTTGTTTTTTACTTGTTGGCGATTCAGGTTGAATAATAATATTCGTTGTATCAACGTGGGGTGGGAATACCTCGTCGATATCAACATTTGTTTCCTCCTCAAGTACAGACAACATATTCGATAAATTGTCAATAGGTGATGAAGATTGTGTGACCAACATGGCCAAAAAAATCATCTATGGCACTAAATTATTATCCATTTTGTTGTTTAATTTTCATATTTCAAATTCCTTCACGTTATTTCCTTTGATGATGTTTCGTTTTTCATCTACAAAAAAAAAATAAATCATCAAATTTTCTTTAAATATTAATTTTTTTAAATTGAAAAATTTTTAGAAAAAAAAAAAAAATTCACATCTGGTTAAATTAATCAAGTCTGTTACAAGTTGTAAACAATCTTAAAAAGACACTGGCCTCACAGCATGCTTTCTCGCAGGAAAAAGAGAGAATCTTATAACATTGGCTATGATAAAAATAAACTTTTATAATGAAGATAGTAATATGCCGAGGCGATTAATAGCATTGTTTCAATATACACAAATCTCAATACTAAATCAAACGAATCTCTTATAATAACTATTGTTTATTCATAACCGCACTATATAAAATATTATTAATACGAATTAAATCCTCCAGAAATAGAAAAGAATATCTTTTTTTTGTTTTAATTTTTAATTTTTTAATTTAAAAAAAAAAAAATGATTTTCCTTCTAAGAATTTTTTTTTCATTTATTATTAGAATCTAAAAAAATGCACTTATTGCATGTGATACATATATAGAAGTATAAAATGATTTGTACAAGATAAATATTATCGTCCAGAAGAACTAGTTAAACCACTCGATGGTGTAAATATATCTTTGAAAGAAGTTAATGCACAAGTGAGATTATAAACTATGGAAAATTAAATCTTCAAATACACTAAAATTTATAAGAATTTTACTCAAATTATTACGAAATGTATATATATATATATATCAAAAATTAAAAGAAGACAATTATTAACTTTGTTTACATACAAACGTCAAATGAAATATATTAAGAGAGAAATGAGAGTATATTTTTCCCGTCTATATTATTTATTTGTACACAATTTTGATTAAATTGAATGTATAGAAAAGAAATTTTATTTACTACTAAAGTCTAGCATTAGGTCTTTAGTTGATACTGAACATGGCACTATTCCAAATCACATGATAGTGTGCACGTATACAGTGCATTACAGAATATTTTTCACATTATACCAGCAATTTCATACTAATTTTGCAATTTCACAATATTTTCAAAAAAAAAAGTTATTCATATTCAACAGCAAAAAAAAGTATATTTTTTAATAACTCATTTTTTAAAAATTAAATCTATCAAAGAAAACTGATAATTACTGTTTTAATTATTCTAATTAAAATAAAAGGAATTTAAACTCATAAATTGATTTTTTTTTTTTTAATTGAATTTATTTTTTTCAATAAAAAATTTAATTATTTTTCAATTATTTTCTAGAAAAAATTAAATCTATATTTAGACAAACTATTAATTAATCTATGGACAATTATTTCTGTAAATTATTATTATTATTATGCTAATTAACAATCAAAAGAGACGATAGAAAAAATATTCCCTAAAAATAATTAAGAAAATTAGTAAAGAAAAATCCATTATTGTTACGAATAGTAAATCTCTTTATAAAACACAATCATAATAGATTTTAATCTTTATCTGTGGTAAACAAACTTTGTTATAAGATAAAAGCTTAAAGTCATAAAATAATATATAAATCGTAAATATTTCACATCACGGTGGAATAAAAAAGAAATTTCAATTAAAAAAATTTTTTCCCTTGTATTAATTTTTTATTATTTAGTGGAGGAGAAAAAAAACTTTTACTATTTTATAAAATTATTTTTGCTATTTAAAATAAAATTGAAATTTAATAGCTAATTATTCTTACAAAAATGACATCAATTTTGGCAAATTTTTTTTTTTTAATCACTTTAATCGATTCTTAAAATATTTTATTTAAAAAAAAAAACGAGCTAACGTTAATTGATTTTTCGTCGAAAGATATATCAAAAACTTAACTGGGTGGAGTCAATACTAATTTTAAGACTGTTTTAATGATTTTAAACAAAATAATACTTTTTTAATAAAAAAAAAAATCTTATTCTAGACAATAATAGAAAAAAATGAAACAAATGCTTAATAATTTAGTGGTACTTACCGCAAATGAAGTACTAATTCACAATTATAGTATATATCACTAGACATTCCCGTTTTGAACATTGATGGCCGAAGCAAAAGTATATTATCACTACGCATGTAACATTCGGGATCACACGGAAATATTACGTATACAATTTAACGTTGGAAATTGTCTGTCACACGATTCAAGTTAAAAACAATTTGTCTACAATGGACGAAAGTCTATTCAACTCTTTTCTCACTGTTCTTGTTTATTATCATCTCTTTTTTTTCAACAAAATAACACTGTATAGATATATATATATATATAGATATATATATATATACTGCAATTTTATATCCTTCACTTTGTAACTTTTCACCTTCTAAATTGTCTTTTTCACTTTTATAATATTTTAATTTTTTTTAAATTATTTCTTTAGATTTATAAAAGTCACACAATCCATTTTTTTTTCATCATGTTAAATAAAACATACTAACGCTAGCAAAACTATATACACTTCATCAAGGGTGTATTTATAAATTGTTCGTGCCTTTATTATTTCACTGCGATTTTAAAAAAAAACAATTCAACTTAATTGTGAAGAATTACACGATATTTGATTGTTATATTGAAAAAATCACACTTAATGTCACCTGTCACATAAATAATTGTTGCAACAAAAGGAATATATAAATCAAATTTCATAATGCAAAAAGGGAGCAGACGACATTTATAAAAAAAAATTGTTGCTACAGCACATTTAAGGTTTCATCACAATTTTATTTTTAACAGGGTTATGAAACAAGGTAGATGATCCGAAATGTGAAATTTTTAAATACAAATATACTAGCTTCTCATTGGTGGAATTATGGAATATAATTGTCCAAAAAAAAAGAATGTGAATCAGCCTTTAAATCATTGAGCATTTTTGTCCATATAACACAGTTGTATATCGTATATAGTTTATGGCAAATAACGGTTGTAAATTTTGTGGGTTCCGGCTAAGAAATTAATGTGATAATTAATGGAATTGTTGTGCTATTTAAAAATATGGCAATTTTAAACCGCTACAATGACTAGTGTGACAAGAAACATTCAATTACGGGAATTTTGTCTTTTATCTGCCCATCGAACCTTAAAAAACAACCGGTGTCTATCGAGATTTAAGGCGTTGTCATTTACATTTTCTACATCAAAAAAGTGAATATAATTATTCAGAAAAAAAATGTAAATAATTATAATTTAAATAATAGAACGTTTGAAAATTAATTTTTAATCGTCGTTGAGGAATTTATTTGGTTAAAAAAAAAAGTGAGTGAAAGAAAGAGAGACAACAACGTCATGAATGAACGAAACATTATTGAATATACTCCAAGTTTTGTCAGCTGATTAACAGAGAAAAAAAATGACATGTGAGTCACTTGTTCTTATTCAGTGTTCCTTGAGAAGCCGGATCGTTCGTTGATCGTTTGAACCGGTTTTTTATTAAATAAACAAAAAAAAAACCTGCTGGGCGGGAAAAGTGTGAAAAAATTTGTTAGAAGCGAAAAAAAAAAAAAAAAAAAATGGGAAATAAATGCAGTTGTTGTGCATATTCAAGTCCACAACTTGGTCGAAAAGATTTAGGTGGCGATGGTGTTGGTCGTGGTTTAGAGGAACATCTTCCTGATGGTGATATTAGTGTCAATAATCTTCAACATATTAGTGAACGAGAGCCGGAAGTTTGGAATTCCGATCCGTCTTTGCATCCCTGTGCTGGCACCATATTTCTTGAAAGATCCAAACAATCCATTGAAAGTAAACATATTTTTTTTTTTTTATTTTTAAAATCACTTTTTCTCTTTTAATAAATAAATTAACAAGTAATAGTATTCTTTTAAATTATATTCAAAGGCGTTTTATTGATAAAATATTAAAATATAATATTGTTTAGTATTTTCTTAAAGACAGAACATTTTTTTTTTAATTATAAATATAAAACAGTTCATGTTAGCATTGATCTCTATACAACGTTCCAAAGTCTACTTTTATTATAATCTCGGAAAAAAAATCGCAGATTTTAAATATTTGATTATAATCTATTTTAAACACTTGAATTCTGAAGTATATTATTGTTATTTTTATTATTAATATTATTTTAATTAATCATTGCTTTTGTTTTTCATTATTATTGTTTCATCATTAAAATAATAAAATATAATTTTATTTCAAATTTACAGATGGAATGGTAAGAAAAAAGAGTCAACATCAAATTGCTGATATAAGACCATTAAAAAAAAGTAGTAGCTGTAGTACTATTTATTTAGACGATAGTACTGTATCTCAACCAAATTTAAAAAATACTGTTAAATGCGTCGCATTGGCAATATATTATCATATTAAAAATAGAACATCACAGCGTCAAATTGAAATATTTGATGAAAAATTACATCCTCTTACGGTAGGATTTTTACTATTATTTAATAATAATAATAATAATTTTTTCTTAATTTTTGTATTATTTAAATGTAATTATTTTTTAATTGAAATTTTTTAAATGAACAGCTAATTAAATTAATTAAGAAATGAATTTAATTAAAATAGATTTTTTTTTTAAATTAATATTGAATAATTTATTTCTATAGAGAGACGGTGTTGCTGATGATTATGATAAACACAATCCGGAACATAAGCAAATTTATAAATTTGTGAGAACTCTTTTTAATGCGGCACAATTAACAGCTGAATGTGCTATTATAACATTAGTGTATCTCGAACGTTTGCTCACTTATGCGGAAATTGATATAACGCCCGCTAATTGGAAACGAATTGTTCTTGGTGCTATTTTACTAGCTTCAAAAGTATGGGACGATCAGGCTGTGTGGAATGTTGACTATTGTCAAATACTTAAGGACATTACTGTCGAAGATATGTGAGTACATTCAAATTTTTCTTTTCACTATTTAAAAATTCATTATTCTTTATTCAATTTAGTACAGGAAATTAATATTTGCAAAGAAGACACTTGACAACAGATTTTTTCGCTAATTTTTTATTTTATTCATTAAAATTGAATAAAATGGTTTTTTAAAAATTATAATTGAAATTATATTTTTAAAAAAATTGAATCTAATGGATTTATTTTTTTTTTAGGAACGAATTAGAAAGACAATTTTTGGAAATGCTTCAATTCAATATTAATGTTCCTTCCAGTGTGTACGCCAAATATTATTTCGATCTCAGGACACTTGCCGAGGCAAATTCATTGGCTTCGGATTTTTCTTTACCATTGAGTAAAGAAAAAGCCCAAAAACTCGAGGCAATGTCGCGTGTTTATGAAGATAAAATTGCCGCTGAATTTTTACGTAATGGTATTAAAAAATGGTCGAGCCTCGATAATATTTGTTTAGCACCACGTCGAAGTATTGCCATTCTTTCGTAAATTTACAAAAAAAAAAAAAAAAATTGCAATTGAAAAGAAATTAAGAATCTTATTAACATTTTTTCGCGAAAGATGGTTCTTTTTTTCTTGATTATTAAAAAAAAAAAAAAACCAGTGTAATTTATTAAATTTATCTTTTTTTTTAAGTGCTTTGCAAGAAAAGAGAATATAGATTTTTTTTTTGTTTGTTTTTTGGAAAAGTAAAAATTAATTTACTGATATAGAGGGAAGATTTTTTTTAAATCAAAATTTGGCCCAAATTTAGTAATTCAAATAGAAAAATGTGCTAGAACAATTTGGGATCAATTTTTTTAGCTTTGTTGTGCACTATTTTAATTTTGAGAATATTTTTTTTTATAATTTTTTTTTTCCGCCTCCTGTGATGTTCTTTTTACTGCATTTGTTCCACTAATTTTACTTTTAGTCTCTTTTTTAGAGAATGTATTTTTTTTTGTATACACATTTCATTTCGAAGCTTAATTACCGCATATTTTTTTATGTTTTTTTTTCGAGATTTAAAGCTCTTTGAAAAGGCTTTTTATAAAGAAAACGTTAACAAAGAGCTTGTAAATTTGATTTAAAAAGTTTGCTATGTAAACTGACTGATTAGATATTTTGTAAAGCAGAAGGGAAAAAAAAAAAACTTTTATCTTAGTGGGGGGAAAAAATTGGAGATTTTTTTTTCATTATTAAATTAATAATTTCAAAATTTCTAATTGTCCAGTGAAATGATTTTTATTTTATTTTTGTGTATTCGAGAATGAATGTAACGAATCAAAAAGTATATAGTACAAAGAGAATTGAAAACAATAGGAATGCGCCAAGGTTGTTTTTTTTGGCTTGCACCATTATTTTGCTCAATGTTTTTCTTTTTTTTTCGAAAAAAGAAACCGCTTTTTGAGATTTTAAGCGACAAAATTTTTTTTACTCATAACTAAAATTCTCGAGAGGTAAAATTTCTTTTTTCTGCAAATTAATTTACAATTTAATTAAAATTGTTATTAAATTGTAATTTTTTTTTTTGGAAAAATAATTGAAATATTTCAAATATAATTGTGAATTTCAATTAATGAAATTATTTATAAATGGAAATTCAGAACTCTAGGAAAAAAAAAAGATGAAGCTTCCTATTTTTAGATTTACTTAGATGCATTTTAAATACTTAAGCTTAATATTAAAATTAAGTCTTTAGCTTGTAAAAAAAAAAAACTTGCGTGAAAAAAAAGGAAATCATAACCGTCGTGCAATTTGACATATCTGCGAAATGAAAATTCATCAAACTATTATTGTAATGTAATTTTTCCATTTTCGGCCTCGAGAAAATATAATTCAATATTGTTCCTTTATATTTTTAATTTGCCAAGAATGCGCATAAACTATTTTTATATAAACTCAATGAAACTGAATAGAAGAAAATTTTTTGCGTCCTTGCGCAAATAAAATATTGTAAGTATAGTGCGAATCTCGATGTTTTAATACTTCGTATAATATGGCTTATTTTTCTTTTTGTTCTTTAAATTATTAGCTTAAAAACTCGAACAAAAAAAAAAAAGAAAAAAAACGCGTATATTGTAATAAAATAACAGCAATTTCAATCTTCCATCCTGATAACCAACAAAGTTATATAATTTTTTTTTTGCTCTAACATATGTACATGGCCAAATGCGAAATAATAATTAAGGATAGTTAAAAGAAAAAGGAAAAAAAAAATAGTTGTGATAAATTGTTAAGATTATTCGACGATAAGTGATTAGCATTTTGGGACGTTCGATTTATTCGGAAATTCTAATTTTTTCCCTTGTATTCAAAAGTATTTGAAATCAATTTTTTTTATTAATATTATTATTATTTCTTTTTATTATTATTTTATAATAAGTAATAATAATTATCAAATAAGAATTTATCGAGAAAATCAAGCGTCCCCAATAATTTTCTATTCGTGTCGCTATTACTCGAATGCTTCGCGTTTAGAAAGACTGCGATAGTCTCGATTCCATCCGCATAAAAAAAAAAATTGTAATTTTTTTGATGGATTATCTTTGCCAGAGATATTGATCCAACAAAAAAACAATTTTTTTTAAAAATTTTTTTGTAAATATGTGTTTTTTTTTTTTAAACTATACCAATGAATTGTTACAAGCCCTTTCACTTGTATTGTCTTATGCTTTATTAAAGATAGACTTTTTAAAAAATATATATACATATTATATATATATATATAGGTATAAAATATCGTAGAGCATAAAAAAAAAACCGTCTAGAACATTTTGTACAGACTTTTTTAGATATACTTAACTGTGACTTGTTTTTCTGTTTATTGTTCTTTTTTTTTATCACTTTATCATAAATGTAAAATCATTTGAAGGAAGGTTTTTAATGTGTGGTGTATATATTATATTTATACGAAAAATGGGGCCAAGACCAACTTATATAATATTATAATAAAAGCCCTTTTCGATTGTATAATATGCACAAAATGCTTCCTAGTGTTTTTTTTTTTTTTTTGAAAATAATTTAAACCTTTTTTTTAAGAAAAAGGTTTGAACGCAATTAGAAAAAAAAATATGCAGCTTAGCTGTAATATTTGATGGGAGAAGAAATGGAGATTTTATTCTTGATAAGGGCTGGTTTGTAATAATGCATAGCGAGCTTTTTTGCTAATTTTTAATCTTTAGCATTCCATTGTACTTTTTAACCCTTCCAAAAAAAAAAGAACAACTAGTGCCTGAAAGAATTTACACTGTGTACATTAAATATTTATCTCCATTTTTAATTGTACGCTGAAAGTTTTTATCAATTAACTCATAGGTTTAGCAAAAAATTTAAAAATTAAAAAAAAACAAAAAGATTGATTAATTGGGCTCAATAAATAAAATGTACACGAATTTTTCAATTGTGTTTTCATTTTAAATGTAAATTTTTAATTTATTTTAATTATTTCGTTAAAAATTAAAAATCAGAATAAATAATTTATTATTATCTTTCATTTTATTTAAATATATTTTAAACATTTGAAAATGTTTTCCTTCTAATTATTATTTTTATATTAATTAATTATTTATAGAGATGATTTCAGTTTTATAATTTAAATACAGTTTTTTGAATTTAAATTTTAATTGGAAATTTACGAGAGCCAATCAGAATATTCGTTACATAAACGAAATTAAAGAATTGAAAATTCATCCTAACCTTTATGTATAAATATTTAATAAAACAAACGTTAATAATTTTAAGCATAAGAATATAATATAATTATTTTAATTGATTTTGACAATATTTATTAATTAATTATTAATTAAATGTTTAAAAAAAATATTTAAACACTACTCAACCAATCAGATTGAATGGAAAGTTTCCATTTCCGGTTTCTGAGAATTTGAAGTTTTTAATTATTTACTATACAATTGTTTGCTTATTTTTGCAAAATATATTAAATAAATTTAGTTAGAAATAACTAAATTTGATAAAGGATTTCATTTATCTAATAAAAGAATTTCGTTTTTTTATTTATTACAAATTTTAATGTTTCCCGCCATTTTTCAAATTTTGGAAACTTTCGATACATTGGAAAGTTTCCTGCAACGGCGGCTACATTCAGTTGACTTCAGTGAAACGAGTAGGTGTGGGTTAAGTATGATTTTAGCGATTAAATCGGTAATTATATTCATATTTTTTGATATTTCTATTTCATTAATGTAAAATTTAAGTTTTATTATTCATTTGAGATAAAATATGATGAATAATTCGTATAAATATAACCAAAGTTATCATGTTACAAAAATGTTCAAATTCACACCCTTTGTTGTAAAAATATTGGGATAAATTCATTTTCTTGCAAAATCGGTGCTAAATATTTATCTAAAATAGAAAATAAATACATTTTAAGTAATAATTTTAAAGTATTTTTGGAAATACGATCGAATTAGACAAATTGTGTCATAAGCGATTTTTCCTTGACAATAATGTTGGGGTGAGGGGGACATTTTCATCGAAATAAACGATTTTATTTCAGTTTACGGATATAATTTTGGTTTCTAATACAAGTTTACTTTATTTTTTGCTTATAGTTTCATTGCGAAGTGTAACATTATCTGAAAATATTCCAAGATTACTGAAATGTTAAATAAATCCAAGATGGCGGCTAATGCTAAAAATCGGCGAAACAATTTATGCAAAATAATTTGAGAGCAGAATTTTTCAGTCAAAAAGGTATTTATTGTAATTTATAATTATTGCATTATCTATTATTTACTTGTATAGTTTGTCAAAAATTTCGGAAAATGTATATAATTGAAAATTCCGAAAATTCATAAAATTGCTTTAATTGAAAGTAAGGTTATGATTACAAAAAAAAACAATATAGTATTAAAATACATTTTTTTTTTAGTTTTATTTTGTACAAACCGCATCAAGAATAATAAATACTTAAAGATATCAATTATTATACAAAATAAATATTTTCAAAATAACAATCTAAACGTAATATATAAAATACTTTTTTAAAAAAAAATTAAAATGAAATGCCAGTGAAAATTATTAATAAAACTATAAATTACTGAAAATTTATATTTATTTTGTCATAAAAATTTTACTAAAATAATTAAGACCAACGGAAGTGATAGCTAACAGTAAAAAAAGCCATCCCCATGTATTGTAACTATTTTTTTTATTTGTTGAAATAATTGATTTAGTAACTTTTTGCGATAAATTGGTAATTTTATTCGTACCTTTTAAAATATCGATTCTTTTTAATATATCAATTACTTCCTCCATTGTTTTTGCTTTTTGAATTAAAATTTCATCTTCAATATGTTTATCAAAATGTTTCATTAATTTATCAATAATTTCCTTTTCACTTGGTGAAATGTCTAAATATTTGGCACCAATTGCATGTTTAAAAAAATAATTTGCCATTGATAATTGACATTTTTTTGTATATTTTCCCGTTTCTAAATTTTTTACAAATAAATCTTGTATATCGGAACTCCAATAAAATGAAAGAAATGCTTCTTTCATTTCATCATAGGTACCATATCCACGATCATTTAACCAAATTGCCGCATATTTACGAAGTGAATTAACAAAATGATTTTGTTTCTCATCCTCATTAAGATTCTCTTCAGTTGCATAAAATTCAAAATTTTCTATAAAAAGTGCTGGATGCACTGGATCTCGCATTCCACAGAATTTTAAATTTTTTATTGGTCTAAATTTGTTTGATGAATTTTTTTTATCATGATCGTCGTAATTAATTTTTAATTCTTCAATTCTATTAGATAATTTCATATTGTCATTTTTTTCATTCTCCTTCTCTGAATCAAATTGATTATCATTTTTTAATTCTTGAATTGTATCAAAAAATTCATGTTTTTCGTGTTCATCATGATTAAGTTTATCGATTTTTAATTGTTCAATTTTATTCGATTCATTATTATCATTTTTTTCATCTTGTTGAATTTCATCAAGAAATTCACTATTGTTAAGCTTCTCCTGATTTTTAATTTCATCAAATTTTATTTGACAATTAATTTTCTGCTCTTCATTTTTGTCACTGTTTTTTCCCTCAGACATTTTTTTTTTCTAATGAAATTGATTTCTGTCTTCTGAAAAAATTTATTAATTTTCAATTAATTTCGTAAAAAATTAAAAACAATCTAGAAAATTAAATTAAATTTTTAAAATAAATAATAATTAATTAAACAATATAATTAGAAATATTATTATTTTAGAAGTAAAAAATTACCTTTGTTTTCCTTTGATTATAAAAGTCAAATTTTTCTCAACTATCAACAAATTGTTGTAAAGTTTCACAATTTATGAACACACCGGCGTAAAGTCTAATATCGAATGAAATCGTTGTCCGGAAACATCAGGAGTTTTAAAAATAGAACACTAATTCCTATTTTAAGACAAAGAACGTTCAGCTGCCCTTAATTTTTTTGTTTTTTAATTACAAATTTTATTTAAAATTGAAAATATTAAATTTATTTTTCTTTTATCACTAACAATAAATAATTATAAAACCAAAAAAATATTTAAGAAATAAAATAATTTTTTTATTTTAAGAAATAATTACAGAAACTTTGTCAACTCGTATAAATGTTAAATAAAAATATGCAACCTTTTTGTTTTACAATATTTTCAAAATATTCAACGCTTGGAAATATTCTACTATTTAAGTATATGTATTTCCATTAAAAAGAAAATTCTTTACAAAAGTGTGCATCCTTTTTTGTTTTTCTTTTTTAAATAAAAATATAAAAATTTTTCAATTAAACTTCAAACTTTTAGTGATAGTTTGGATTTAATGGATCATATTTTTCCACTGCCTTATCCCAAACTGTGTAAATTGTACAGAAATTTTCATTTAAAAATCTCAATATATGTTTTTTTTTGTAAAATTTTTGTTCATAATAACAGACAATTAAATCGTTAACAGCAATACAACGACTTTCACAAAATTCGATTTCATCGATTTTTTCTTTACACATTAAACAAACAATTTGTTCATTATTATTAGAAATTAAATAACGATATTCTGTATCCTCAAATATTGAACATGTTACAATAGCACAAGGTTTAATTAAATCCTCTTGAATACAGTACAAAAGTTGCCCGGCAATTAATTTTCTATATGTTTTAAATGTATGACACGTGGTAACAATTAATTGTCTTCCATTTTGTTTGGCAATTGTCACTGGTCCCATTACTTCATAATCTTTTTTTTTCTCTTTAATATCAGTGAAAATTAAATAAATTTTCGTTGGTACATCAGTTAAAAAATGTGTTTCATTCTCATCGCAACCAACATTAAAATTTCTTATATCTGACATTGAATTTTTATAACTCAATGTATGTAATGGCCATAATTTTGTTGTTAAACATCTATATGAAGTTTGACCTTCTTTTTTAATTATATCATATTTATTATTTAAACAATCTTTCCATGTGCCAGTTCGACTTTTTGTCGCCAATGAGGAACTAAAAAAATTCAACGACAATTTTTTATTTAAATTATAATTAAGATCAGAAATTTCTAAATTTCTCAAAATTTGTAAAACATCATCAATACATTTTGGATGATTTGAATATAATTTTTGTTGAATATACGTATCAAAATGTTCGCTGAGTAAATCAATTAAAATTTCTTCTGATGGTATATTGTTTAAAAATTTTGCCTCCATAGCGTATTTATGAAAATAAGTAATTTTCGATAATTTTATTTGTTTTTCATTGTATTTTCCATTTTTTAAAAATGTTATAAAACGATATTGATCTTCTTTATTCCAAAAAAAATTCACAAATGAATTACGTAATTCTTCGTAAGTTTTTTTATAGCCATGAATTTTTAGCCATTCATTGGCTTCATTTGTAAGCGCTTGTCCTAAGAAATATTGTTTTTCATAATCGTTTAAATTTTCTTGATTTGCAAAAAATTCAAAATTCTCGATAAAACGCATTGGATGTGTAAAATCATTTCTTCCGGAGAATTTTAAATTTTCAAATGGATTAAATTTAATTCTTGTTTCTTTAATCTTAAAATTTGTCATAGTTTCTTCAATTTTTTGCAATTTATTCACAATTGAATCTAGTATTTTGGATTTTTCATTAAAACAGTCGAATTTAAGTTCATCAATATTTCTGAAAATTAAAAAATCATAAAATTATAAACTTAAAAAAAGTTTAAAATAAAAAAATTTTTCTTTAATAACTTACTTTTGCTCACAGTGAGAAGAAACAAGTTCTAGTTCTGATTTTTGTTGAATATTTTTATCCTCAACTTGAGATGTATGCGAAGAATGCAATTGAGATGAAATTAATTGAAAATTTAATTTGTCGTGAATAATATTTTTATCATCATTTTCAGTTTCTTTATCTATTTTGTTTAAAGAATTTTGAGTTGTTAAAGGATCAATTTGCAAATTTGAATTTTCAAAAGGAATATTTTTTTTATCCTTTAAATTATTATTATCATCATCATCATATTGAAGAGAGTCACAAAAATCATTTTTCAAATTTGATTTATTTAGAACGATATTTTTATCGTCATTCAAATTGTGATCTTTTTTTATGTCATCAGGATTTAAGAATTCGAGAAATGAATTTTGAGAATCAAATAAAGAAAGCAATTTTTTGCGAGTAGACAAAGTTGATTCACAATTTTGAGGACTTTCAATTTCATGATAACACGATGATGAACACTGATGATCCTAAAAAAAATTAATTGATATATTACAAAAATTAAAATTATAGTAGATATTATTTTTTTTTTAATTAGAAAATTTTTAAATAATACATTTGTTTTTGTATAATAAAAATTATTACAAATATTTTTGTTTAAGACAAAAAAAAAATATATAAATTTTTTTTAAATATAAAATAAAATCACCTGCGTATCAATGAAATGAACTGAAATATTATTATTTTGAGATGAATCATCATTGGAGTGATTTTCGAATGTCAATGTAAATAAACTAGAAAATCCTAGTTTTTTTAAACTTTGTTTTGAATAATCTGTGATAACAATTTCATGAAGAGATAATGGAATATTTAAAATTGAAATTACAGTTGCCCTTTTGTTAATTTTAATAAAATCTGTAGGCTTTCTTTCACGACAACACACGGTACAAAATAATAATCCATATGGCTGAAACATATATAATTTTTTCGATATACTTTTTTTTTTTATTATTTTTTATAATTATTTTAATTTATTTTAATTTTAAATATAATTATTTTTATATACTCACGCCTATGCATTTATCACATAAAATGATAAAATTCTTGCAGAATTTGTGTAATTTTAATTCATTTACATATTTATAATTGCATAATGAGCAAGTAAAACTTTGTTTAAGATATGAAATTTCAAAAGCGTAAATAAATTTATTATTCATTGCTTTTGTTCCCTCAATACTATTATTTTCAAGTAGTAAATCATAATATTTATCTTTCGAAATTCTTGACAATGACACTCGATTAAATTCTAATTCCGATTTATCTAAACTTTTTAATAATATTCTTTTCAAATTATTAACTGTCATTGATTTATATTCCGACATCAATATAATCAAAGGTGGATTAAGTTTATTACTAATCGCCGTGTAAGAAAAAGTGAGTTTTTTCATTTCATTATTTTCCACTGCTTCTTCCTCCATATTTAATTTATTTATAAAAACGTGTGTCTAATTTGTTTTTATTCAAAATCTGAAAAATATTGGAATTTTCTTTTGAGATTTATTCCAAAAAATTAAAAAAACACGTGTAGATTTTCAATTTTAAGGTTATGAAATCGATTTTTACAAGATAAATAGAAAATTATTTTACAAAATTTTAAAGTTAATGAAACCTTAATTAAAATAGTAGAAAAAAATTATATTTATTATAATATCGATTAATCAGAAATGATAAACAAACCTTATTTTGTCGATTGTTTGTGATCACATGTTCGGACTATGCGGCAGAGAGAAATTGTTTTCATTTTAAATATCATCTAAGATACAGATAATTTGAGATAAAATTCAGATTATTTCTTCGTAAAGAGGGAAATCCCTATTTAAAAAATAAGTTTTATAAAGAAAATTTTTGATCATTTATTTTTTGTTTTAAAATTTTTCATTGTTGTTTTAATATATTGTTAATTTTAGCATATATAGAAAAACAATGAAAATAATTATTTTCAGATAATTTTTTTGTTTCAAATTTAAATATTGGCAACACTGGAGTGCGTGCGCATCTAATTTTTTTTTTAAATTTAAAAGCAAAATTTTATTAATATTAAAATTAATTATTAATTAATAAAATTAATATTCAATTATAAAATAATTTTCTTTTTTTTTCAATTTATAGATAACATTACGTGAAGGATGGGTGTTTGTTGCGGAGCTGCTCCTGGAGGAGATCTTGCATTGCTGAGTCGCAGTTCAATGTAAGTTGATTATAAATTTTTTTCCCTTTAATTTTAATATTTTAAGATATTATATTTACCAAATTAATTTAATTAAATAAAATAAAACCATTAAAAAAGTATTAATAGTTGTAATAAATAAAAAATTAATTCGAATTCTAATATTTAATAATAATAATTACAATAATGTAATTAATAATATTTAGGATTTTAAATATTTTATTTTACACGTATAACATAATTAATTACTATATATTTTTTTTCAGGCAGTTGGTCCAGCAGAGGAAGGATTATCATAATTTAAAATGAGGATATGCTGTCATCGTAACTTTTACACGTCTCAGAAATTCTCCCTTATAGGTGAGTTTTTTTTTCAAAATTTTTCAGAAATATCAATAAATAAAATAAATTATTATGATATATATATATAAATGATGAGAGAATAATAAATTTTAATATTTATAAATAAATTATTTAAAAATTATTTGATTATATATTAAGAATTTTTAATATTTTATTTTATACATTTATTACATTTTTTCAGGTATACAAAAGAAAGAAGTCCTTTTATAAAAAGGATATGCTGTCATCGTATCTTTGACACTAAAAATTCCCTCATATAGGTGAGTATTTTTCAATTATAGTTAATTTTATATACAAATTTAAAAATTAAAAATTACTTAAAAATTATTAACTGGGTGCAATTATTTTTTTAATTAATTAAATTTGATTTAATTGATTAAAAAAATAATTAAACCGGCATTTAATGAGAAAATAATTGTATAATTTAATTTCTTAATAATTTTTCTTTTTCAGCTCCATTCCAATTTTCCAAATATCTGAAGAGACTAGGAGGGATGTGGAAGAAGAAAAGTGGCCCCAGCATATATGTTTTTTTTAATAAATTTTTTTTTCTTTTTTCTTATTTTTTTTTTTATATTTTTTTTTTGAGCTCTCGACCTCACGCAGAAGTGCGAGCAAGAAAGAGGGATCTTCGGGAACTGGTCCAGAAGCGCTCGAGAGTGGCAATGACGTTATTGTCCCGACGAGGGATGATTCGCCGATCGATGAGTCTTTTTTTTTTATTTAACCCCTTCCCTGTTTAAAACAGTTTTTTTTATAAATTCAGTTAAAATTGATTAATTAATTTAATTAATTAATTATTTAATTAATTAATTATTTAATTAATTAATTAATTATTTAATTAATTAATTAATTATTTAATTAATTAATTAATTATTTAATTAATTAATTAATTAATTAATTTTTTTATATATTCATAATTTTGAAATTTCCTTGACTTAAAAGAATTTAATGTATATTTAGAAACGTTTGAAAAAAAGTAGATATATTGATCCAAATAAAATATTTAAAAAAAAAAAAACAGGGAAGGAATTCTACAACATAGTGACACGATTGACAAAATTTATTATTTTCTAGTATTTTTTTTTTAGGAGTAATCTAAAAAAATAGTGATATTTTCGGAAATTTAGCCCCTTAAAATTTGTAACACTCCCCACATCCTAAAGTATTACATATTTTGTGGATTACTACCTTAATACTACGTAAATTAATATTTTTGTCAATGTTTTTTTTACACTGTTTATATTTATATTATTTATTTACTTGTATATGTTCAATAATTTTAATAATTTTTCTTTTTGATTCAAAATAATTTTTTATTTCTATTAAAAAAAGTAATTTTAAATTAAAATTTCATTAACTTTAAATAATTTAATTAATTAATTTTATTGACAACTTGGATTTTAATTTTGTATTTAATTCTCAACAATTAATGCATGTGAAATTAAGTTTTTTAAAATTATTTCTTAATAATGGTTTTCTTTTCAGAAAAGATCGCTCAGGTGACGGTTGCGTCCCGGGACGTTAATCCTAGTGTAGGTCATTTGCACCTGGGCGGTATTAGTTTCGTTTGGAATAGAAAAATAGGTAGGGAAATTCGGGAAAAATAGTCATTTTTGTTCGGTTTTAAATATAGCAATAGGTAGGGAAATCGGGTAAAAAATGTAAGTAAAAAATAAGTAACTGGAGTACCAGTGAAAATTTAATTTATTTCTATTGTCACTATGTTGTCTTTTATATTTTAATGTTTTATGTATGTATATGTTTTGTAAATGTTTTGTTTAATTCTTGATCATTATTTTCAGTTGAATCATCGTGGTGAGAAATAATATTTATTTTAAATTATAATTATTTATTTGTTCAGAAATTTGTAATTCTAATATTTAATATTATTAATCTATTAATGTATATTTATTTATTATACTATATTTATATATGAAACTTTTAATACTGTTACAAAAAAATGAAATTATATTTTACTATCTCTTTACACAAATTAGTTAATATTTTAATTAATTTGATTTATTTTTTTAACACTTTTAGTATAAATTAATATTTAAATTAGACAAAATGTTAACTATTTGTGAATTTAGAGAATACTTAAATTTTAATAATTTTAAATTATAAATTTTTTTAATTTATCTACTATTAAACATTTTTCGGATATTTTTTTCTATTAATTTTTTTTATTCGCGATCATTTAAATCGCAGCTGTTTTATTTCTTTTTTTACTGTGAGTGTTGTTAATATTTCATTGCAAATTTCTTTTGTAAATTTTTGTATAATTTTTTTTTAATTCAGCATTGCGATCGGTTAAATCGCAGCTGTTTAATTTTTTTTTTTTTTACTGTGAGTGTTAAAAATATTTTGAGTAAGTACAATTTTCGGATTATTAAATTTACTTCAATATTTTGAGACATGGTATTTATTGTGTAAATAAATTTGAGGCACTTTTTTTTATAAACAATAACAATCATTTTTAAAATGATTCAGTTCAGTCGATTAAAAAAATATCACACGATATGTATATTAAACATATGAAATTAGATGTAAACTATTAAATGCAAATTTGTACAATCTAGTATGCCCAAATTTTTTATACAAATCATTTCAAAGAAAGTTCTTTAATTCTTTGTAAAAGAATTTTTGCAATATTCACTTTTTTCCCCTTTGAATCATAATCTGAAAAAATAAAAATTGAAATTTTTTTAAATATTTTTTTTAACAATTATGAAATAAGTAAAAAATAATAAATAATTATTATTACCCTCGTAGTAAACTAATTCACATAAATCTCGACAATCTGGATTGTCATTTAAAAGTTGTTTTAAAGTTCTATAAAAAGATTTGCCAATTTCTTTTTTGAACTCTCTATAAGTGTCTAAAAAAAAAAGAATAATTTTTTTAAATAATTATTAAAAGATTTAAAGTAAAATATGTAAAAAATCGTAATAATAATAACTAACTAGAATATCTGTGGGATTGTTGTTGAACTTCAAAAAATGTCAATAAAGGTGATGCGCCTTCAGTAACAACATGAACAGTATTTTCCTTTACATTTCCAATTCCACCGGGAATTATTTTATAAAATGTATTTTGATATTGACGTTTACTAACACCTGCTCTATTCTGAGTTACTCCATCTTTATCATATTTAATATCCTTTAACATAATACACCAAATAAAAAATAATATAATACACTGAAAAAAAAATTTATTTGATTCATATACTCGATTACTTGACTATTATCAAATAAATATTTATTTGTATCAAATAATTATTATTTGAGTCAATTAAATGGTATTTGTTTCAAGTACAAAAATTATTGGTTCAAATACAATTTTATTTTATTCAAATAAAAATTATTTGGTTCAAATAAAAATTATTTGGTTCAAATAAATATTTATTTGATAATACTCAAGTAATGGAGTATTTGAATCAAATAAATTTTTTTTTTCAGTGTAATAATAAATTTTGTAAATAGAATTTAAAAATAATATTAATTTTTATTTACATTTGGTATAGCTTCAAGCCAATTATTCGATGATTCTTTTAAATCAGGAGGAGTATAAAAAGAAGATGGAACAAGAATGAATAATTTTTTCACAGGAAATGACACATTATGATGATCTTCAAACTTTTCAATCCTCCCTATGAGACCTAGTGAAGAAAAAATAATAATACATTTTAATAATTTAAATCTATGATAAAATAATTTGTATTTAAATTAATTATTATAATTTAAATATTTTAAATTATATATAATAAAAAATTTCAAACCTTCATTTTGTTTTCCGTCTGATGGAAGAATAATTTTTAAATATCCAAAAAAATAACTACAAGCCATTGAACTTCCATAATCTAAACCGTTTAGTTCATAAAAAGCTTCAAGTTTTTGTGCTCTGCATTCATTCTATAAATATAAAAATTAATAATATATTTACGTCTTTTTTTGTAGCTATAACATTATAATTTATTTAAAAAAATTTATTTAGTACTTACGAGTTTTATACAGTTTATCAAAAAATATGAAAAACAAAGTGCACAAAAAAAGGCGATAATATAATAAGTAATTTTTTTATCATCAATAAATAATTCTGATTTTTTCTCTATTAAAAATGAAAACGATGCCACACCATTATGAAAATTGTTAATTAGAGCCTGAAAAAATATAAAAATAATAATTTAAATTAAATTCGAAATTTTCATTTTATTGATAAATTTGAAAATTTTGAAATTATAAAATAATTTTCTATACTCACCAAAAAAGAAACAATACAAAAAACAAATACTATAGATGATGTGTTATTTAATGAAAAAGATGCTTTAATAATTTTCATGAAATTTCCTTCATATTCAATATTAATTTTTATCAATCCGTTAAAAAAATATGATAATCGATTCATAAATTCCAATATTATAAAAATTGTTGTTGTCATAATTAGAATGTAAACTGAAAATTTTACAAAACATTAAACAACTGTATTATTGTAAAAAAAAGAAGTAATTAATTATTTAATTAATAAATTTAGTAAAATTATTAGACTTACTAGTTTCTAAAAATATCTTGGTGGAATTTGCCTTGTACAAAGAGAAAATTGACACTTAAAACAAAATAATATAAATGAAATTATTTTAATTAAAAAATTAAATTTTTAAAATAAATTAATATAGAATTGAAAATTAAATTTACCAATTATAGAAAAAATCATGAAAATTAATGAAAACGTAATATTACGTTCCGGTTCTTTCAACATTAAATCTTCTTCAGTGGAATTATTCAACATTTTTGATTTTCGATTAAAGCTGAAATAATTAAAAATTTTTAATTAAAAGAATGTAAATTTTAAAAAAAATATAGACTTTTCTGTTAGTAAATTTGAATAATAGAATTTTTTTCTCAATTTGAGAATTAAAATATTTTGTCTATTTTTAAAGAAATATATACAATATAAAAATATTTACTCACCTTTTGTAATTTTGATATTATTTAAATTAATATTTCAATTTTGTTGTTCAAGAATCCAAAATTTTAGGTATCTAATTTTTTCTTTAGACCGCAATGAATTCGTGTAGTTTATCTAATCAAAAATGTAATTAAAATCCTTATATGTGTAGCTATTTATCGCAAAACTAAGTATACGAAAATATATTTTTTCTCTTCTGCTACATATAGCTAACTGATATTTCACGACAAACTCGATTCCCTTCTATGTTCAGGTTCTATGGTGTCTAAAAATAGCAATGTAAATTAATCAAATTTCTTTTAGAAATAAATAGAATTTAAATTTTTAATCTAACAAAAATAATATATATAAATTTTTCTTTTGCAAAAATATAAATTTTAATTATTATTAAAATAATTGTAATTTTTGATTTCTCTATTTTACTATTTATAAAAGTAATAAAAAAAGATATTTTAAGAATCTTTTTTTTTTGTTATTTTGCTAATTATTGTTTATTGAACAATAAAGAAGACATTGAACTCCTTTCTTTATTGATTGAAATCAACATCATGCAACTTGAGTTAAAATGTGTCAAGTTTATTTCGAGAAATTTCTCATGCTATTCCATTAATATTCCCGTTCTCTTTTAAAAAGAAAACTTTCAATTTTTAAATTACTCTCGTTACAAAATTTTGTAATTTTCTATTCAAATTTCCATGGTATAACAAATTTTATATTAATATTTTGTAACAAAAGATACATATATCCTTTCTAAAAAAGAGATAGATATTTATAATTTTAGTGATTCAGACGTGCAATACGTTTTACGTCACTAAAAATTGAGTCATTTTTTTTTTATTATACATTGTCATATATTCGGAAAAAAAATTTCTCTCCGGGCATTATTTACAAGACAAAATCCGTTATAAAATTTGTCGTGAGAAACAGAAAGGACGAGTATTTAAATTTCAATTCAATATAATAAAACGGAAATTCAGGTATAGGTGAAAAGGGACAAGGGCAAATTTGTCGGTTGCTTCAACAAAACGTACTTTTAACGTATAGTCATGAAGATTCTCTCAAAGTGCAACGTTGCCAGATATTATTTCTCGCCTTTCAAACGACTTTTGCAATTTGCTTTCGTATTATAAACTTTCTAATTCTCATGGAACAAAATATATACCAATTATCATTTGAGCTAAAAAATTATATTTCTCGATTTTATTTTAATCTTGAATATACAAATTGAATCATGTATTGTCCTCGGAATAATTTAATGAAAAATAAATTGGCTATAAACAATTGCAAACAATTATAACGAATTATATTAAACAATTGCAATATAGAACAAAGATTCAGTTTTTTTTTATATATAACAAAAAAAAAAGTTTCAACCTGATTATAGAAATAATAATACCAATAACAAAAACCGTTATCAATCGTTTGTTTCTCTATTTTCTAACATAACCTCAAAATTCCATTCACAAAAATAGCCAATATACAATTTATATTCATTGTTTTCCATTGTATTTAGAAATTATTTAAATAATTCATTGTTTTGTATATAAATATTAAAAAGAAAGAAAATTTGACAACACTGTATTTTAGAAGATGACGTTACGCAGCAGCTGATGAAAGCGTCATTAAAAAAAAAGGAGGAAAATAATGGAAGGGATGACCGAAGAACATTTTACTACGCGGGAACTACTCTTTCAATAAATTATCGATTTTCTTAAAAAATTGCAATTTTTTATATTTTCTTTCTTTCAAATTATCTCGATAATAATTGTAAATATTAATAATATAATAAATAGTATAAAATAAATAGATAAATAATGGAAAATATTATTTTTCATTGGAACTATTTTTTGCACCAACCGCGTAGTAATACCACGAACCATGAAAGCGTCACCTATAAATTCCCCCACTTTCATGACTCGTCAGGCATTCCAGGCCAGTTTGCAGACGACGAAGGTTGTATCTCGCTTGTATTTTTAAAATTTATTATTTAAAAAAAAATAGTCAGTTTTTTCATTTGTTTGCGTTGTTGGAGAGCCTCCGGGTCCTTCACGCCGAGAAACACAAGCTAGATACAGGTTGGTGTACTTATTTTCTACTTAATTGTTCGAAAAAAAAAAAAAAAAATTGTCATCGTTATTTTGCAATTTTTAGTCATATCAAGTTTATTATAAAAAAAAAGTGAACTCAACAAGTGAACTGAAACTCGTTTTTTTTTTCTTTTATTGTGAAAAAATAATTTCGGAAGTGAATCGATATTGTCGCGTTGCCACGTCATCATCATAAAATGGGCGCGACCTATTCTCCCCATGATATTGAACACGAGCAACCAAGTAAAACGGAACAATTGGCAAATTGGATAAGTCGTGTACGTTCAAAGAAAATAATGCGTCGACGAAATAGAAAACGTGATCTTCGTGTTGAAGCAGTATTGACATCAGCATTGTTCAAGGCCGAATTTGAATTACGCACAAAGCAACGATTGCGCAATATAAAATGGCAGGAGCTTAAAAAGGAATTGATGTTGGATTATAAGCAATGCAATGACTATACAAATTATTTACAATGCCAAGAAATAAATCCATGGAAGGAGCCAGTTTGTGAGGAATTGACAAGTTTCAATGAATTTATGTCACAATTGGGTGAAATTAAAGTTCCAGTAGCCCGATGAAATAACAACAATGAAGATGCTCGTTGATTGAGGTTATGTTTTTTATCTAATTTCAACGAGTGGGATCCAAACGAAAAAAAAAGGCTTGAAACGCCTCTTTAAAAAAGAAGATTGAAGATTCTTCAACAATGGGATGAAGAGAAAAAAAAAATTCGCGTGTGATTTTTTTTGTTGTTAATGGACATGTGTCAAATTTTTCCTGCCAGTGGTTTTGAAAGCAGCAGCCGAAATAGTGACGTCAAATTTGATTGCGTATTTTTTAATTGCAGTCTCGTCGTATGCAATGGCAATGGGAAGGACGGCGGGAGTCGCTGTTTCCGTTTCCGAGGAGCCTGGTGGGGGGGATGCCTGGAAACCGAGACCTCGCACCGCTGGTCCTGAGTGTCGTGTTTGGTTTGTAAAATCGTATCGAAAAAAACCAAAGTATTTTTTTTCTTTAAAAATTAGTTGAAAAAAAAAAAAATTCTCACTCTCTTTGCTTAATAGGAAAAAAAAAATGACTGATTTCATATTTTATTTTCATCTTTTGAAGATTTTTTTTTAGCTACGAATTATTTATTTTGTAAAGTGATCATTTTGTGATATATTTAATTTGTGATTGACTCTTACTTCTTCAGTATTATGAGTATTTAATGAGAATTAATTTTTGAGACTTTAAAAAGAAAAAAAAAAAAAAAGTTGCAGATTTTAGTGGCCACTCGATGTATTTTTCATGTTTTATATTTATATATATAGAGGAGGAGACACATGCAGTTTGGAATAAAATTTTTCTATTTAAAAAAACAAAAATTTAATTAATTTCATTTTTTTAATAGTTCAATGTCTATTAATGTCATCCCTCCTTTTCAGTTTTGGCTCACAAATGCTCATGATTGGAAGAGATTTATGTTGAGGGGAAAAAAATTCTATTTCTAGAAGGTCGAGAAAGAGAGAGAGAGAGAGAGATGGGCAGCACTCGATTCTATTCACACAAATTGCGATATAAAAAAAAAAAAGTATCACCCCTACCTGTGCGAACACACCTTTATTATCGTTCTTGATGGAAAAAAAAGCGAAATCTCCGGTGAGCTTCTTTTAATTGTCCCTGAAAACAAAATGCCCCGAAAAAAATCTATTCCTCAGGTTTTTACTTCAATCATCTGCGTGGGCGTTATCCTTGGCGAAACAACAAAATAGGATACACGAGGTACAAAAAACTTCAATGCATGAGTAATTTTCATTTATTTTTGAGAAAAAAAAATTTTTTGCCGAAATTATTTTTTTGGGATAAAAACGAGAGAGGGTGGTGTGGCCTTTTTGCCTTTCAAAAAGGCGAACGGAAATAATAGTATTTTCACAGATTACATGCGAAAAGGGATCTCCTTTATCGAGAGCAATTGCGGACGAAAAAAAAAAAGGTCCTCGACCGAGATTTTTAGGACCTTATCTCATGGTATCATCTTTGTAAGTCATTTCTTTCACTGGCTTTATCGGTTCTTTTTTATTTTAATTGAACCGATATTTTTTAAATGTGAGAATTTTTATTTGAACAAAAAACATAACTTTTTTTTTTTTAAAAAATTCGTAACAAGTTTTTTTTCTTTTTTGTGTGCTTTTTTTTTGGATAAATTGGAGTGTTTCAGTGTAAAAAAATTTCTACTATTTGGAAAGTATCGGTTCATATCAGTCAAGCATCTTTTTTCATAAGAGAGAGAGAGACACGAGGGAGAGAAAAAAAAGCGTGTTTTCATCATCCTCATCCGGGACCATTCTCCACAATTGGCGAAGATCAACGGTAAATCTCGGAAAAAGGGGGGAAATAAATTCTCTTTTTTTGAGCTGCAGGAAAAAAAATTTCGCCGAACGAGGAACGTAAGCCGAGTTAATTTCAATTTTTTTCTAAAAAAAAAAAATTATCAGGTATTGAATTTGTTTTGGGGAAAAATTTTTAGAAAAAAAAAGGGGGGGTTAAGTTTAAGGATTTGTTCTTTTGTGTCTTTAGGACCAAAATAGAAAACTAGTGCGAGGAAAAATAGTTTCGAGAAAAAGATGAGGGGAAAAAAAAGCAAATCCAGAACAATAAAAGGGCAGAGGAAATGCAGTTACCGGAGTACAAAACGAGGTTTTCTCATTATATTTAATTCGTCGGGGAAATGGGGTTGTCGGGGCTTTTTAAGGTAATTTGTGTTTTAAGATTTTTCGAGCCGACGGAGAAGAACGGGACACTTGAGGGTGTGTGTGTTTGACACTGAAGAGAGAAACCAATTTTGTATAACTCTCAGCCGAAGAGAAGGTATCATTTTCTCTCGATTTATATCAATATATTTTGATATTTAACCAATTTCCAATGAATTTTATAAAATATGTACATATATGTATATTTTATCGAATTTTTTCCAAACATTTCGTTTTTGTATTGCTTTATTTGGGTGGGAGAGAAAAAAAATTTTTTTGTCTTTTTGAGTCGTAGGAAAGGAACAAATCAAAAGGAGTGCAGAGTAGATTTTTTTTTAGAGGCAATTTTCGAAGATACACAGATTTTCACAGGTGAAACAAAAAAAATTCATTTTTTTATATATATAGAGTAACGATTTCCTAGAAACAGGAGTTTATAGATCATCCGAAGAAAGGTATCAATTTTTTTACGTATGAAAGTTGAATTCTATTTTTTTTAGACTGGGGGGAATATTAACGTTTTTTCCCGCAGAAACCGGAAGACATCGAGGAAGATGCTCAATTTTCTTTCCAAGCATGTGATTTCAATTTCGTAGGCAATTTTTGAGAGTGCACCATTTTTTTGTCGACTTGATGTAGAAAATATATATATACACACAAAAAAGACCTCGAAAGGTAATAGAAAAAAAAAAAATCATTTTTTCATCGAATGGGAAATCTTTTGTGGAAGTGGGGAAGTTTTTTTCGCTACAGTTTCAACGGCACAAGATTTAATTTTTTTTGCGAGGAAAAATAAAAACAAGGACAATTTTGAAAAAAAAAAATGGGCAATTAATCGCTATCGCTATTTCAATTCGCTTTTTTTGAGACCGGGCTGTTCAAGGAATTTATGGTTGAAGGTAATTTAGAGCAGATTTTCTTTTTACAAAAAAACTCACCAAATTTTGTTTCCTACACAGGTATGGTAAAAAGGCGGGTGTTTTTTTTTTTAAATAATGGTAATTGCTAACGAAATCTTTAAATGCTTATGAGAAACTGTTTTTTAGAATATCAATTTTTTGATCGTATATAATATTGAATATTTTGTCACATGTAAATTTTCTATTCTATATAGAGCATGTCTGATTCAATGTTGCCTTTTAGGTTTTGTTGGCAGAGGAATTTAACTGTTGCTTGAAAAAAAAAAAAGAAGTATCGAAAATATTTTAGAAAAACTTGTAGTTTGTATTTGCTTTAAAGAGACTAACCAAGAAAGGACGTTTTTTCATCTCTATAGAATTATCACAATTGTGAAAAAGAATAATTTTCTATAAAAAAAAAAAAATCAGCACCCGAAGTCATTTTGCCTGAGATGTATTGCTGTGATTCATTTCTTTTTCCTAAATAGAGAAACTAAAGACATTTTTTTACCATGCACTCAATATGAAGCTTTTCATCATCTATTTGTGCAGTGACAATTTTCTTTTACCAACAAGTGAAAAAAAAAAACCAGTTTTTGTTCTCTAAAAATTAATATTTTAGCGCAATTTTTCTTGTTAGACATTTGCGAAGCTTTGACAACACAAATTTTGTTAATGCGATTGACAAATTTTCACCTATAAAAATTGTTGAATGTTTTTTCTACTCTTATGTTTTTTAGAAAATGGTGAGTGTTTTTTGTGTTTATAATATTCTGGAAAAAAAAAACAAATGCGATGAGTTTTTATATTATGTATATAACTCCTTAGATTTTAGGTAGATTAATTATTTATTTTCATGTTCTACTTTTCTCCAAGTCTTGTGTACTTTTTTTTTTAATTATTTCCTATTTTTTGTATACGAAATCTGTTCTTTTATAATTCTTTATGAATAAATCACGCTTTATGCTGGGGGATGGGGTTTGGGGAACACTAATCCATCCAAGAAATTAAAAGAATTTTCAGGGTCCAGATGATCGCTATTCCATTAATAATTTTTTGCGCACGCACAAACATACACACACAGAAAAAAAAATCATGGAAGTTCCTTTTTCTTTGCTGATGTTCTTGCATATTTTTGTCAACCAAAAAAAATGTTGTGGATTTGAAATTTTTTTGTGAGCCAAGATTATTTTCATATTCAGTTCTGAAGATTCATCATCATCATCATCAAAATCAGTTTCATTTTTTTTGCTAAGAAGAATGTTACCCGTTTTATTTTTTCTTCAAATGAAGAAAGTTTTAGTTGAATATTTTCAATGGTTTCAAGAGTTTAAATTGGAAAATGGAAAAAAAAAAAAGTTTTCGTGAGTTTGAGTGCAAGTATAGTGTGTGAGTTCTATTTAATTAGCAGAAGTATATATTACTATAAAAATAGAAAATGGAGAGGAGGAGGATTTTGATTATATTTGCATCATAATGAAGAGCCGAGTGAAAGTTTTTTTTGGATTCCTGAAGATGAAAAACAAGAGAAAATTTTTGAAGCGATTAAAAATCTTATTTCGTTGAGGCAAATTTTGAATGAACCGAAGAAATACGAGGCTGTAAGTCTTTTTAAAAAAAAATATTCGAATTTCTAATCCTTTCTCTTTTTAGAGTATTTTTTCGAAGATTTTTATTTATAATGTGAAAGAGTATTTTAATAGTTTTGAAAAATATTTTAAAGTATAAGAAAAAATTATTTTGAACTTCAAAAAAAAAAAAAAAAAAATGGATATAGTTTTTACAATTTTTAATTATATAAACGGAAGATGCTGAAGATAGAAAAAAAAAATTGTGGCTGATATTAATTCATATATTTTGCGAGAGTAATTTTTTTTACATAATTTGGAAGATATAAAGAAAAAAATGAAGATGAATTGAAAAATTTTGCATAATGTGGAAAAAAAATTATTTTGAATTGAAAACAAATAAGGTTTTACGATTTTTTATTAGGCGAAGAAATATTCTTTTTTTAAACTGAAGATTGAAAATTTAACATGAACCAGGAAGAAAAAAAAACCTATCTTGAAAATAGTAAGTTCCTTTTCGATTTTCGAATTTTTTAATCAATTCTTTTTAGAGTATTTTGAAAATCGTCTCAAATTATACGAAAAACAAAAAATGTATCAGGAATTTTTGCGTTAATTCAACAAAACGATTTTTTTATTTAACAAAAAAGAAGATATGAAGATATTTTTCAAGAATCAATTCGAAAATTATTTGCAAAAGTATTTCAGGAAGAAATTATGAAGCCAGTAGTAAAACAAAATGTTGAAGTTTTTGGAAGCAGTTTGAAAGATTGGTATATCTATTATTTTTTTGCTGTTTGTTTTTTTTTTTGTAACCAAATGTTTCAGGATTCTGAGTTTTTAATATAGCGGAAAATGGAATAAAACAATTTTATTGCCTATTCAGTATTTTTGAAGATTACAAAAAAAAAGAAGTTATGCAGATGTGGAAAAAGTTTTAAAAAATCCAATTTATAATACCCAAAATGTTAATGGATAATGAAATTGAAGATTTTGCGAGAAGAATATTTTTTAAAATATTTCTAAATGATTTTCTCAAGTTACCAAAAGGATAGCACATTTATTTAGTCAATGAAGAATATTTTCGGAGTTTCAATATTTCCAAAAATAATATTTATATATTTCCGTACTTTTTGAAGTTTATTTCCAAGGATAATTATTTTAAAGGATATTTTCGAATATAAGGATACGAATGGATATTTTCAAATTTTTTTAATATTACTGAGGAATATTTTTCAAGTTGCCAATTTAACAGTTTACGTGCGAAAATTTGAAGGAAGATTACAAAATACGGTATATTTTTCTCTTTGTCTTTAATCAAATGTTTCAGCAATATTTAAATGGAATTCTATATAGAAAAAGCAAATGGACTTTTATTGTCTTAAAATAATTATGATGACAAAAATATTAAAATTCGTTAGTCGAGAAAAATTGCAAGAATAATTTTTATTAAACACGGGCACGAAGATTTCATCATATTTGAAAAAATATTAAATTATTAAGGAAAAAAGAGGTATTTAAAAAAAAATTTGTCAAGGAAGATAAAAAAAATTTGTTTTAAAGGAAAAATAATTATCTCGAAGGAACGATTTGTGAGTTATTTATCTACTTAACTATTTTCTAGGTAGAATTTATATTTATTATTTAGCCGTACGTATTTTAACAACAAAATGAAGAAATTGAAATAATTCTGTATATATATACACACATGAAGAGTGGAAATTATTTTTGTCCCTCCCCTTCTCTCTGCCCCTTAATGAGAATGTTTCTAGAGATTCACGAGAGCCAATGATTTAAAGAAAAAAACAAAAAAGTACATGGGGAACTTACCTGTAAATTCGACTTCATCATCATCAGAAAATTTTCTTCTATATTCGTCTCTCAAGTGGGGGATCAACTTTGGAAGGAACTTAGTCTGGATTCTTGGGCAGAGCTGCAACGTTTTCCACATTTCCAACAGTCGATCTTCGTGATCCTGAAGGAGAATGGACATTGCGGATATGCTCCAGGGATTTGAAGATTCTCTGAAGGCTGATTCCCTAATTTCTTCGATATATAATTCCTGCTGCCTTGTGATGTTGATCTCATTTCTTTATTCATCGATGGAAGCTTTCGAGGGCGTCTCTTCGGTATTTTTGCCCCCCTCGGAGTCCAAAGGTGTCTCACGGAGAGCAGAGTTCCAGCCAAAATGTGTTGATTCCCATTCTTTTAAAGTGAGTATATTAAATTTTTTCTTTCCTTTTTTGTTTTTTTGATTAAACAATAAATTAAATTTAAAAAAAGTTACAATCAAAATTAGAATTGAATAAAAAAAAAAAAAACGATATGATATGAGAAATAAAAATTTCCTTTCATTTTTGTGTTGCAGAAAATTTTTTTTCTCTTCCGAGTCTTGCAGCCGGTGCGATTTTTAGGATTCTAGGCGATGCGGATTTGGGGTTTTTTCTGCGCGATTTCCGGTACATCCTTAGGTCGACTTTCATCGGGTACTTCGCGGGCGAAACTTCCTTCGGACGACGTTCTTCATGATCGCGATTCATCTACTTTCATCTCTCATATCCTTCTCGTGGACCCAAAGAGACTTTTAGTTTTTAGGCTTTAAAATAGGAATTAGAAATTTGAAAAAATAGAAAAAAAACGAAATTAAAAAAATAGAAAAAAAAATATTTAAAAAAATAGAAAAAAAGAATTAAAAAAAAAGAATTTAAAAAAAGATTAAGAAAAAAGAAAAAATATTTTAAAAAAAGAAAAAAAATAGGAAAAAAAATATATTAAAAAAAGAAAAATAGGAAAAAAATATTAAAAAAAAAACAGATTTAAAATAAAAAAAAAAAAAAAAAAAAAAATATATATACATATATAAGAAAAATTAGGGTTTTTTTTGGGGGGTTTTCAGGCGTCGCAGAAGAGGATCGCCGGACTGGACGAAGAAAGAAGAGGACTTCGTGGGATTTATTGTCACTTCTTCGTGGGACATCGTGGGAAATATTAACAATAATGTGAAAAATTTACTCAACATTCTTTTCTTTTTTGGGAGGAATTTTTCAAAGAATTATTAAAACTTGGAAAGGAATAATATAATTCGAGCTTCAGTGAAAACGTTATAGATTAATCGTAATCAAACACAGGATAAATGGATATTGAAAAATTCATCCGATAATGCCAAGTAATGAACTTTTAAATCTTGTTTTTTTTTTATCTCAACAAATGAAAATTAATTAATTGCATTTTCAAATGAATTGCAATTCAAAAATTTTTGGAATTTTGAGTCCTTCTCTACACATGAAAGAAAAAAAAATGTCAATTCTAGTTTTTTTTTTTGATGAATTCGTTTAAAAAAACAAAAATTAAATTTTAATATATTATTTATTAATCTTAGAAAAAAAATTTTTAGAAATGAAATTATTACATTTAAAATTGAATGAGAAATTTTTTCGGGAAATATTTTTAGTTTTATTATGAAAATGTTAAGTGGAAATTTTATTTTTCATGACATTTTTCTACGATTTTGATAAAAAAATTAATTGTGAACAAATTTTCAACATTCGGGAAGCAATTAAATGAAACTTTTTTTTAGGAATTAGAAAACAGATTTTTAAACATAATAAACGAGTAAAATTAGAAAATCGAGATAAATAATTGCGATTTGAACATTTTGTTCTATTGACTGCGTCGATATGGAGGAATTTTTGTTTAATAACTACGGCGAGGAACTAAGGGAATTTTTTGAACTGCAGCGAGGGACACTGAGGGAGTCAGATTTTTTTTTTTTTTTATTAAATACAGCGAAGAACGCTGAGAAATTTATTTGACTGCGGCGAGGGACTCTTGAGAAATTCTTTTAAATGCAACGAGGGACATCGAGGGACTCTGAGGAATTTTTTGACTGCGGCGAGGGACATCGAGGGACTCTGAGGAATTTTTTGACTGCGGCGAGGGACATCGAGGGACTCTGAGGAGTTTTTTGACTGCGGCGAGGGATAACGAAGGACTCTGGAGAAATTCTTTTAAATGCAGCGAGGGACATCGAGGGACTCTGAGGAATTTTTTGACTGCGGCGAGGGACATCGAGGGACTTTATGTAACACTAAGGGATTTTTTTGACTGCGGCGAGGGACTTTGAGGAATTTTTTGACTGCAGCGAGGGACATCGAGGGACTTTGAGGAATTTTTTGACTGCAGCGAGGGACATCGAGGGACTTTGAGGAATTTTTTTGACTGCAGCGAGGGACATCGAGGGACACAAATATTTTTGACTGCAGCGAGGGACATCGAGGAATATTTTTTTTTACTGCGGCGAGGGATACTAAAATATTTTTATATTTGCGGCGAGGGACTTCGTGGGACACAGGATTTTTTCCTGCAGCGAGGGATACTAAAATATTTTTATATTTGCGGCGAGGGACTTTGTGGGACACAGGATTTTTTTCTGCAGCGAGGGATACTAAAAAAATTTTTTCTTGCAGCGAGAGATTTTTTTTTGTCACAAACGAAACTCGTCTAAGGACATCACTGGAAGATTAAATTAATTTTTTTTAATAAATCATTCAATTTTTCAGTTCTAATTCAACAAAAATGAAAAAAATTTATTTAAAAAGAAATATTTAATTCAGTTCTAATTCAACAAAAATGAAAAAAATTTATTTAAAAAGAAATATTTAATAATTCACATTCAAAGAAATAATTTGCAACATTCAAATACAAAAAAGTAATTTTTACTTGTATAAAAAATTTATTTTATCTTTTTTCTTTTAATTAACTCATCAAGATTTGTTAAGTTTAAAAAAATTATGTTTCTTAATTTATTAAAGAAGTACATTTCTATTTAAAATGTTGAAATATAATAAAAGTTATCGTTAACAAGAAATTAATCTTTTTTTTATTTTCAGAGTTTTTTAATTTTATAATTGTAATTGTGATATGATACTGTGCGATTAATAAATAGATTGTAAATTCTTTTTGTAATAAATGATTTTAAAAATAAATAGTTAAAATTAATTTCATGTTAAGTTTTTTTTCCATACCTGTGACTTAAAATTTTATATTTAATCAAAGTCAACTAAATTGTGTTTGTATAAAGAAAAAATCGTTCATTTTTAGTTAGTATATATTTACAGATTTTTTTTTTCACTTTTTTTTTACAAAACCAGAGTTTCATAAAAATGAAAAATGTACTAGAAAAAAAATTCTAATAATAATAATTACTATTTATGCAGTTCTTAATAATTTGGCTTCTCTAATTTCTTGTAATTTTTGTTGCTCTTCGGCTACAACTTTTGCTCGTTCTATTAAGAATTCTTTATATTCATTTGCATCCAAATCACGAACAATTTTAATACCCACGGATTTTGCAATACCTACCATCATTTGACAAATTTGCTCTAAAGTCATCAGTGCCAATGGAGGATCTTCAGATTTGATTTTTGCTATTTCATACAAATGTTTCAATGTTATTTTACCAGAGCAATGTTCCTCTAAAATAAAAAAAAATATATTTTAAATTATTAAAAAAAAAATAGATAAACAATTTTTAAATGAAAATAATTTCAAAAAATAATAATTATAAGTTATAAAAATTATTCATATAAATCAATTAAAAATCTGTTTTTAAGTTCATAAAAAATTAAGACAATAATAATTAATTAAAGTAGCAATTTTTCAAAATATTAACAATATTTAAAAAAAAAGCAATCTACATACTATGTTTGCCGGTTCCTTTTTGTATGCCAGCAGCTTGTTTTAAAAAATAAACTGCTGGGGGTTGATGAATTACCAATTCATAAGTACGATCTGAATTTACTTTTATTCTGCAGGGCAACGGAATTCCTTCCTTTATATCTTTTGTTCTTTCATTAAAATCTTTACAAAAAGCGGCTATGTTTATATTTCTCTAAAAATTTAAAAAAAAAATCGTATTACAATTAAAAAATAAAAATCTATTATTTTTCTTATAATTAATTTAAAATTTATCTATTATAATAAATTCACAAACTGAATTTCTAACCTCAAAATTGTATTTATAGTTTTATTAAATTGAAAGATTAATTAAATTTTAAATTGAAAATTATATTTTATATGCGAATTAAAAGAATAAATAATATGACAATGGAAAATGTTATAAATATTTTAAAAAATAAAAACAATTTCTAACCTGTCCAAGTTGAGGGCCAAGAGGTGGACTCGGCGAAGCAAGTCCAGCTAAAATGTTTGTTTTTAATTTTGAACTATGATCTACTTTATCTACTATATTTTTTAACATTTTCATTTTCTTAACTTTAGACATTTTTAATAAAATTTATTTTTAACGAAAATTGTAAACAATCGACACTCGTAATAATAATTTGAGAAAAGTAGTGATTAGTTACTTGTTTATCCGTTAGAAAAATTATAGATGGCGTTACTAAATTTTTTTTTAATAATCTCATTGGTTTATTTAAAATATACGCGGGGTTCAGCAACCAATGAAAGTTCAATGTAATTGAAAATAAGCCTTAATTTTCTAGATTTATAGTGACATCTACTTTTTTTTAAAGGGACAAAAAGAGAACTAACGATCTGTCATTTATCATCCAAAAAAACGTGTTTTTATTATTTATTTAACATTTGTTTTTCAGTCTTTTAAAACACAATCATGGTAAAAAAACCAAAAGGTAATTTTATTTCAATTAATTGTGAAGATTAAATTTATAATAGTTTTAAATTTCTATTATTTTATTTTCACGAAGCAAACATAACCTCTTTCTTTTAATTACGACTTTTAATAAATAAATTTTAATATTATTTATATATATTTAAAAAAGGGAAATTATAGAATTTTTTTTTCTTTTGATAAATATATCTGAAAGTTTTTATATAAATATATGGGGCATTCTATTTTAAAATTATACCCCTAGTAAACAATTGACAATATAAGACATTTTTTAAATAATTATTTCTCCCATTTAATTAAATCAAATTACTTTTGCAATGAGTGGTTTCGAAAGAGAAATTTCTAAACTTTACAATTGTAAAAAAATATTTAAATAGTATAAAAAATTTAGTTTGAAGGTTAAACTTGTAAATATCTCAAAACACGTTGTCTCCGATTTTGACAAAATCTATGTCAAAAGAAAGCTTAAATATTCTATTTTTTATTTCCGTAAAGTTTATAATGGACATTTTCGAGAATTTCCAGAAATTAATTAAAATTCTCAGACGTTTCGGAGGTTAAAAAGGATTGAAATTTGTATGAATGGAGAACCATTTCTTTAAGAGCGGATTTTGTTTTTTAAATTTAATTTCCATTAACCTTACATTATTACATCACTTGACATTAGAGAAAAAAAAATTGTAAACAATAAATATATTGATCTTTAGCTATTTGCAATTAAAAATTTTTCAAATTTAAAAAAATTATTAAGATTAAAATTGAAGTTTTAAAATTTATTTATTTAAAAATTTCGTAAAAACAAATGCCGCTGTATTTGAATAGAGGTTCTCTATTCATGCAAATTTCAATCCTTTTTAACCTTTGAAACGTCTGAGAATTTTAATTAATTTCTCGAAATCCTCGAAAATGTCCATTATAAACTTTACGGAAATAAAAAATAGAATATTTAAGCTTTCTTTTGACACAGATTTTGTCAAAATCGGAGACAACGTGTTTTGAGATATTTATAAGTTTAACCTTCAAACTAAATTTTTTATGCAAATTAAACTTTTTTTTAAAAAAATTTTTTTTACAATAATAATGTTTAGAAATTTCTCTTTCGAAACCACTCATTGCAAAAGTAATTTGATTTAATTAAATGGGAGAAATAATTATTTAAAAAATGTCTTATATTGTCAATTGTTTACTAGGGGTATAATTTTAAAATAGAATGCCCCATATATTTTTAATTTGTTTAAAAAATTTGATATTTTTTGTAAATTATTTAGAATTTGCCGAAAGTAAGGCGGAACGTCATATGATGACAATTGGAGAAATAATTCATGAATTATTACTTGCACATGAACAGCATCGAGATGTTGATTTAAATAAATTAAAAGCACGAATATCATCGAAATATGGATTGGACTCGTCTCCAAGGCTTGTTGAAATTATAGCCGCTGTTCCTTCTGATTTTAAAAAAATTCTTTTACCAAAATTGAAAGCTAAACCCGTGAGAACTGCCAGTGGTGTAAGTTTATCAAATATTTTTTTTTTTTTTTGAAAAATAACTTTTATAATTATTATTAATTTAACAGGGTAAGTAAAAACGATAACATTCGGACAAATGGATTTTAATTAAGTTTTCTCCAACGTTTCGAAATCACCCCGATTTCCTCTTCAGGGAGTCTAGCAATACAAAATTATAAAAATTATTAAAAATTAAAAACAACAAACAAAAATACAAAGAAATTAAATTAATAAGAGACGAAGATTATCAAAAAACAAAAATACAAAAGGCAGTCAGAATATTAAATAAATAAATAAAAATAAAATACATACATACAAAATTGTACAAGAACAATTAACAAAATATAATCAATAAATAAAATTAATTAATATATAGAAAAAAAAAAAATTAGAAAATAAATAAAAATAAAAATAATTGAATACAATAAATAAAATAAATAAATTAATAAAACAAAATATAAGTTACCAAATAATTATTATTTTATTTCGTAACTTATATTTTGTTTTATTAATTTATTTATTTTATTACCAAATAATTATTATTTTGTTTATTATTTTATTATTTTATTTGGTAACTTATATTTTGTTTTATTAATTTATTTATTTTATTTATTGTATTCATATTATTTTTATTTTTATTTATTTTCTAATTTTTTTTTTTTCCTATATATTAATTAATTTTATTTATTGATTATATTTTGTTAATTGTTCTTGTACAATTTTGTATGTATGTATTTTATTTTTATTTATTTATTTAATATTCTGACTGCCTTTTGTATTTTTGTTTTTTGATAATCTTCGTCTCTTATCAATTTAATTTCTTTGTATTTTTGTTTGTTGTTTTTAATTTTTAATAATTTTTATAATTTTGTATTGCTAGACTCCCTGAAGAGGAAATCGGTGTGATTTCGAAACGTTGGAGAAAACTTAATTAAAATCCATTTGTCCGAATGTTATCGTTTTTACTTACCCTTTTAAATATATTCTCTCGGACGTTAAAGAATTATTAATTATTAATTTAACATTTATTTGAATTTTTTTTTTTTTTTGTTTTCAGATAGCCGTTGTCGCTGTTATGTGTAAACCACACAGATGTCCACATATAAATATGACGGGAAATATTTGTGTATATTGTCCTGGTGGTCCAGATTCTGATTTTGAATATTCAACACAATCTTACACTGGCTATGAACCAACGTCAATGCGAGCAATTCGTGCTCGATATAATCCTTTTTTACAAACTAGACACCGTGTCGAACAAGTGAGAATTTCTTTTTTTTTTTGGAAAAAATCTTTTAAAGTAATTAAATATCTTTTTTTTGTTTAGTTAAAGCAATTGGGACATAGTGTTGACAAGGTGGAATTTATCGTAATGGGTGGAACTTTTATGTCCTTACCAGAGGATTATAGAGATTATTTTATTAGAAATTTACATGATGCTCTCTCGGGACATGTTAGCAGTAATGTTGCAGAGGCTGTAAAATATTCAGAACGCAGTCGAACAAAATGCATTGGAATTACAATTGAAACACGTCCTGATTATTGTCTCAAAAAACATTTATCTGACATGTTAAATTATGGGTAAAATTATTTTTTGTTTCTATTTTTAGTCTATTTAATATGATAATTAAAATTTATTTTAAAAAAATAGTTGTACACGTTTGGAAATTGGAGTGCAATCAGTTTTTGAAGACGTTGCTCGTGATTCAAATCGTGGTCATACAGTGAGAGCAGTTTGTGAAAGTTTTCATCTATCTAAAGACGCTGGATTTAAAGTTATTGCTCACATGATGCCGGATTTACCGAATGTCGATATTGAAAGGGACATTGAACAATTTGTCGTAAGTTTAAAAAATATTATTAAAAAAATTTCTAATTTAATTACAATTGTTTTTTTTCAATAAATAGGAATTTTTTGCGAATCCTGCATTTAGAGCGGATGGTTTAAAAATTTATCCAACATTGGTAATTCGTGGCACAGGTTTGTATGAATTATGGAAAACGGGAAGATACAAGAGTTATCCGCCAAGTGTTCTTGTTGATTTAATAGCACGAATTCTTGCATTAATTCCACCATGGACACGAGTTTATCGTGTGCAACGCGATATACCGATGCCTTTGGTCAGGTAATTCTTTTATTAAAAAAAAAAAGAAAGTGTGTATATTTTGAAAAGTATTTATTATTTTTAAATTTTAGTTCTGGCGTTGAACATGGAAATTTGAGGGAATTGGCACTCGCAAGAATGAAAGATTTTGGAACCGACTGTCGTGATGTTCGTACACGAGAAGTTGGAATTCAAGAAATACATAATAAAATTCAACCCTATGAAGTGGAACTCATTCGAAGGGATTATACAGCAAACAATGGTTGGGAAACTTTTCTCTCTTATGAAGATCCAACTAAAGATATTTTAGTTGGTTTATTGAGACTTCGAAAATGTTCAAATGAAACATTTAGGTAGGTTTTTTTTTTTTTTAAATTTAATTTAAAATTAAATAAAAATTAAAAAAAAATTTAATTTTCTCTAGACCGGAGTTGAAAGAAAAATGTTCAATTGTACGAGAATTGCATGTGTACGGAAGTGTTGTACCAGTTAATGCTCGTGATCCGACAAAATTTCAACATCAAGGATTTGGAATGCTTTTAATGGAAGAAGCGGAAAGAATCGCAAGGGACGAGCACAGATCTAATAAAATTGCTGTTATATCCGGTAAGTTTGGAATTTTTAAAGAAAATATATATTTTTTTTTTTATTAAAAACTAAAAATAAATTTTATTTCAGGTGTTGGAACGAGGAATTATTATCGTAAATTAGGCTATGAATTAGATGGACCTTATATGTCAAAACTTTTAATTTAATTAATAAAAATGGGATTTAAAATAGAATTTTTAATGATAGTTTTGTAAATAAATACAAATTTTTTTTTTTTATTAATAAAAATACAAAATATTGCTTTAACAGTATATTTATTTTGATATAGATTTTTCCTTTTTATTAACATTTTCTTTTCTAATTATTTTCTGTATAAAACATCGAATATTTACAAGTTTCTTGTGACATAATAAATTGGCTTATATAAAAAAAAAAAATAATTGTTTAACATAAAATGGCACAAAAAAATGACTTGATTACTTTTGTACAAGTTAATTTTACAATTCTCATTCATAAAAAAATAACACTTTTTGTTCATTTAACATTGCATACAAAATAAAAATAAATATTCGCACATTTTTATATAAATATATAAGGTACAAATTTGAGGTATTTATAATATTATAATTTCTTCAATTCATTGAAGAAAAAATCTTAATTATTTTTTTAAAAAAAAATCCCTTCAATAAATTTGAAATAGCTTAGCTAGTTTGTTAATTTAAATTAAAAAAAAAAAAATTATCCCTTCCTAACACCGCATTTTTTGTTAAATAGGATAAAAATCTTTATTTCGAAGTGAATCGACACTCTTTAAAATATTAAAATTTAAAACACCTAAATAAACATGATAGAGTGATAATTTAAAAAGTGTCCATTGCTCACCAATGGAAAGTTTCAATCGTGACCAATTTGTATGACAATATTTAAATTTTTCACCATATACAGATTTAACGCAACATTTTGACATTTCCATAAATGCATTCATTCTCGATTGTGTATTCAATGTATATTCAATACAACGAATAAGATCATTTGTTTTTAATATTAATAACATTTGCCTATCGACTTTTTGTAAAACATGACTTATTTGCGGTAATAAATTTGGTATTTCCTTTTGAAATAATTCCTTCTCTGTTTTTGAATATTTCTTCTTTTGTACACCATTTATTATTGTATCCCATGTTCTACCCGAAACCATACAGGAAAATAATCCATAAAAATCGCCAACGCCCAATTTTGTACAGTGCTCCTTCATTGCGTCCTGAAAAAAAATTATTTTCAAATTAAAAATAAAAAACAAATAAATTAAATAAGAAAAAAAAGTTACCTTATCTCCATCGAGAATTGCCAACCAGAGTTTTGAATATTCCCAACGAAATTCATTTGTTAAATCTGCATATAATCCATGATCAAGAAGAATAATTTCCGCGTTGCTTCCATTTTTTCTAACAAGAATATTTCCTGGATGTGGATCGGAATGAACAAAACCAGTTATAAAAATCATATGACTATATAATCGGCCTAATTTATTGCTAACTTCGAAAAAATTTAAACCATTTTTTTTTAAATAATCAACATCATTTATTTGTCCACCCTCCATGAATTCCATTGTTAATACTCGCGATGAAGAAATATTCCAATAAATTTTCGGTATCTGAAAAATTGAAATCAATTTTTTTTTTTTAATTTATTTATTAATAAAATTTTTTTCAATTTATCAAAAAATTTTGAAAACCTTGAGCCAATGATAATCTTTAAAAAGATTATCGAGTTTTTCAGCATTTTTTCCTTCCTGAGTGAAATCTAATTCACGTGGAATATTTTTCTTTGTCTCCTCAACAAGCCAATCGAATTTAAAATCAGGAAATATCCATGATGTAATTTTCACGAGAGTTGCCATTGTTTTAACATCAACATAGGCATTTGTTTTAACTGAACGATGTTGCACTTTAACTGCAACGGAATTTCCATCTTTGAGAATTGCTTTATGTACTTGTGCAAGACTTGCTGTACCCAATGGATTTTTTTCAATTAATGTAAATATTTCGTATGGATCTTTTTTAAAATCCTCTTTAATTACAGTGAGAACATCATTAAATGATGATTGTGGCGCAGAACTGTGTAAAATTCGTAATTTTGTCACATATTCTTGCGGTAAAAGATAATCCAAAGCTCCAATATGTTGTCCAACCTAAATTAATTTCCATTATAAAAAAAAAAATTTATTAATATATTTATTAATATAATAAATATAAAAAAATTCTATTTACCTTAATGTAAACTCCTTTATTAGCGCAACAAAGTTCCAAAAGTTTTTGAGCGCCAAATTTATGGGCTTCAGATTTTAATATCTCATATTCTGATGATCCTTTAACAACATTTGCTTTATAAAGATGTTTTTGATAATAATTACCAATTAGAAATACTGTAACAGCAGCTCGACCCAATCTGACAATTCCAATTGATCCAATATCATATTCATTTGCTCGTAACGATGCAAAAGTTCCTAAACCAATTGTTCCAATAGCAGCGGTTTTTAACAATCTTCTTGATAACATTATTGATATTCTAAAAAAAAAAAATCTTTTATTATTTTAATTTTTTTCACCACATTTGTTAAATTTATTATAAAAAAAATATTTAAAAATAATTAATAATATAAAGTAAATAGAGAAAAAGTGGAGCATGATGTAAACTAACCTCAAAATTGTCGAACTTTTTAGAAATAAACATTCGACTTCAAGCACTGTTTAGAAAAAAAAAAATAATTTTCTTATCGTTGATTTTTCCTCTCTTTTTTTTCACAATTATAAACTATATAATAAATTCACGATAACCTGATGTTAACCTAAAAAACCTCAAGTTGACAAACTATAAAAAAAAACTATTTCTTTTTATGTCATTCAATGATTCTATATAATTATAATAACATTTAAAAACTCACTGAATTTACATTATTTTTTTTTTGGAGGAAAACGTTAAAACTAATTTTCTTTTCATGGTGAAAGGTATATAATAATGATGACGCAAGTACGATTATTCTAATCATCTAATTTATAGGTCATCGACTTTCTCATATTTGTGTTTGTTATCAAAAGTTGGCAATTTTTTTTTTTTAAACGGAAAATAAAAATAAATACACTTTAGTTGTAGCTAATTATTTATAGTATTTAATAATTCTTTTTTAAAAAAAAAAAGATCTAAAAATTCCAATTTCAAATTGTGGACAATTTTCTGCCATTTTGAAAATTTATCCAATCAAAATTTAGAGGGACTTTATCATGAAAACGAGTCTTTAGGTTATTTTAATTTTTTTTTTTTTTTCATTGTAAATACGCCGCGACGCCGGTCTTGACGGTTCTTGGCTTCGGAATTTCTTTTTGGCGGGCAGAATCTATTCGACAGCAGATTAATAACTATCTTTAGAAGCTTGTAATCAAGAAATAGACAAATGGGTGATAAAGACGGAGGTAAATATCATTATTTAACAGTAATAATTTCAATATTACTAATCCAATAACTCGTGTATAATTTTATTCCACCACACGCGTCGTTTTTGCCATGATAATAAACAATGTTCTTTGTCCTTTAATTAATTCTTTTTTGCCATTTATTTTATTGATTAAGAGACCTTTTCAATATAGAAACATTAATTCTAAATGATAATTCAATTGATTTGAATTTAATATAAACTTTTATTTTGACTTTTTATTTCTCTCAATATTTCTAACCATGTTTCCATTTAAATTTGTTTGTTTTTATTTAATTTTTTTGTACATATAATTTTATATGTTTGAAAAGAAATGAAAATTTTTTTAAAATTATAAATATAATCATTTTTATGAATTTTGAAAATCAAGTAAAGATGGAAAAAATTTTGTAGAAACTTTTGACGACGCTGTCGAGGAACGTGTGATTAATGAAGAATATAAAATATGGAAAAAGAATACACCATTTTTGTACGATTTGGTGATGACCCATGCCCTTGAATGGCCATCATTAACTGCACAATGGTTACCTGATGTTACAAGACCTGAAGGTAAAGATTATTCTGTACATCGATTAATTCTTGGTACTCACACATCGGACGAACAAAATCATCTTCTTATTGCGAGTGTTCAATTACCAAATGAAGACGCTCAATTTGACGCCTCACATTATGATAATGAAAAAGGTGAATTTGGTGGTTTTGGATCGGTTAGTGGTAAAATTGAAATTGAAATTAAAATAAATCATGAGGGTGAAGTTAATAGAGCACGATATATGCCACAAAATCCATGCGTCATTGCAACTAAAACACCATCAAGTGATGTTCTTGTTTTTGATTATACAAAACATCCCAGCAAACCCGATCCAAATGGCGAATGTCATCCTGATCTTAGGTAAGAAAAAAAAAATTTTTTTTATTATAATTGCTATTTTTTTAAGAGGGTAGTCTGGTGTTAAGATGCCTTTTTTTGGGAGCTTATTTCAGGATTTTTTTTTATTATAAAATAAAATACACCAAATCTTTTTACTTCGTTTTATTCTAATCATGAAATGTTGAAAAAAATTATTTTTTACTAGATTTTGTTATTTATATTTAATATTAATGCAGGCCTCGGATTATACGACTTTTTCGACTATTTTCGACTTATTTTAATAAAATGCGACTATTTCGACTTTTTTTTTTTTACATTTTTTAAACAAATTTTTAAATAAAATATATTTTTTTAGTATAAAATTCAGATCTTCTTTTTTTTTAATTATTTAACAAATTTTTAACTAAAATTCTTCACTAAATTAATTATTTTTAATAATTTTAATGAAATTCATCACAAATTCAATTATTTCAAATTATTTTTCAATTAAAATTTTTATGAAATTTAACAATTGTTTATAATTTTCAAAAAAAATATCAAATAAAATTACCAAAAATTTTTAATTCAAAATCAAATAAAGTTCAATTATTTTCAAAAATTTCAATTTAAAATCAACTAAAATTCAATTATTATTCAAAATTTCAATTCAAAATCAATTGAAATTCAATAATTATCCAAAATTTCAATTCAAAATTAATTATTATCAAAATTTTCAATCAAAAATCAACTAAAATTAAATTATTATCCAAAATTTCAATTGAAATTCAATTATTTTCAAAAATTTGAATTTAAAAACTTCTAAAATTTTCTATCGAAAAATTTTTGAAATTTAATAATTTCTATTATAACTCTCCGGAAATTTAATTATTTTTTAACGATTTTTATAATATTCTTTAAAAATTCAATTTTCTGAAACCATTTTGCAATTAAAATTCAATTATTTTCAAAAATTTGTATTTAAAAGCTTCTAAACTTTAATTAATTCTAAAATTTTCCATCGAAAATTTAAAAAAAAATTTTTTTTTTTTTAATTTAAAAAATGTTATCTGAAATTATATTTGATAAATTATTTTTAGTTTTGTAAAATTTACTTATTGTCTGAAAATTAACAAAATCTTTTTAAATTCAATTATTTCTAAAAATTTCAACTTTAAATCCTTCCAAAAGTATTATTATTTAAAAAAAAAATTTGATTTAAAAATCTGTAAAATATTTTTGTTAAAATAAAAAAAAAAATCGACTTTTTTTAAGAATATAAATCGACTAAAACGACTTTTTTTGTGCCTTTAAGTCGATCCGAGGCCTGTTAATGTTTATAACAAAAAAAAAATGCTGGCGCAGGTGATTTACAAAAAATCTATCCGACCGATTGCTCCAATTTTTTTTTACAGTTTATTCTACACAAGCATTGATATAAACATTAATATTAAATATAAATAACAATGTCTAGTAAAAAATAAACGATTATAATTTTTTTTCAACACTTCATAAGGAGAATAAAACGAAGTAAAAAAGATTTGGTGTTTATTTTATTTTATAATAAAAATAAATTCTGAAATAAGCTTTTAAATAAAGGCCTAAACACCAGAATACCCCCTTAAATTATTAATTATTGATTTAGTTTTCTGCAATAGAAAAAATTTTAAAGGCAAAATAAATTTTTTTCTTATTTCAGTTATTGAAATTTAATTACTATTTTTGTTTTTCTTTTCTATTTTTGTCCTTGACAAATGTTTGTATTTAAATTTCCAGCAAAATTTAAATTTATCGAATAAAATGAAAATATTTGAAATTGTAAATATAAATACATTTTCTATTTGAAGATATTTAAATGTTTACAATTTTTTATTTTCATGATAAATTGATTTTCTAAATTGACTAAATTATATGACACTGAAGTTACCAACGTTGAATCGACGAAAAGAATTTTCTTTTTCCTAAGATTGAATATTTCTCTGCCTTAATTGAGGATTTTTAGTATTTAAAGATGTATTCGGGACCAAAATAAAGAAGTTTCAATTAAAAAAAATTGGTTCTTAGCCTTTAAACTAATCTGAAAACGAAAAATTCGTTCGTCGATTCGTCGAATCAACGTTGGTAACTTCAGCGTCATTAAATTATTGTAAATTTGATAATAATTTCTTTAAAATTAAAATTTTTGAATATATTTGAATTTAATTTGTGAAATTAAAAATATTTGTATAAATAATAATTAAAATTTTTTTTTTTTTAATAAATAGGTTGCGAGGACATCAAAAAGAAGGCTATGGACTCTCTTGGAATCCAAATCTTAATGGTTACTTATTGAGCGCATCTGACGATCATACAATTTGCTTATGGGACATTAATGCAACTCCAAAAGAAAATCGTGTTATTGATGCTAAAACTATTTTTACCGGACACACGGCTGTTGTTGAGGATGTTGCTTGGCATCTTTTACACGAATCTCTCTTTGGATCGGTTGCTGATGATCAAAAATTGATGATTTGGGACACAAGGTACTTTTTTTTTCTTTTTTTTTTTTTTTTAATTTTGAAAAGTAAATTAAAATTTTTTTTAATTTTCACAGATGCAACAATGTTAGTAAACCAAGTCACACAGTTGATGCGCACACAGCTGAAGTAAATTGTTTGAGTTTCAATCCATATTCAGAATTTATATTGGCAACTGGAAGCGCTGATAAAACAGTCGCATTGTGGGATTTGAGAAATTTAAAATTGAAATTACATTCATTTGAATCGCATAAGGATGAAATTTTCCAAGTTCAATGGTCGCCGCATAATGAAACCATTTTGGCGAGCAGTGGCACCGATAGACGTTTGCATGTCTGGGATCTTAGCAAGATTGGCGAGGAACAATCTAGCGAAGATGCTGAGGACGGTCCACCTGAATTACTCGTAAGTTTTCAAAATTAAAAAAAAAAAAAAATAAATAATAATTAAAATTCTTTCTCTTTTTGCAGTTTATTCATGGAGGACATACAGCGAAGATCAGTGACTTCTCCTGGAATCCAAACGAGCCATGGGTCATTTGCTCGGTCTCTGAGGATAACATAATGCAGGTATGGCAAATGGCTGAGAATATTTACAATGACGAAGAGCCAGATACGCCAGCCAGTGAACTTGAACCCGGTGCTTGATAGCTTTTTTCCGAGAGAGAAAAATTCATTTTCTGAATGTTGAATGCAAAAAGAAAAAGAAAAAAAAAGTGAGGTACCCTTTAAAAGAAACTCACTTTTTTTTTCTTTTCTTATCACGTTCCCTAGCTAGAATTTCAATTATTTCTTTTTGTTAAAAAATTTACACAAGAAAAAATTTTTTCTCTTTCAATAATGATTTTTTTTAATTTATATTTAAAAATGTGTTGAGTTCTTTCTTTCTTGTTTGACAATGTCTTGGCACGTAAAAATTATTTTATGTGTGTGCCGTGTTGATAAATTATTTACAAAAAAAAAAAAAAAAAACGGCCTCTAAATTTTTTTTCTTCTAGTTTTTATGAAAACGAATTTTCTTTTTTTAATCCACAGCCAATAAAAATTGTGATTGTCGAGTATAAAAATAAATGTCTTTTTAAATGTTTTTTTTTTTTTTTTTTTTTTCTACTGTAGATGTATAAGCCACTGGTATAGAAATCATTGAATGAAATTTGTAAAATTTTCGACATCGTCCGAATAAAATGTTTTTTTTTCCATAAATATTTGAATTTTCTTGAGTAAAAACCAAAAGAATAAAAATTATATAGATAGTGTAGATTTATTGATTAACGTACAATGTTTTTTTTTTTTTTCAAGGATGTTTATAAACTTACGAATAGAGTAAATATTTTATAATCTTTTTTTTTTCTAAGTTGACAAAATTCATAAATATTTTTTTTTAAGTGATTTTAGAATCGCAGTTTCGAGTTTTTTTTTAACAAATGTTCGCTTTTTTTTGTTAATTTTGGCACTTAGTTAATGTAGTAGAGGTAAAAGAAGTAAAAGCAGAAGAAAATTGTTCCCGTTTTTTTTTGGCTTTTTTCTTTTTTTTAAATAGTTGTGTTTGAAAGCTCGTTGTAAATATGAGCAAGCAACGAATCCGTCTCTGGACTTTTTAGGGAAATCATATCGTCACTATCGAGTGATGAAATTCTGAAAAAAGAGGAAAAAATATTGATGCAATTTTCTTTTTTTAAGGTATTTGTTTTTTTTTAAATTATCATTTACCAATATCTGCGCATTATTAAAACTTGATTCGACGATCGTGATCTATGCCTATGTCTGCTAAGCATGCAAAATAAAGACTTAATTTTGTAAAATGAAAATTTTAAAAAATTGAAAACACAAAATCCAAGTTTTTTTTTAATGTTGAAAAACGATTATTTTTTCATATTTATTTACCGTGTGCTTGAATTTGATCTCTTAATTCCATCAAGTAAATTTACAATCGATGGTGTGAGAGTTGGACGAAATATCTAAAAATTTAATTTTTTTTAAATAAAATGATGTATTTTTTTTTTAAATAACGAATAAATGAAAAATTTGATTCTCACTGTAACTGGAGCACTTCGCAATTCACGAAGGTCGATATTTCTGAAAAGATCGTGAACGATAAGCTCCTCAACACTCGGATATCGAGGTCCTTCAAACAAATGTTTCAAAAATCTACTCACCTAAAAATCAAATAGGAAATTAAAAAAAAAAAAACCAATTTTACATACTAAATTATTAATAAAAACGGAAAAGAAAAATACTTGTGGATATTTTTGAAGATCCGTGAAATGAACTGACGTGGGTTTAAATGAACATAATTCGTATCCTGTGCACATTTCAAAGAGCATGTGACCTGAAAAGAGAAAATTTTTTTTGAATAAAGAAGATTAATTTGAAGAAAAAGAAAAGGGGAAAAAAAGTTTTGCTGATATATATATATATACCAAAACAAATAGTATCCATGGAATTGTAATGCGCTAATCTTGAAGTGATTATTGTATGTGTACGACTTGTAAAACCAAGAAGTGTATTTTCTAAGCCAGCAAGACGCGCAACTCCATTTTGAACAACAACATTGCCAGAATGTAAATGAGTCACCGTTGGGAATCCACGTTCTTTTAAAAAGACAAGTGCCTCGAGGATTTGCCGACCCATTTGTTGAATTTGGGGTAAAGGAAGACCCTTGCCTCGAGCTGAATATTTTTGACCCCAATCCTCGTTCCAACAATTTCTCTCAATCTACAAAGAAAAAAAAAGACACTTTATCTCCATCTTTAATATTTACTTTCTGAATTTTAATATAGTTAAAAATTATTATATTAAAATTTAGTTAAATTACTTTTATAAATTTTTTAATTAATTACTTTTAAAAAAAATGTACTTTTGAATTCGAAATTTAAAAAAAGAAATATTTTTCTAATTAATAATTACTCCGTAAATTAGATCCTTGAGGCTTCCTTGATTAATTGGCTGTAAAAGAATTGCATAATTCATCCCTTCGTATTCAATGAATTCAAGATCCAATATTGGTGAGATATAGGGATGTTGAAGAACAAGAAAAAGATGATTAAGAATATCCTTAGTCGATGGTGTTATTTCTAGAGGACAATTTTTATTCAACGGTGTCAGTGTCAAAATTCGATCTGTTTTCAATGAAGTATCCCTCACGATAAACCAATGTTTGTCCATTCGAGAGCCTGATAGAAAATTAATTTCATTATATTTGAATTAGAAAAAATGATAATAAAAAGAAATTTTATTTTCCGACTTTTAATTTAGTAATAAAAAAACTTATTTATTAAAAATTTAGTTCTTTTTAATATTCACAATCTATTATTCAGAGAGGATTATTTTTGCTTCTTTAATCCGGGACAATGTCTCAATACATTTATAGACGTAGAATTCAATAAAATTGATTTTATATATAATACCAATATTGTTGAGCTGTTTTAATAAAAGATAGCGAGATGTTCCATGAATGTAAGTGGTGCAAATCGATAGGGCACGATCTCTGGATCGTTTTTCCATTTCCACATATTCTCCAACGTCATCACAACCGGAAGGTCCATTACCCAAGGCAGTGTATTGATGTTTTCCGTTTCTAATATTAAAATAATTAAATAATATTGATTTTATTAATTTAGTCGAATTTCAACATTGAAATTAAATATAAAAATACAAATTTTTTCCATTATTAGATAAAAAAAATAATTACATTTAAAATTAAATCAATTAAATTTTAATTTGTTTCGATTAAATAAATTTTTTTTTTAATTTCATATTTCATTTTGCTTGATTGCAGAAAAATGTTCTCAATTGAAAATTACATTACTATATTAACTACTCGAGGCGAAGAATTCTTTTCTCATGAGAGTGTTAAATCGGTCCTCGACCCGCAAAGCGGATTAAGTTCATGGAGAAAGAATTTCTTGAGTTCCTCTGCGAATTTTTTTTTTTCCGTTTTTCATATAGTCAACACTGACCTCCAACTCAAGAGGATTAATATTATAGCAAAGAAAAAATTTTATTTTCTTAAATAATATTTATATTTTTGAATAATTTGAAGAAAAAAAAAAAAAATTGGTAAAATTGAAATAATTATTTTTTACATTGAAGGAAACTAGAAAAATAATTTTAAAAAATCGATAATGAAACAAAATTACGATAAATGAAAAAAAATTTTCAATTTCTCATGATTAATGAAATATAATGAATTTGAGTGATATATAGTTTTAAAATAATCGATATATTATACGTTTTAAAGGTCCAGGTTAACACGACAGACACTTAAGAGAGACAATGAGAAAAGAAGACAATACACGATACTTGGGAGAGACAATGACGATATGAGTATAGAGAACTCCACATTATCTCGCGCAAGCTTGTTCTCAGTGAACAAATAATGAAAAAAAAATTACTAACTTCTCTTCTTTATGAAAAAAAACATTTTTCTAGCCCGAGGTTAATTTACGAATTTTACTCTGTTTTTAATTTAAGTTTCTCAGTTTAATTTTTGTTTCTCAATTTAAAATGCTTACAATTAGTTTTTTTTTTTTTTAAATTCATATTTCTTCTCCTTTATATCATTTAGATTTTAATTTCAAATTTAATAAAAAAAATTCATTTTTCATTTCAATTATATAATTAAAATGACAATTTTCGAATATTATAGATTTTGAATTACAATTTTTTTTTTATTAAACTTTTTTTTGATAATTATAATTAAAATTAAATATTTTTTAAAAATTGTATTTTGTATTGTTTTTACCTGACTTCATTTTCTCGACATCCACGGGCAGGTGAAACGCGATTAAATAAAATTTTCGCAAGACTATCAATTTTATTGGTGAGTGGATAATTTTTTTCATCCTCACTATCATCTTCCTCAATACTTGCACTTCGTCCACGTTGTAAAACATTTCTGGCAGTTAACATTGCTCCCGAATCCAATTCAATTGCACTTTGTGTTCTTCGTCCGACATTTCTTCGTTTTTTTCTTGTTCCCGGTCTCTCTTGACAAAATCTATCATGACCAGTGACTTCAGTTTCTCTATGATATTCATAATCATCTTTATGTTTACCAAAATTTTGATACAAATTGAACATTTTTTCTTATTATTATTATTATTATTTATTAAAATCGTTGCGACTGGATGGAATTTTCTTGGTCCCAAAAATTAAAAAAAAACTGAAACACAATTAATAAATTTCAAAAAAAAGTAAACTTGGAAGTTAATTTTTTTTTAAATTTCAAAAATTGTTTAAATAAACAATTCCTTTTTTTTAGATATTTTTAATTAAAAGGAAATAACATTTTTTTCCGAGTTCAAAAACTGAAAGTTATTTTAAAAAATTATAATTTACATATTATTATTAATAATAAATTGCAATTTTTTATTTAAATTCAAAATTACGTAAATAAAAAAAAGCAATAATTTTCTTTTGTACAAGAAATTAATTTAAAAAAATTGTTCTAATAATAAAATTTCAAAGTAAATTTAAAAAAAAGAGTGTTACCTGAATTAGAAATCTGCATGAAGTTTTTTTTTTAATTATTGTCTTGTTGAAAATTGGCAGATATACAACATCCTGGCGTTTATTTATTGCAAGGACTCTCGATTGGCTTCAAAAAAAATTTTTTTTTTTAAAAGCAGACAGCGATAAATTGAAAAGTGAACAATTTTGCAGGCAGTGAACCCTCATGAGGGTGGAAGTGCACTGGTCGCCGGAATGCGTGTGCGGGGTTGCATCCCCAATACCCGGCGTGACATAGATTCGCGAAAGGTAGATATAGTGGTTTGGTGGCTGCGCTGTGACCGGGACACTAACATCACCCGCAATTATATATGTATATAATAAAGTTGTGTATTATAACTTCATTTCATAACTATAAACGTCCCGTCTGAAGGGAGTTAAGTGCCGACGGGGTCATTAAAATATCATTAACAATCATGAATTATTAAAAATAAAAGAAAAATTTTATTAAACATTTTTTTTTCTCTCGGCCTTTTTTTTATAAATCAAAAAACAAAAAATGTTTGATAAAAATCAAGATTTATTTTAATAAATAATAATTGAAAAATAATTAAAAATTAATTTCAATGACTTTTATTCCCTGATATTTACTCATTATTTTGCGCTTGAATAATTTATTGTGTAATGAACGTGAATAATTTGTTCTCACAGGGTTTTTTTTTTAATTTTCTTTTTTAATAGCTAATTAAAAGCCATCAGCGTCTAAAATTATCAATTCGGTTTTAATTTTCAAAAGTTAATAACCGGAAATAAATTCTCACCGATACATGTCAATGTCTATAGCGAATTTATCGACAACCTCTATTAAATGAAAATGACGTTATAACACTCGCAAATCGATTAGTCTCATAGTCTAAAAGGTGAAAAATCCTTTTTTTTCTTAATTACAGAATATTAATTTTTTTTTATTCATCATTTTATTATGAAAAAATAGTATATAAAATTTGTATTTTATCTTTTTTAATCGAAAAATATTTCTTTTATTGACGAACTAAGAGAAGAAAAAAAAAACTTATAGTGAGCTTCGTTGTTACGTAAGAATTAGAGAAAAGAAAAATATTTTATAAGTAAACAAAAAAAACGTATTTGTACTATGAAATCCCTGACCCCAAAGCTGAACTTGGAGACCACATTCGGTCCTAATCTTTTTGCTTTACAGTTTTATGGCTGCATTCAGGGACAATTTTAACAATTTCAAAACTCACTTATTCTTATGCTAATTGGCTCTTAATATAATCATATTTTTTTTTCTTGACCGATATAACAAAACGAAACATCATAAATAACTTTCGAACAAGAACATTTTTTTATGATAGAAAAATAAACGGAACTTAAAAAAGAATTCCGCAAAAAAAAAGAAATTAAAAGAACTTCAACCCATAAAATCGCGAATATTATGTTGAATATTTTTAAGTTGAGACGTCCATTCTTCAACGGGTTTATTTCTGTAAATCTATTCAAGAAAAAACAAAAATCAATTTTCTAATGCTTAAATTAAAAAATAATTTCAATTTTTGAATTTTAATTTACTAATTTTGAATAAAAAATTTAGATCTATATTTTTATAGAATTTTCAATAAAGGATTAAATTTGTTTTTTAAGTAAATTTAAAATAAAAATTTTTTTCTTAAATTGAGAATTTCATGATAAAATATAAATATTTTTAACTTTTGAAAACGATAATAAAAATTGAAAATATTCTCTCACCCTTGATACAAATTGAAGAACTTCTAATTTATCCAATTCATGCTCAGCTCGAGATCCCCATTCATATTGAAATTTTTCCGGTTCACTATTTTCAACTTTTGAGCGTGTTAAGTAACGTTGTTTAATAAAATCCTGGAATTAATAAACAAAAATCAATGTTTACATGAAAAAATTAAAATTATATAAAAATTTAGTTTTTATTCACTGTAAATATTTCTTACCACAGTTATTAACTGATTTATATCACCAAAATAATTGTGTCTAAAATTATCTCCATCCACAATAGCCAACTTCCGTAGAAAATTGAACAAATTATCTATAAGAAAATATTTTATTCATTTGTTTGATTTGAAAACATTTTTTTTTTAATATGTGATTTAATTTAAATTAAGATTTTCAAAAGAAAATTCTATAATAATAATAATTATTCAAAACCAGACCTTCAGTAGAAACGGTATCGTTCATAAAAATGTGAGACAAACATATGAACAAAAGAACCATTTGATTTTTTTCCATTGGAAAAGTCACATGATAATCATTATTGGAAATTTCGTTAATCAAAATATATTTTCCATTATCAATTTCTACTAAATTATATCCAAAAACCTGTTTAAAAAAATAAGTTATTATTTTATTATATATGGGGCATTCTATTTTAAAATTATACCCCTAGTAAACAATTGACAATATAAGACATTTTTTAAATAATTATTTCTCCCATTTAATTAAATCAAATTACTTTTGCAATGAGTGGTTTCGAAAGAGAAATTTCTAAACTTTACAATTGTAAAAAAATTTTTTCAAAAAAACATTTAAATAGTATAAAAAATTTAGTTTGAAGGTTAAACTTGTAAATATCTCAAAACACGTTGTCTCCGATTTTGACAAAATCTATGTCAAAAGAAAGCTTAAATATTCTATTTTTTATTTCCGTAAAGTTTATAATGGACATTTTCGAGAATTTCCAGAAATTAATTAAAATTCTCAGACATTTCGGAGGTTAAAAAGGATTGAAATTTGTATGAATGGAGAACCATTTCTTTAAGAGCGGATTTTGTTTTTTAAATTTAATTTCCATTAACCTTACATTATTACATCACTTGACATTAGAGAAAAAAAATATTGTAAACAATAAATATATTGATCTTTAGCTATTTGCAATTAAAAATTTTTCAAATTTAAAAAAATTATTAAGATTAAAATTGAAGTTTTAAAATTTATTTATTTAAAAATTTCGTAAAAACAAATGCCGCTGTATTTGAATAGAGGTTCTCTATTCATGCAAATTTCAACCCTTTTTAACCTTTGAAACGTCTGAGAATTTTAATTAATTTCTCGAAATCCTCGAAAATGTCCATTATAAACTTTACGGAAATAAAAAATAGAATATTTAAGCTTTCTTTTGACACAGATTTTGTCAAAATCGGAGACAACGTGTTTTGAGATATTTATAAGTTTAACCTTCAAACTAAATTTTTTATGCTAATTAAACGTTTTTTTAAAAAATTTTTTTTACAATAATAAAGTTTAGAAATTTCTCTTTCGAAACCACTCATTGCAAAAGTAATTTGATTTAATTAAATGGGAGAAATAATTATTTAAAAAATGTCTTATATTGTCAATTGTTTACTAGGGGTATAATTTTAAAATAGAATGCCCCATATATAAATATAGATATTTTTAAATAATAAATTTTTGTTAATTAAAAAAAAAAAAAAAGGAATACCTTTCGAAAAGTTCTTCTTGCAAAATCCATAACAGTACGATAATGCTTTGAATTATTCAAAACATTCTTTTGAATATTCTGTCTGAGAATTGGATGTCGACTACGATCGGTAACAAGAATATATCTAACAACATGACCCATTAAACGATTAAGTTCATCATCAGGAAGAACAGTTTGGGTTCTTTGTGTACTCATTGAAACATCATCATCGTCATCAACAACAAATTGTGTATTATTTTCAATTTGTGATTTTCTTTTCCCTTGTGATCTTTGACTCTGTGACATTGTGCTATTATTATCTTTTTTTTTTCTTCGATTTTGTGTTTGAGAACGATAACGAACTGAACCTTCATCGTCGTTGTCACTGTTACTGTCACTTTCAACTATACGATGCTTAATTGATCTTCGTGACATTTTTATTTTCTTTTTAATATAAACAAATTAACCGCAAATCTATAAATATGCATATAAACAGAAAAAAAGATTTAAATTTTTTAAATTTCTTTACAGCAAATTTCAAAATTTTAGAAAAAAAAATTATTACAATTATCCTTTAAAAAATAAAAGTAACTAATCAATAAAAGTATCAAAACTTTAAGAAATATTTTCTTAAATTTTTAAATAGACAATTTGCAAGCGCCAGAAAAAAATGAGGTTATGTTTGCTGTAAATGTTTCAATTTGTTTTATTGAAATTTGCTGAAAAAAATAAATGATATATAATATCAAATTAACTAACCTGTAAATTGGCACTTTCGTGTAATAAATATTTCATGTACTTGTTTAACACTGATAAATGACAATTTTTAAAAACTGATTTACAATTTTTCCGGTATTTTTCCGTTTGTTTATCAATTGACAAATAATTCCTAAGGGCTGCCAACCACGGAGCAGTATAGCCAACTTTCTTCTCTAGTTAGATGCGCATGCGTACATACAGCAAAAAGTAAGGTTATTTTAAACTGTCAAAAAAACATCAGTAAACACTCAAACAATTGTTATTATTAAATAATTAATATAAGTTGAAAATTAAGGTAAATATTGACAAAATATATTCATATTTCTAAAATATTATAACGAGAAAATAATATTAAGAAAATTAAAAAAAAAAATTGTAAACAAAAAGTGATAAACACGTGTTGTAAAAACAGTAAAAAATGTATTAATTTGCATTTATATGCTCTATATATTTACAATTTTAAAACTAATTACATTTTTAAATAATTACAGAGATATATAAAATTTTTAAAAAACTATTTGGAATAATATTTCTTGATTTTTTAACTCTAACCTCAAAATCATGGTTTCGAAATTTAAGAAGTCTCGAGAATCAAGAATACAAATGGAAGAACATGGAGTTATTAGTGTAAATATTAATATTTTTTTTTCTATATTTATAGTAAAATTGTTTCTATATTTTATTAATTTTTTTTTCTTATTTTCAGAATCTTCCAGAGCCTTGGAGTTTAAAAATTTTTAAAGAGGTAACCTCATGTTTTTATATATATAATTATAATTATATTTATTTGAAGAAAAGGACCTTAGAAGCAAAAAATTATAGGTTATGTTTTGAAATTTTTAAGTGAAAATATACAAAGACGTTTAATTTTAAATGCAAACTAATAATATTTAGATCTTCATTACATAGAAAATGTTCAATAAAAATTGATTTCAGTTTTTCAAAAACAAAAATAAACTTTTAATTCTATAATCTGTCGTAAACATAACCTATAATTCGTTTCCTTCTAAGGTCCCTTTCTTCAGATCGCGTCACGATAAGATATTTAAATAATATAAACTTTTTATATTTTTAGAATTTTAATATCAAAATAATTAAGGAATCTGAAAATCAAATGGAATTAGAATTTGATTTAATTGGATGTCAAACATCATTGGCAAATGCAATTCGTAGAATTCTTATAAGCGAAGTACCATCAATGGCAATTGAAAAGGTTTTTATTAAAAGTTATAATAGTATAATGCAAGAGGAAGTATTGGCACACAGGTGATTAATATATTTTCGTTGAATAAAAAATTTATTTTATAAGTGAAATTAAAAATAAATTTTTTTTTCTATTAGACTTGGACTTATTCCACTTCGAGCTGATTCACGATTATTCGATTATCCATCAAATGAAGGTAATAAAGAGGACGAAGTAAGTGAACACGAAACTTTACGATATGAATTGAAAATTTCCTGTTCGCATAATAAACAAGCGTCTAAAGAATCAAGAAGACTTGAAGAAATGTATATTAATCATAAAGGTAAAAAGAAAAATAATTTTTTTTTTAGTTTCATAATTAAACATTTTTTTAAAAAATTAATTATTTTCAGTTTACAGTAATGATATAAAATGGTGTCCACTTGGTAAACAAATGGAAATTTATCCAAGAGGTGAGGAACAAGTTGGAGTAATTCATAAAGATATTTTATTAAATGAATTGAATCCTGGTCATGAAATGCACATTTATATGCACGCTGTTAAAGGCATTGGCAGAGATCATGCAAAATTTTCTCCCGTTTGTATGTATAAATTTTTTTTGTTATTTATGCATTTTTTTTTTTTTTTTCTTAAATTTAATCAATTATTTTTTTCAGCGACTGCATTTTATCGATTATTGCCACGAATTACAATTCTTAAAAGTGTTAAAGATGAGAAGGCTGAAAAATTGAAAAATTGCTTTAGTCCAGGAGTTATTGAATTAGTAAAAACTGAATCTGGTGGAAAAGAGGCACAAGTAATAAATTCACGTTATGACAGTTGTTCACGTAATGTTGAACGACACGAGGATTTAAAAGATTGCGTTTTATTGGAACGTGAACCAAATCATTTTATCTGTTAGTATTTTCTATTAAAAATAATTTAAAATCAATTTATTATTTTTTTTGGTAATTACTAAATATTTTCAATTTTATTTACAGTTACAGTTGAATCTGTTGGCGCTCTTCCATCGTCTGTTTTATTTGTCGAAGCAGTGAAAATTCTTAAAGGAAAATGTCGAAGTTTTATCGAACTCCTGGATTCTATTAGCTAATTTTATAATTAATTCGTTGTAAAAAAAAAAAAAAATTCGTAACAATTTGATTATTATAAAAAAATTATTTTTTAATACAATTAATTTGTAAATTTTAAATGTTTTTTGTCGAAAAAAATTAAATAGTTTTTTTCATCAATTTTCTATTAATTAAATAAATACTAAATAAATTAAAATACTAAATATTAAACTTTAGACGATATTTTTAAATTTGAGCGGGAAAGTGATTTAAAAATGGCGTCTCATTTATTACGTCATTATCTTGGATTTGACAGTTTGTTGATATTTTTTTTGTGTATTTTTACACGCAATAAAAGCAAATTTTATAAATACTAGTTTAAAGTTTATTTATAATTAAAATAATGGACGCGTTAAAAGCGGAAATTCAAAGAAAACGAAAAGAATTGGAAGAAAAGAAACTATTGTGTGGCAAGAAAAAGTATTTTAAAAAATCGGATTTTTTATCAAATAATGATGAAAAATTACAAACAAATGGTGTTAATAGTGATAAATTATTATCGGTGAAATCTGAGGAAAAAGTTGGTGTTGAAGAAACAAATGAACATTTAACATTACCACGAAATGAGGTTATACGTCGTTTACGTGAACGTGGTGAACCAATTTTATTATTCGCTGAAACTGAACAGGATGCATTTAAAAGACTTCGAAAATGTGAAATTCTTGAACCTGAAGTAAATAAAGGATTTAGAAATGATTTTCAAGAAGCAATGGAACAAGTTGATTTGGCATATGTTAATGAAATTCTTGCACCACTTAAACCAGGAAGTAATGGTTCTAAAGTGGATGTAAATATTCTTGATGGTAGTGTTATTACTTATGAGGATTTACAGCAAAAATCAATAAAATTAAATAGAGGCGATCGTGAATATGATATGAATGTTATAACACAATTTCTTCAATATTTAGTACAAATGTGGGGTAATCAATTGAATAGTCGTTGTGCTGCTGAAAAAATGGGAACACGTGGAAAAATGGCAAGTGCAACATATGCACAAACAAGAGAATATATTAAACCATTATTGCGTAAATTACAAAATAAATCACTCACCGAAGATATTACTGATAGTTTAACGGAAATTGTTAAACATTTACTTGAGAGAAATTATATTCTTGCAAGTGATGCTTATTTACAAATGGCAATTGGCAATTCACCATGGCCAATTGGTGTCACTATGGTTGGTATTCATGCACGTACGGGTAGAGAAAAAATTTTCTCAAAAAATGTCGCTCACGTTATGAACGATGAAACACAACGAAAATATATACAGGCATTAAAACGTTTAATGACAAAATGTCAAGAATATTATCCCACGGATCCTTCACGTTGTGTGGAATTTTCAAAAATTTAAATCTTAAACTAATTATTGTTTTTTTTTTTTATAAAGATAAATTATTTTTCATTTAAATTGTATTAAGATTAATTTTTAAAAAGTTGTAAATTCAATTTTTCTTTGTGCAAAATGTAAATATGTGAAATTCATTTCTTTTAAGAAAGTGAATTTGTAATTTCAATTTTTACAACGATAGAAGAATAATTAAAAATTGTATCTGAATTTTGTTTAAACAAACTTTATTTATAAACGTGTTATATTCTTATACAGTTTGTTTATTTCTTTACACATTTTAATGGCTAATTTATTCATTAAAGAATCTCATACAATTTGTTAGCTTTACAAATTTTTCTTGTCCTTAAATTTTATATATATATATTTTTTATATATAAACCACTTTTCTTTTAGTATAAAGTTTATAATAATCTTGATAATAATGCGCACTATTCTCGAAATTTTTTTTTATTTCAAGCATTTTTCGATGATCGTTTACAATGGAATATTTTGTTTTACTTACTATATATAATATACTTCAATCGCAAATTATTTTTTTATATACTATATTATAAATTTATATTTTTATAATTTGTAATTAAATTTAAAAAGAAAGAAAAGATAATTCATCTACTACAGTAAATAACAAAATTTAATGTTAAAAACTGTTTTAGAAAATATCATTTCATTTAATTTACGATATACAACACATTAAAATTAAACCAATTTTCATTTCATATTTTTTACACATTTACATCGAAAATATATAATGTTTATATATTTCATATATTTATACTATATATTTATATATTCTAAATTTGCCAAATGTACGATAAACTTTTTTTTTTTATAAATTCGCCATTGAGCTTATCGAATTTAAAAAAAAAAAGTTTTTTTTCGGAAGTTAATTTCATTCAAATATTTTTCAGTTAATAATATAATCGATGCGTTTAATATCATTCGTTTTTTTTTCTCATCAAATATTGTTCTAAACTTAAAAGTTTAGAATTTGGTTAAGCAAACCAAAAATTAGAGCACATTACTAATTTAAATAAATTAACAAATTTTATTCAAAAATAACAATGAAACGTGAATTCTAAATAATAATAAGATTAGTGGCTAAAAAGTTAAAAGCAAAAATGATTGTAAAATTCATAACGGATTTCATATTAAAATCATTTAAAAACAGCTAACACGGTGAAAAAAAAAATTAAACGTTATTTTCTTAACAGTAACAGCCATTTGCATACAATTATTATAAGATAAAAAGGTAAATATCACTTAATATACAATTTTTCAGTAGTACATCATTTTTCAAAGTTTAGATATACAAGTTACGTGTGTATTTTGTTATTTATTCCTTCTTCATTATTATTATTTTATATATATATATATCAGTATCTGTAAAAAAATTTGCAAGCAGGAATGAATAACAGTATTTAAAAACTTTTACATTTCCTCTATACAATTATTTTTCTTTTTAATTAACACACCACTGTTGCTTAAATTATAAATTATGGCAATTAAGAAGTTACGACTAAATTCAATTTATAAAAATCTTATTTGTAAAATTTTAAATAATTTCAAAACAAAATTTGCAACAGTTTTAAAAATTAAACAAAATTTAATAATTCATGTTAATTTTCATGGAAGTATTTATTATTAAATATTATCACTGGTTGAATAAAATTAAATTTCGTTGAATGTAAAATAACAACAGTGATTTAAAAAAAAAAAAAAAAAAAATTCATCCAAATAATTTTTCAAATGACTTACTGAAGAAGAGCAGTGATGTCCCAAATTTTTATAATACGATCCTGACCAATTGTCAATAATCTTCGACGTCCTGCGTCTAAATCCATTCCAACGATGCTGTGTTTTGCATCATGAAACGATGCCAATGAAGTTTGACTGGTGGAAAAAAAAACAAAATGCATTTAACAAAAAAAAAAAAAAATTCTAATAGAATTTAATATAATTTTTTGATTTACGTACTTTGAATTCTTGATATGAATATGACAGGGATCACAAACTCGAACCTCAAATTCAAAACCCATCACGGGAATTGGAATACGATGTGATGTGCATCGTGCGCAAAGTGCTTTTCCACAATGACGACAATGATGTTGTCTTAAGCCAAGTTGTCGTTGATCCATCATTGCCTTAATATTCCAAAAGAATGGTCTTCCACACGCTTGACATGTGTCCGATTCAATCCAAACTGCAGTTTCTTTTCTAGCCGCGCCCATATCCCAACAAACAATTACCCCGTCTTCACCGCCCGAAAGTAATGTTCGATCATTATTCGAATAACAAAGGGCCGTTACTTTATTACTGTAATAAAAAAAAAAATGTATTAATTATGTAAAAGAAATTTTTTTTCTCAATATTTAAAAAAAATACTTACTGATGACCCTGCAATTCATACGCAGTTCCCTGTTTTCCACCAATATCCCAAACAACGATATTTTGATCAAAACTACCTGAGAATAAAAGTTGTTTCTCCGAATCCCATGCCAATGATCGAATACTACCAGAATGTGCTTTTAATGTTGTAATAAAAGTCACTCCAGTTGTATCGAGTTTTAACATATTTATTTGTCCGGAATAATCTCCGACGAAGGCATATTTTGACTCAGCGTCAAATCTAATTTTATTAAGGAATTTTTTTTTTTGAAATCGCTTTTCATAAAATAAGAGAAATTTTTTTGACAATTAAAAATTAAATTGTTTTTCGAAAAAAAAAGGATACTGTAATGCAGTGTACCATGCCTCTGTCTGATAAGAACCAAGTTTTCGTCCAGTTTCCGAACAATGAAATTGAAATGCTTTATCACGTCCAATACTCAAAATCCATTCGCAACTCAGGGCAAATATAACACCAGTAACTCGTGCTTGATGTGCAAGAAATTCTTTCATAGCAGTCATTCGATTATAATCCGGCTCTATTATAAATTCCTGGAAAAAAATTTCATAATCAAATTTATCGTTAAAAAAATATTTTTTGTTAAAATTGACTAAATAAAAAATTTTTTTTTTTTTAAATCTCACATTTATGCAACCATTTTCTAATCCTACAAACAATTGCCTCGTCTCTGCACAATAATCCATTGCTGTTGTTCCCGCAGACATATATTGACAAATGCTCGGCCAATATTGTCCCGAGTCACGTTTCAACCACACTCTCACGGTTCTTTAAATAGAAAAAATTTTTAATTTAATAAATCATACAAAAACAGTTTTTTTGAAATATTTAAAAAATACAAATACATTTTTATAGTATTTATTTTTTTTTTTAAATAAAATATAGGTAACATAAAAAAATAATTAAAAATGCATTATTTTCTCTTCTATAATTAATGTTAATGATAAAAAAAAAATTGAATGCGCGATTTAAATCTAGAGAGAAAAAAAAATGAAGTTCTCGAGTAACAGGTGCTATTGAAAATATACCGGTATTAAATCCAATAATAAGTTTATCAGATTACGAGCTATAGAATAAATTTCGTCATGAAATTGCCAATAATGTTGAAACAATGAAGCAAAAAGGCTCGTAAACAAAGACAAGATAAATAAAAATTCAATGTTGAATATTAAAAAAAAAAAAAAATTTTCATTAAAAATTAAATTTAAATAAATAAAACATCATTTAGTAAAATATTTTTCGAATTACTAGAAACAAAATTATATATAAATTAAAGGAAAAAAACAAACCAAAAGATTCGAGGATGTAACGCCCTTACAAAAGCAAAGAAAATTTGGGAAAAATACATTGTAAAAACTGTGATTAAAGAAATTTCTCCATCAAATAAAATTTTTTTAACTTAAAATAGAAGAAAATTATAATTTTTATCAATAACAATTTTTTTAAAAAAAATAATAATACCTGTCATCGCAAACACTAATGACACCGTCTTCCCGCGGTATGATAATCGCCGCATTAACATCATCATTGCAGCCTTCTAATTTGGATAAAAGAATTGGTTTCCGATTAGTACTGAATCTATCCTGTGTTACTCCCGGTACGGGTTTTATTTCCGCTGTCATTTCACTGATTTCACCTGTGATACTGTATTTTTATTATGTTTTTAAACCCAATTGTCATTTGACAGTTGTTGGTCTTCCAAAAAAAGATATTTAATCCAGGGTTGGGTTACAAGACACCTGATAAAAACATGAAAATCCACCCATTTAATATTTTTCCCCTAAAGGCAGTATTTACATGTTGAAAATTCCACGTTACTGATTGGTCAGAAATTCAGAATGAAAATTACAATAATTTCAAAATCCACCTTATTAAACACATGTGACACGTGCGTATTTGTTTACATTTGATTGTAACAAATATAATTATTAAAATTTCCAATATTTTTAATTAATAATAATAATTAATTAGATGTTTATAAAAAGAAATAGAAAACTGAAAATTGTGTAATCAGTTCTATAAAGAGACGTTTGAAGACTAAAGTGTATTTTTAATATTTTTTTTTTGTCAGTTTAGAGGTTATGAAGAAATTTCGTTATATTATTAATTATGTCTATTAATTACGGATTTTGTGATCTTTGTCTCAATTATATTGATGATGATAAAAAAACTTTACGGGAACTTTTATTAAAAGTTTATTCAAGTATGTTTTATTATTACTTTTTATTTTTTAAAATTTACTGACAGTTTAAATGTTTTTTTTTAAATAATGTTTTTTTGGAATAGTGGGCTATGAAACAGTTGCAATAAATAGAAATGTGGACGAAAATATTTTTGAAACGGATAAAAAGAAGAAGAAAAAAGGCATTGCAAATGAGCCGATTGTTTGTCCTTTACCTGAACCCATGGAAATGGAAGATATTATTGAAGAATTCAAAGGGAAATTAAATATATTATCAAGAATTACATTTTCTTATTCTGATCCTGTTAGAACACATTCTTTGGTTTGTTTCGAATTATTAGTTTTTTTAATTTAAATTGAAAATTATATAAATTATTTAAAAAAAAAAATTCTCTTTCAGAATCAATCGGCAGTTCTCAAAAAATACAATCTATTTGCTGTACTTCCGAAAACTAAAAATGCCTTTCAAGTAAATTTTAATTAATAATTAATATTTTTTTATTTATTACAATTATTTAATTAATAAATAAAATTCAATTTTTTTCAGCACGCATGTTCGCAACTTAATACAGATATAATTACCGTGAATCCAACAAATTTAGGATGGAAATTTACCAGAAAATTATATATTCAAGCAATTGAAAGGGGATTACATTTTGAAATTAAATATTCAGAAATAATTCAATCAAAAACACGAAAATTTGCCATTAATTATTGTCATTTACTTTATACATTCGGCAAAAGCAGGGTTTGTTTTATTTTTAATTTTATTCTTCCAATTAATAAATTAATAAATTAAAATTAATAAATCCAATTAATAAAATTCTATTTTTACTTACAGAATGTAATAATATCCAGTGGAACAGACAATGTGAATTTAATTCGCAATCCATACGATATAATAACATTGTATCCTTTTTGAAATTATTTTTTTTGGAATATAATTTTAAGCAAATATTTTAGAGAGAAAAAATCCTTAATATAAAAAAAAAAAAAACGTTAGAGGAGCAGTTTTAGGATTAAATGAAATAAAAGCAAAAGCTTCAATTTTGTCTCAAAGTCGACATGCTATTTTAAAATCTCGTAAGTATTATATAATTTTTTTTTCTTTACAATAAAAAAATTGTTTTTGAAATAAATATATAATTTTTAGAAGCAAGAATTTATGGAAAATCTATTTTCACAATAAAAAAATTACAAAATGAGAGTTCTACTGAAGATGAAGATAGTGATTGTGATGAAAGTGTTATTAAAAAAATAAAATTATGAATTGTCTCATAAAAACGTAACACATTCAGGTTTGTAAATATTAAAAATATAAAAATAATAATTATTTTTTTGTTTTCTATTAAGAAAAATGTATTAATTTTTTTCTTTTTTTTTTAAAGAAAGGTCTGAAAAATAACAAAACTATTAGTCACAAGTCTCTTTTTATTGCAAAATATTCAGGCAAACAGGTCAGTTAAACGTTAATGATGAAATTTAAAAGTCGAATTAAGAGAATAAGAAAAAGATTTTCAAATATTTTTGATTTTTAAAAAATAGAACAAAAAAAAAAAATTCTTTTCTCGTTGGTGACTCATTTTACTTTGTTAGTGAAAGGATCAATATTATATCTTTGGTTTTTTTTTTTTTTAAAGTAAGATACAAATTGCAATATCTAATTCGTCAATTCAAAGTACAAAGTCTCAAGTTTTATATATTTATAATTAATATGAAATGGTAACGATACTATTCTCCATAGGAGAACCTAAGCAGTAGATGTTACCTCGTATATTTTTAATACATGCAAACTACATTTTTATTAATTTTGTTTTCGTACAATTCTTTCACATCATTATTATTTAGATGTGTATTTTTTTCGATTACAATTTTTATATAATTATAATTCATTTTATACGTAATATACGATTTAAAAACACGTACTACTTGGTTATACATGAAACAAAAATTTTGCAAAACAATTTTTGCAATTTTTTTTTTTTTTTAGTGTTTACATTCACTTTTTTTCTTTTTTTTTTTTTAATACAGGAATTTAAATTGACTCTCTAAGTGAGTCAAGAGAGAGTTACTAATTCTGAATCACAACACTTGCTAGTTAAAAGTTGTCAATTATTCAGAATTGAAAATGTTTTTAGGACTTTGTACTAGGCTATGAAATACGAAGTAGATGCTTTTTCTAACATATATAGAGAATATTAAATTGATATTTTACAGTTTCTTTTGTTTCTCAGGATTTTCATTTTTCACTATTGTTATTATTATTATGATTATTATTTTGAATAAAGAAAATCACTTGGAAATTTTTATGAATTGCGTTTTTAAATTAAATTAAATTCATTAGATACAAATTTCCAAGAAAACATTTTTTCTTTTTTTTTTTGATTTTCTTAATTTAACGAAATATAATAAATATAGCGAAAAATTTATAATGATATACAGAGAAAAACGCAGAGTAAAAGCGATTATTGCGTTTTACAATTATTTTAACGATGTCTAAACGCTATGAGCCTTAGCTCTTTTTTTTTTATTTATTTTTTTTCGGAAGAGGTAATTTTTTAATTTAGAGATGTTTAGTATGAAAACATCGATTTCAGTCTTAGGAATAGGAAGCATTTTTTTATTTATTTTTATTTTCTCATATTAATATGTTTTTCAAAAAATTTCCGGAGTCCAGAAATTGAGGCGCTAAGAGGCATTTTTTTTTTTGTTTATTTTTGTTTTAAACAAAAAATGTTGCTCAATTTTTTTATATCGAAATTTTTTTTTTTTAATAAGCGCTTTTCATTATTAAAAGACACAAATTTTGTTATTTGCTATATTATTATTATTATTATTGAATTTAAATTGTTTCGTTATAATATTATGTTCAGCCCAGTCTCGTTTCTTCTTCTTCTTCTTCTTTTTCTTCTTTTTTTTCTCTCGCAAAATTGAAATATTTTTAAAAATTTATTGACAATATAGAAAAATATCATGTTCAAAAATTTTTATCTTTTAACAATCGCTACAAAAATTTTGAAGGACTTTTGGCAATTATCACATAAAGATTCGGAAATTTCAAGTCAATTATTAATTATTAATTAATTAATTGAGAATTAAGATTGATTAAAATAATTTAATTTTAAATTACATTTTGAAATAAAAAAATAAATTAACATTGTTTTTGTAAAATTAAAAATGTGTTAAAATAGAAAATTTAAATAATGAAATTATTAAAAATATATTTGTAATAATTTTTATTACAATTTTTTTGTTTTTCAATAAATTAAACATTTATTAGGTTTTGAAAATTTTCAAATAATGAATATTATAAAATATTTATTATTCAAAACACAAATTAAATAGAAATAGAAAGCAAATAAAAATTATCAATAAAAAGATGCACATTATTTAAAATAAACTAATAATTTTTAAAGTGCTTAAACTACAATTTTTTTTTTTTTTTGTATTGAAACTGAAAGGTATTTTTTAAAAAATTTGTATTTTAATTTTGAGGACAGAAATTTTTTTTCTATTTAAAATTAATAAATACTAATTTTAAAAAAATTAAAATTTATTACTTAATTTAAAAATTGGAAAAAAAAGAATTGTGCAAAATTTCTACAAATATTTTCTTACTGCTTTCTTGGTAATGTTTACTTTCATCGATGGATTTAACATTTGATAAATAATTACACAAAACACTATCTCCGGAAATATAATTATTTCTACTCTAAAAAATACCAAACTTTGTATCGAGCTAATTTTATTAAATATTTTTGCCATCGTTACTCTCATTCTGTTTTTTTTTTCTCTATCACTCGCTCACTCTCATTTTATCTACTATTTTCTTCTTTCTTTCGCTCTTTCTCTCTCTCTCTCTATTTTAATACTTGCAAGAATGTTCATTTTGTATCGATTTTTTTCTCTTCTAAATGAATCGATATATTTATAAACAACTTGACAAGTTACAGATTCGTAAAAAAAAAAAATCGTCTATATAGTTGAAAAAAAATTTCCAATAAGTGAAAGATCACTTGGATTTGATTTCATTCACTTTAAAGGAACTTCTAAAAATGATGACTGTAATTCTATAGAATAATTGGGGGGGAATAATTATTATACAATGGTAATCGCTTATCTAAAAAAAAAAATCAACCAAATTCCCTGAATCTTGTATAAAAGAGCCGTGCGATTGATCTTTAAAGAAAGAAAATTATAGATTATGATTAATTATTTAGCGCGAAACTCAATTATAAGCCGATCATCTACAGTCCCCGTCAAAAATTAACACCTGACATTTTTTTTTAAATTTTCCTTTTTAATTACCAAAAAAATGTATTGTAAATTTAATTACAAATAATTTCAATCAGTATTAATTTTTCCAGAGACTTTCAAATGATAATAACTTTAATCATATAAAGTTCCAGCAAATCTGAAGCAATAAAAAAAAATAAAATAAATAAAATTTTCATACCAATCACACATTTTTTTTTTTTTTTTGTAAAACAATTCTTTTTCTCTTTAAAGAATTATATTACGATGACAAAATCAATATTAAAAATCACATGCCAACAAAAGAAATTATATACCTTAACAAAAAAAAAAAAAAAAAAAAAAAAAAAAAAAAAAAAAAAAAAAAAAAAAAAAAGAAAGGTAAGACGTTCTATTTACAAATTTATAAATACAGCGTTATCAATGGCATTGAAAACAAAGTTAGAAATATTTTATATGGCATATTAAACTACTTGTACTTTGGTATTGGCCCGTAAAACGGGTCATGTTCAATTTTGATCTTTCCCTCTATTTCTTTTTTCCAATTATTTCGTTTTAAAACAAGAAACATCTAAATGACAAACTAAATAAAAAGTCCTTTAGAAATTTCACGCCAAATCGATAAGAAGAGAGGGGGGAAGGGGGGGGGGAGGTTTTAATTAAAGAGATGAAAAAATTTGTCGGTCGCTGAGTGCATAATAAAAAATATAAAGAATAAACAAACATCCCAAGATCTAGAAAATAAAATTGAAAAAAAAAAACGAAACAAAACCATTGATTACAAATTTGCTTTGATATCGCAACTTGCATTTTGTTATCAATGTTGCACTTATAAATTACAATTTGATAAATCGTAAATTATTGGAGACTTAATAACCATCGATACTGAAAAATTCGAGATACAATCGAAAGACTAGGAAGGCCTTGGCAAAAAAATATTGAGGCCGATTTTCTTTTTATAAATACACAAATAAAGATTTTTTGGTTTTGAAAAACAAGGAGGCTCTTTTTTTCAAAAAAAAATATATATACGACGCTTAAATAATCAGTCCTTGTTTGAAAACTCGCCCCAATTTTTGAAAAAGAAATAAAAGATGTTTTCAAACTCTTTTTTTTCTATTTCCCTAATTGTCTCTTGTTTTTTTTTTTCAAGATAATTTTTCATTAATTACAAAATTCTTTAAAAACAAATGTTTATGCCAAAAAAATTTACGAAAGAATTTTTGCAATTTTCGAGCATAAATTTTTTTTTGTGTGAGACAATGACAGTCGCACGATTCGATCAATTTCTCAGCGTTTGATTAATTACCGAGGCATGATAAAGTTTCGTTTTTTGTGAAAATCCACTAATCTAAGCTCTATTAAAAAAAAAAAAAAAGATTTTACAAGCATCGAAAGTTACACAGACAAAAAAAAAATTCATGATTAATAGATTAATTCGCCATTAATGTGGCACTGATTGGCAAGTAGTAGTTAATATATTGGCGATTGGAAATTCATTGATAGGAATTAGCACAATGATTTTTTTTTCCAAGTTTTTGTTTGCAGGAATTTCTTCTCTTATTTATCACTTTTTTTTTTTTTCTTGGGATTTTGTTCAGATATTATTTTGTGTTTTTTTTTGTATATTCACCTAAAATTGCACTGACCACTTTGATTAACCTGAGCGTTTTCTGATATCTTTGTCTGATCATTGATATCAGACATGGGATCATCGCCATTTATAAGAACGCGACCTGGCGATGGACTATCTACAGTTTGAAATGAAAAACTCGGCGAATCGGCGCTCGATAATGATTCTGGTGTTCCTACCGAACTTATGGTCCCTGGAAGTGGACTTGCCATTGTTTCTAATCTGTAAAATTTTATTTTTTTCTCTCTTAAAAACAAAAAAAAAAAAATTTTTTTTACCAATTAAATATTATTTTTACTCCAATTTTTTTGGAATTCACCAAATTATTTTACTAAATTTTATACAATAATTAAAAGAAAAAAAATATCTATTTACCTTGATGAATTATTAGACATGACTAAAGAAGAGGTTCGTTTCGCCGGAGGTTGTAAATGTTGGTCCGAAATATTGTCATCCAATTCAAATTTCCTCTTTACTGGACCAAGGCAACTTGGACGAATTGCAATTGGACTCAAACTGCGCCTAATTATAAATTAATTTAATTAAAAAGAAATTTTATCTAAATGAAAATTGATAAAATTTGCCAAATTCAGAAAAAAATTGAATGGAAAATTTTTTTTTCACCTCGTGGCAAAAGCCTTTCTTGTTGGACTAGGTGATAAACTATTTTTCCAGTTAACCATATGAATGCCCGGTGAATAACATTGTCGTTGACCGAGGCCTGACCTCGTTGGTGATGGCGATGAGCACAATGGAGGACCGCCACTTGATAAATTTAAATTAAGCGGATCGAATACCCTTTTTGTTGTTGTTGTTGCTGCTGTTGTTGTTGTTGTTCCTGTTATTATTTGTTTTTCCCCTTTATTTAATTGTTGTGTTGGAGATTCAGATTCTTTAAATGTCAAACCTTCTGCTTCTAAAGTTAAATCTTCCCAGGATTGTGATATTTGCATTGCACTGTGAATTTCTTTTTCGTGTGCCGCTTCACGTCCAGCGACATCAACACATTCTTCTTGTCTTAACTGACTAACGCGAGGAGTTAACCTAGGAATACTGCCGGGACTCTAAAATATCAATTTTAATAATATTAACAAAAAATTCTCTTAATTTTAATTAAAAAATTGTTTTCGACAAATAATTATTTTATTATATTAAAAAATTTTTTTTTTTTAATTTCTTACACTTGTACTAAAACGTCTTGTGCGAGGTGTGCTGGAGAAAACATTAAATGTTGATACAGCATCCCTGAAAAAATACACAAACAAAATAATAATAATTTAGTTATCTATAATTTTTAATTTAAAATAGTTAAAAATTACTTAAGAGTTTATTTAATGACACAAGGTAGTCGAAAAATTCATTAAAATTTAATACTCAGGGCCTTATTTGAAACCGCAGGCTGTTGATAGCGTAAAGGAAATGTCGATAATAGTTCAAAAAAAAAAAAAAAAAAGTTCTTTTAAATGCACTATTGTTCTTCAATTATTGAAATAAATGTATTTTTAATTTACATTATCTTTATTTCTAGTCAATATTCAAAGATTTAAACATTTTTATCAAATCTAAAAATATTTCATAATTGACATTCTGAATGGTCTAAAATTTTTATATCCATCAGAAAGTTTTTTTTTCGAGAAAGAAATAGAAAATACAATCAAAGAAAAAAAAATGCAAAACAATGAGGGTTTAATAATTGGGAAATTGACATGTCAAGGGGGGAGGGGGGTTGAACTCGAGGGAGGATAAATGTAAATTACCTTGGAGCAGACGTTGACGGAGAGGTAACAGACATTGTGGCACTGATTTCGTTAATCATAGGAGCACTGCTTGATCGTTTAAGACTAACGATCGGACAATCAACATCCATGACTGTCACAGACTTCTGGATATTCATGTAGTAGATCTCGAAAGGTACTATTTACGAGAATGAGGCACATTTGGTATATTCGCTTGAAATATAATTATTTTAATGGAGTGATTAATCACGAAGTTAACGTAAACCCTAAGTCTTTTTGTAAATAATTAAACTTTTTTTTTTCTCTCTCTCTTCTCTCTTTTTTTAGGAATGAAAAGGCTATTGACAATTTATAAAAACCAACAACATGTGTTTGCACGAGTGCTTCTTGCACGCATCTGAGCAAAAAAAAAAAAAAAAAGAAAAAAAAAAAAAGAAGGAGCCAATTTTCACTCGTTAATAATTTATCAACGATCCAAATTAATTAAAAACAACCACACGAGGAACATTGGCGAAATGCAACATATCTGCCAAATTGAGTCCATAACGCGACGTTTTTCTTTTTTATATGTGTATTTTATTTATACAAAAAAAAATGACAAAAAGCGATAAATTTCGTTGATTACGCTTTCTGCGCGAAGCTCTAGAAAACCGGGGAAACTGAACACAGAAGAGAAGACACACTCTATCGATAATGTAGAAATATTTTCCCGGCTGTAAGAAATTCATATTATCTTTTTTGAAAAATAAAAAAATTTTTTACTATTACATTAATTTTTATATTCGTTAAAAAATATATATAAATTCAATGTTTGTAATTATTTTATTTTTATAATTATTATTTTTTATTTCGCGCCAAAAGTTTAAATTTAAATCCCCCCTAGTGACATCTTACAACAATTGTTGGAACTCGTTTGAATAACCGGATGTATGTTTTTTAAGTGATGCACATTACGCATGCGTGAGGTTATACGTTGTTTTCTGTCTTCTGGGTGGAATTGAACAAAATTTTTTTTTTTTTTTTTAGAAAAATTATTCTTAATAAAAGCATTCGAGTTTATAAGATTGTTTATTTATTGACCATTTTTTTCCTTACTGTCAGTAGGGGGGAAAAAAATGTTAATGATAAAGTGCATATTTGTTCGTTAACGATTTGGATATATTTTTGGATAAGCGTCATTTAGAGTGAAAACAGAACGTGTCTATAAAATACAAAAAAAAAAGATGCAAGTTCAAGAAGAAGGAGCTGATGGTATGTTAAAAAAAAGGATTTCTTTTCCCAAAATGTATTCTATTTTATTTATTTAATTTTATGAATTTACGTTTTCTTTTGTATTTCTGACATTGTACCTAACCTAACTTGAATAATCAATGTCGAAACACATATATATATAATAGAATATTTTTGTCATGGAAAAATTTCTTTTTTTTATTTAATTATATATTTTTTGAAAAAAAAAAGGTTCGCCGTGGAATAATTCCAGTGGTGGTGATGAGGAACGAAAACCAAATATAAAAGAAGGAAAAAAATCAAATGTTTTGCCATTATGGGGCAATGAAAGGAGTATGAATTTGAATCCATTGATTCTTACAAATATACAATCTTCACATTATTTTAAAGTTAATCTTTATGAATTAAAAACATACCACGAAGTTATTGATGAAATTTATTATAAAGTATCACATCTTGAGCCATGGGAGAAAGGCAGTCGAAAAACTGCTGGACAAACAGGAATGTGTGGAGGTGTAAGTATATTTTTATTTACAAATTTAAATAGTTTTTAATAGCAAATTAAAAAAAAAAAGAAAAAAAATTTATTATTTTTTTTCCCCCCACAATTCTTGAGGGATTTGTTCTTAATGCAAAATTAATATTCGAATTTTTGCTTTAATTGCGAATCTAATTTATTGATTAAGATATTGTAAAATTTATGTAGGTTCGCGGAGTGGGAGCTGGTGGAATTGTTTCAACGGCTTATTGCCTTTTGTACAAATTATTTACCTTAAGACTAACACGAAAACAATTAAATGGTCTTATCAATCATCCTGATTCACCGTATATTCGTGCTTTAGGATTTATGTACATTAGGTGAGAAAAATTAAATTAAAAAGAAATTTTCTTTTAATTTTAAATATTTGATAATTCCCTTTTTTTAGATATACACAACCACCGGCTGATTTATTTACGTGGTACGATGAATATTTAGAGGACGATGAGGAATTAGATGTGAAAGCTGGCGGTGGACAAACAATGAAGATGGGTGATATTTTAAAACAATTTTTAACGAAACTTGAATGGTTTTCAACATTATTTCCACGAATACCTGTGCCTATTCAAAAAGATTTGGAACATCGTCTTGGTGAACGATTTCCTCAACAAACGTCTAATAATCGAAATGCAAAACCATCGATAACATTGAATAATAGTAAATATAGTAGTAATAGTGGTGGAAGAAAAGATAATGGAAGTTTAGCGAGAAGTCAACCGAGGCACATTCCTGATAGTGAAGCACATTGGGGAGAGGCGGAAAGAGCGAGCCACTGGCGTGCCAGGTGCGTCTACGTGGTATGAACGAAATCACGTTACTAATTTATCAAAAAAAAAAAAAGAAAAATTTCCAAAAGAATATAAAAAAAAAATAGTTAATAAGATTTACAATTTCGTTAAATAGTATTTTCTTTGTTGAATGTGATTTTTCAGATCGGATGAGGATCGAAGGGATAAATATAGAGAACGAGAGAGAGAAAGAGATAGGGATAGAGATCGTGGAAGAGATCGTGAACGTGTAAGAGATCGTGAACGTGATCGTGAAAGAGAACGTGATCGTGATAGAGAACGTGAACGTGATAGAAATTTTAAACGTTCGTCAAGTCGGGAAAGAATTCGAAAATCAAAGGAATATAGACAACGTAGTAAAGATCGACATCGTGATCGTGATCGTTATGGAGAAAGGTAATTAGTAAAAAGAATAATTAATTTAAAATTATGAATAACTAATTTCTTTTTTTTTTGCACAGGTCTTCGCCTTATGATTATGCAACAGAACTTGCGAGGGAACGAGAAAGACAACGGCGAGGCTAAAAAAAAAAGAGTTAAGTATATTGTGAATATACGCGTACAATTATTTCGATGAAATAAAAAAGCTAGAACCGAGCCATTCTGCATAAACTGCATTCTGGGAGAGATGAAAGAAAAAAAAAACAAATGAATTCATGCTTCATTATGAAGCATTAGCCTAAATATTAATTTTATTATTTAGTGTAGTTAATTTTTTTTTTATACAAAAAAAAAAATAAATGACCGACCATACACAATAAAAACACTTTTCTTTTCTTTTTTTGTGATTAACAAAAATAATATAAGCGTATTTATCGTCATTCTCAAGAGAAAAAAAAATATTGTTATTTCCAAAAATGAAATAAAGGTTATTTTCAATATAATTCCATAAATTATTTAAAAATGAATTTTTTTTTTTAAATCTCACATTTTCTTGATTTTCGAATTTACTGACCTCTACCTAAATTTCGAGTATATTTTTAATCGACCTTGCAATTAATTCACTAATTTTAACCCGATATTTTTGGAAAATTGGCGATGGTTTAAATTTAACGGAATCATTGAAATTTTATTCTGATTTATATTTTCAATCTCGTTTATTTGTGATAAAATTCAATTTATTATTGCGTTTTGTTTTTTTAAATAAGTAACCATTTTTCAAATTCTCGCGGGTAATATACGTTCTATTGATTTTTAAAATTTATTTTATTTTCACAATATAATTATCGTAAATTAGAGAAAAAAAATAAAAATAAAAATTGACTCCAGCGCGCATACTCGATTTTTTTCGGAAAACAAAAATGGCGACAGGCACCTGCTGCTGGATAACGCTTGCAAGGAATTTTTAATAATTCCGCATTTGAAAAAAATGAAGAGACTCGAAAATAATAGATGACAGGAGAGTAGTGGCCAAAATCTATTAAGGTAATTAATTCAATATTTATTACTCAAGTCTTATTATATTTATAACGAAAAAATATATCAATCCATAATTTGACATATACAACGTTGCCATATTTACAGATAATTTTTGACATTTGTTATGGAGAAAAATTTATTTTACTATAACAAAATTAGAGAATTTAAAACTTTATTTCCTAATTGTTTTGCAATTATAAAAATTTCCATAATTTTTTTTTTTTTTAATGAAGAAACAAAAATTTTTTTTGAAATATTGATTTTAAATGTACCGCTTAACCTCAATTTTATTGGTGGGAAATTCAAATTTTTTTTTTTTTTATTTATAAACAAAATTTGAAAGAAAAAAAAAAGTATTATACCTAATTTGAGATGAAAAGAATTATTTTTTTTTTAATTATAGATGATTGGCCGACGCTGCGCAATGTTAGCCCTCGGCGGACTTTTAATTTTGGTTCTAACGGTTAATATTTATTTTATACGAATGATTGTCGAGAGTTCACCAAATAAAATGAATATGAAGAAAAATTCATTAATATTTAAGCCTAAAATAAATGAAGCAGAAGTTTCGACAAAGCCTAAGGAAAATATAAAACGTTCACAAAAATCTCTAACACGTGATATTGAGGAGAAAATAAAAGCTGAAATGCGAACTTTGCCCTCGAAATATTTTAAACAAAATACTAGTTATACAATTCTTTTAGACAGATTATTGATTGAACTACGAACAATGCCAAATGTTCGTGATGATCTTTGGAATATTCCTAATAATAATGTAAATATTTCTTTTTTTTTTTTTTTAATATTTAATTTTTTCGAAATTAGAAAAATTATATTTCTATATAAATTTCAGTGGCCAGATGCGCATTGTTTAATTCCACCGGCAGCTCCAGAGCTTGGGACAATATTCGAAGCATTGAGAAAGGCAAAAGTGATGAGGGCCGATAATGCACATTTAGGAACGCAATTAAAATTAATGTTAACTCTTGAACATGGAGTTAAGGCTTTATTTAAACCACAATGGTATTCTAGAAAAACAATAATAGAGGGTCCAGTTTATTATGGAAAAGATAGGCATAATGCCGAAGTTGTAGCATTCCATTTATCGTCTTTATTAGCATTAAGACGAGTTCCAATTGCAATCATTAGAAAATGTGAGAGAAATTTTATCTTTTCTTTTTTACAAAATGACTGAATTTTTTTCAATTATATTAATTTGAAAAAAACATTTTATTTTTCACAGTGAATCTTAGAGAAGAAATAATGAAACAAGCGACACCTGAACTTTATGCGACAATTTATCAAGATGGCAATGACACTTGTCTTTATGGTGTTTGTCATTATTGTTCACAAAGTGATCCAGTTTGTGGTATTGGTGATATTTTAGAAGGTGCATTAATTCTTTGGTTACCGTCATATTTAAAATTAATAAAACATCGACATCCTTGGCAAAGGACATATAGAAAAAATCGTCTCGCTTTTTGGGAAACAGATTCTAATTATTGTGAAAAGGTTTTAAATTTAATTTTTTAAATATAACTTCATTAAAAATTAATAATTATATAATTTAAATTATTTTCATATATAGGTAAAAGAATATAAAGCATATTCACCACAATCATCAAGTAGACTTTTGGATTTAGTTGATACAGCAGTTTTTGATTTTATAATGGATAATGGCGATCGTCATCATTATGAAATGATGCAAAATAATTTTCACAATCCAGCTGTTTTATTAATTGACAATGGTAAAAGTTTAGGAAATCCGAGTATCGATCATTTTGATATTCTCGCACCACTTTATCAATGTTGCATGTAGGTTTCACCAAACATTTTTTTTTCCTAAAAAAAAAAAAAATAATTAGAATTTGCCTTTAATTATTATTTTTTTTTTTTTATAAAAGTTTTAAAAAAAACTAAATATTAAAATAATGGGAAAATTTTAGGATTCATAAGACAACGTGGGATCGTTTAAAATTATTTAGTGGAGGATCATTAAGTATATCATTGGCGAGACTTTTGGCTCATGAAGAAGCAATGTCGGATGTTGAATCATTAATTAGTGAAACACATTTGACAGCAATGGATAGAAGATTGCTTACAATTTATTCTGTTGTTGAATTTTGTATACGACAGAAAAAATACGCTTCCAATGTCATTTTAGATCATCGTTAGAAGTACCTATACATATATCAATCTTAACTGTTTTAGAAAATTATTAAGGTACAAAAAAATTGTTTTTTTTTTTTAAATTATTCTCAAAAATCAATATAACCGACATATATATATATATTAAATAATAATATATAAAAAACAGAAAAATCTACTAAATAATCAAAATAAAAATAATTTAAATATCATCATTAAAATTTTATAAAATCGTGCAAATTCGTAGATAATGTGACAATAATTGTACGAAAGTTTTTTTTTGTTAAAAATTTTGAAATGTTTTAGCTAATTAGCGTAAATATAATAACTTTATTATTTTGATTAAAAAAAAAATTCTTTAATTATAAAATTTTTCTTTTAATAACTATATGGTGCATCCTTTGCGTGACCTGAGACAAAGACTATCTTTTTTAAACTTTTAATCTTTATATATTTTAATTGAACGATTGGGTTCTTCTCGAACGAAAATGTTAAATTAGTATGAAAATATTTTATAATAAAAAAAAAACCCCAACGATCAATTTTTGTTATTCCTTGTTGGTTATATTGATTCTATCTCTAGTTCAACATCGTTAGTTTTAGAAATTTATTATAAATAAATAAGTTATTATAATAAAAATAAATTATATTACCTGAATATTAATATTTTAATCATAGTAAATGCATGTTAATGAATTTTTTCATAATTATTACTCTATAACCTTAAAAAAAAACGATAAAATTTAATTTTTTATTAAGAAATTTTAAACTGTTTTAAAAAAACGTAACATTTTTAATTGCGTTAATTCTAATTGGCTGTCTAGAAAAAATATGAATGTAAAGGCAAAATCCACATGTGAAGCGGAAAGTCGATGAGAGAGAGATAACCGGATATTACTATTTTTGTCCCTTTCACTCAAGATGTGACGGTACCTTTACATTTACATTTAATTCAAATGTATATGCGCCCTAAGCAAATATTTTCAATGGCGGGAAATTTAAATAACCCAATAAAAAATTCTTTAGCAATCAACAACATGACGTGTCATGGCTGAAAATTACAGTGTGTAATATGTATGTGTATCTTTTCGATTAACATTTTTGCTATAAAAATTAACATTTTTTTTTTTTTTTATTAAACAAAAATATAATGTGGAGTTGTGAATGCATTTTTACGTAATTTTTATTTCTTTAAAATATACTTGAAAGATCATTTGCACAAAACAAAGTTATAATAAAGAACAATGACGGTAAGATTGATAAGTGTTTTGTGCGTAATTCCTGTTGTTATAGGATTTTACTTACCTGGATTAGCACCAGTTAATTTTTGTAAAGCCGGCGATACAACAGAAACATGCAAGGTTTGTTATTTTCTATTAAAACAATTTATATTTTAAATATTAAATTCGTGTGTCAAATTTAATCGCTATGTACAATTTTGTTTATAACGAAATTGAATATTGCAATTATTATTATTATTATTATTAACCTTACAAAAACATCTGCAAAATTGTTTGCGCATAAAATATTTATATTAAATTATGTTTTCAGTCGGAAATAACAATGTATGTGAATCGACTAAATTCTGAACAAAATGCTCTTCCCTATGAATATCATCAGTAAGAAAAATTTATTAATAGATAATATTAATGAGTAAGATAACGAATTTGAAACTAAATGATTTTTTTTTCTTATTAAGTAATTTTTAAATTAATATTTTTTTTTGGAAAAATCAACTAAATTTGTATAATTATTTTTTAATTATGAATGTTTCAGTTTTGATTTTTGTGCAAGTGATGAAAGTTTATCGCCAGTTGAAAATTTAGGACAAGTTGTATTTGGAGAACGAATAAGACCATCTCCCTATAAGGTAAATTAAATATAATAATATTTAATATAATTTTTTTGATATTTGTATTTTTATTATTTTTTTAGCTTGAATTTTTAAAACCTTATAACTGTGCAAAAGTTTGTTCTAAAACTTATGCTGGTGACAATGAAGATGATAGAAAAAAATTGCAATTTCTTAAAAAAGGAATGGCTCTTAATTATCAGCATCATTGGATCGTTGGTGAGAATTATTGTCTTATTATGACTATTAAATGAATTAATTAATTAAATTTTAATAATATGTAAAATTAATGTAATACGTAATTAATGTTGTAGACAATATGCCAGTAACCTGGTGTTACTCAGTATCAGAAGAACGTCAATATTGTAGTATTGGTTTTCCGATGGGATGTTTTAATGATCAATCACCAACGGAAGAAGATCCTTGTGGAATTAATGTAAATAATTTACAAAAATTTTAGACACATAAAATAATTTATAAAAAAGTAAAATATTACCTTTTTTTTTGTTTAGCTCAATTATAACAAGTTAAATACATATTACTTGTTCAATCATGTGGATTTAACAATTACTTATCACAGTGGAGCAAAAGAGGAATGGGGTACCGGTTTTAAAGAAAATGGAGGACGTATAATATGTAAAAATATTTTTCATTAAACATATATGAAACAATTTAAATTTTTATTAATTGATATTTAATTTCAGCTGTTAAAGTAAATCCCCGAAGTATTAAACATCCAAATAAAGGTGTGGATTGTGGATCGACAAATTATATGGAAATTCCAGCTGATGATCTTCAAAAAGATGATTCAATGACTGTCACTTATTCATATTCCGTGAAATTTCAAGTAATTGACAAAAAAAACATATCTCTGTATTTTTTTTTTTTAAATTAAAATTTTAAATAATAAATTCTTTTCAGAAAAATAATACTATCAAATGGTCTTCAAGATGGGATTATATTTTAGAATCTATGCCACATACGAATATTCAATGGTTCAGTATTTTGAATTCACTTGTTATTGTATTATTCCTATCAGGAATGGTTGCAATGATAATGCTTCGAACTTTACATAAAGATATTGCTCGCTACAATCAGGTAACTGCTGTTTTTTTTTTTTTCATTATTTTTATTGTATTTTTATGTGCTTTGTTATGTTGAAAAAAAAATAGATTAGGAATTAATTTTTGTGTTGAATTTGTTTTATCTTTATTTTCGTTGATTAGTTGCTAGAAAATTTGTAGTGACTTTTATATTATGCCGTTGCAACAAAACAGGTATACTTCCAGATAGAGTCAGGAGAAGATGCTCAAGAGGAATTTGGATGGAAATTGGTTCATGGAGATGTATTTCGTCCTCCAAGAAAGGGAATGCTTCTTTCTGTTCTTTTGGGATCGGGAATTCAAGTATTTTTCATGACTCTTGTTACGTTAGGTATATATAAATTTTTTTTAAAAAAATGTTTCATTTATTTTTTTAAAAGTATTTCTAATTTGAAATAAAATTTTCAGCATTTGCTTGTCTTGGATTCTTGTCACCAGCAAATAGAGGCGCTTTAATGACTTGTGCAATGGTTTTATATGTTTGTTTGGGAACAACAGCTGGTTATGTTTCGGCTAGAATGTATAAAAGTTTTGGCGGTGAAAAATGGAAATCAAACGTTCTTCTTACAGCTATGCTCAGTCCAGGGTAAAAATAAAATTTAAAAAATATTCTATCATAGAGAATTATTTATTAATCATATAAAATATTTATTTATTAAATTTTACAGAATCGTCTTTAGTTTATTCTTTGTAATGAATCTGATTTTTTGGACTAATGGGAGCTCAGCTGCTGTACCATTCAGTACACTTATTGCTCTTTTGGCTCTTTGGTTTTGTATATCAGTTCCATTAACTTTTATTGGAGCTTACTTTGGATTCAGAAAACGAGTATGTATAAAATTACTAATATTGTTAATTATTTATTTTAATATTATATTCTTTTTAGCCTTTGGAGCATCCAGTGAGAACTAATCAAATTCCAAGACAAATACCAGAACAGAGTTTCTATACACAAGCAGTACCTGGAGTAGTGATGGGCGGTGTGCTACCATTTGGTTGCATTTTCATACAATTGTTCTTTATTTTAAACTCTCTTTGGTAATAATTTTTTTTCAACTATTAATAAAATTGAAACAATTATTAATTTACCCTTTTTTTTCCAGGTCGAATCAAATGTACTACATGTTTGGTTTTCTTTTTTTGGTGTTTTTGATTTTGATTATTACTTGTTCAGAAACGACCATTCTCCTCTGCTATTTTCATCTTTGTGCAGAAGTAAATATTAAAATATTTGAAATTATTTTTATTTTTTTTTCTTGTTCGGAGGAATAATTTTTTTCTTTTGTCTCATTAAAGGATTATCAATGGTGGTGGCGCAGTTTCCTGACTTCTGGATTCACAGCTTTCTATCTTTTGATTTATTGTATACATTATTTCATGACGAAATTAAACATAGAAGATGCAATTTCGACTTTTCTTTATTTTGGATATACATTTATAATTGTCTTCTTGTTCTTCCTATTAACAGGTATAAAAAATTTTTAAATTAACACTATAAAATTATGAATAGTTTTTTAATTTATAATATTTATTTATTTCAGGATCGATTGGATTTTTTGCCTGTTTTTGGTTTGTGAGGAAAATTTACAGTGTAGTTAAAGTTGACTGAAAAAAAACGACAATATTTTTAAATATGTGTCCTAATCTACGTATAAATTAATTGTACTTGCAATAGATCTTTTCATTTCAATTCGATCTCTTTTGCTCTTTAAAAAAAAATAATTGAAATAAAAAGGTCTATTAGTAATCGTATAACAATAAATTTTTTTTAGATTCAAAGAAATTCTTCAAAAAGAAGAAAAAAAAAGTACTACAAAAAAAAATTTATACCATACCTACATAATATAAAAAGTGTGGCAAGTAATTTATTTAAAGGCACTTTCAAAAAGTGCCATTTTCTTCATCACTTTTTTGTGAATAATTGTGTGTATGTGCGTGTAATTTTTTTTTTTTTTTTTTTCCTTAGGCTGATAATTTCTTCAGTAACTCAAAATGTAAAATTTAAATATTTTTATCATTATCAACAATCAGCAAGATTATCAATTAATTATTCGACTAGTTTTATATATTGCGAACGTAAGGTTGCAAATATCAGTTTATTTTGCAAATGAAAAAAAAAAAAAACTGATGATTGTTTTGTAACGCGGTTGTATCTATTGTTGTAAATAAAAAGATGACGATAAGGAAAATATTTTGATGTGAATAACTTATAAATGAAATTTGTATAATATTACTCTCCAATTTCAAAAATAAAATCTTATACTAATTAATATGTTAAGTATAATAATGACATGTAATAATTTAATTTACTGTTAATAAGATTTATGTTTATTAATTGAAAATTTTACACGTTTTGCATTTTTTTTTTTTTTCTGAAGTATATACACAGAATGAAAATCTGTTTGACGAATATTACATAAAGTTCAACTGTTTAATAATGTTTATAATTTCCTGCTCACTATAATGATACTCGTGTATTATGATTTTTCATTAATCACTTTTTATGATATCCTTAATAAACAGTGTCTATAAACATTTTAACGCATTCTTGATGATTTAAGAAATCCATAACACAAAAATGAAATTGAAATTCAATTAAAGTACTTTCACTTTTGAAATTTGCACTTTCTTTCATTAGAAAAAGAATCTTGAATCACGATCAATCTTCAGTTGGAAGGTGTGTACATCATATCAAAACAAATTGTTTTGTCTGAATTGCATTCTCCTGTTGCCAGTCGCTGACCTGCAAGAAATTTGATTTAATGACTGCGGCAATATAGGATTTGACCCGTCTCGATATTCTGAAAGCATGAATTGTCTCTAATGCTAGTGAAAAATAATTAATAAAAAATAAAATTGCAATCAATTTTAAGAAAGAACAAAGAAATCCTGCTCTTAAGATTTTAATAGAACTGTCCCCAAAAAAATTGATTAATTATTTATCTTTTAAGAGCAAAAAAAGAAAAAAAAACTTGTAAAAAAAAAATATGGTTTTTAAAATAATTAATATTTTAACGAATTTCAATCACAACGTTTCGAAGGAATATTAAAGTTAAATATTGTTTCATAAAATCAATCTGCAGGATAGAAATCTGTTTTTTTTTTAAAGGGGACTATAGTTGTGATAATGAAACAAGTTATTTTTTTCTTTTTATTTTCTAGGAGTTCGTCGACGTCGATGATCTCTATTTCTCTCAGCTCGTCTCATCTCTTCAAGTCTGCGTGCATGTTCAGCCATATGTTGCCTTCTCATTTCTTCTTTTACCACGATCTGAAATATAATTTTTTATTATTAAATTGCATTTTTTTTTCGATTTTTTCGATTTTTTCGATTAGTTGATAATTTTATTTACCTGCTCATTTGTGAGTGGTAGCCAATATATGCAAGGCGTGGCTTTCGTTTTTCTAAAGAGATCGTCTAAAAGTTTTGCCGGAGGTGGTTCATCTTCTTTTTTCTTAAATTTTCGAGCTGGCGCTGGCAAATGAATTTCAGTGACTGGCGTCTGACTTCTTTGTCTCTTTTTCTTTTCCATTTCTTTTTTTTCCCGCTCATCTTTTATCACATGCTGTTGACCATCCTCTTTACCCAAATCCCATTCTCTAACGACCGTTACTTTAACACCTCCAGTTTGATTTCTTTCTTCACGTATCCAATCGTGTTGCCAAGAATCTGCCTGTCCAAAATTATCATCCTTACGAGAATTGGTTATCTCTTGAGATGATTCCTGAGCCAATTCCATGTCTTCCTTTGTTGCATACTCCACTTGTAATTTTTTTGGATTTGACAGTGGCCAAGAAATTCCATGCAATGCCTGCCTTGTCTCAAATGCTTGATCTTCGTTACTATACTATTATTACAAAAAAAATTTGTTACTATAAAGTAATAGTTTTTTGGAGAAAAAATTAAAAAAAAAAGAAATAACAAACCTGAACGTAACATTTCGATTTAATTCTATCCATCCAGAAACCATTTTCCAAAATAGTTCCAGTACGAGAAAGAAGTTCTTTTATTTGAGTTAATGTAAACGGTCGTACCAGATTCTTTATCAAAAGTATATTTGTTGCTTTTACAATAGATGGACTTGTCAACATCGTCTGAGGAATGTCTTTAACTACAGATATTTTTCGTCTTGATCCTGTAAATAATTAATAATAATAATAATTTTCTCTAACTTTTTTCTCTCTAATAAAGAATTAACAAAAAAATTTTACCCATATGATTGTCTGCTTTTGTATCTCCTTTTCTTTCATTTTTCGATGCAATAATTTCTTCTCGAACAATATATTCACCATTACTGTCATTATTATGTTTGTCACGATTTTTATCTCGAAATTGTTCTTCTTCAATATCCTTTGAAAGACGAACTTCCGTTATTGATAATGGTTTCGCTCCTGGTACTAATACCTAAACAAATTTCAAATCAGTTTAATAAATTCAAGTAAGTACTTTTCAAGTAAATAAAAATTTTTACCTTTAAAGAATCTGTTGACACTGAAAATTCAATACTAGAATCAGTTGAAAGAGTTGTTCCCCACCTTCGTCTCTTAGGAACTCGTTTTTGCTCTGTATTTTCATTTGCATGATTTGTCTAAAAATTCAAAAAAAAAAAAATATATTAATACAAAACGAAAAAAAAAATTCTAATTTCCCAAAGAAATTTAATCACCTTAACTGGATGTGAGTCTATTTTTTCACATTGATTGCTTTCTTCAACTTTAACTTCATCTGCAGAATTGCGAGTACCACTGTAAAAAAAAAAATGTTATCAATTAAAATCTAATTATAAAAAAAAGTTGTTTAAACAATTTTTTTTTTTAAATACTTACAATGTTCTTTTTAAGTTAATTTTTGCCGGTTTTTGACTAGATGTAATTGCCTCTAAATTAATAATTGATGAATTTTCATTTTTTTCATTTTCTTCATCAATTTGTTCCTCTCTTTGTTGACTATTTAATAAAGATGAATTATCATTTGGTTCTAATGATTTTGAACGACTTCTTCTATCCCTATGAAAATCTTTATCTCTTGATAATGGCTCCTCTTCTTCTTCATTTTCAGGAGTTTCTGGTTGTTTTGATTTTCTTTCTAAGGACGGATCGTCTTCTGATTCTGGTGTATCAGAATAGGAAGATTCGCGATATTTACTACGATTTTTACGACGATTGGAGCGAGATGTTACTCTTATACTTGATCGAACATTCATTTGTGCTTCATCTATTGAATTTGAATCCGAATGAACTTTTACTTCATCTTCATCACTACTTGAATCATTACGATCATCTTTTTCAGATGTAACCTCATCCTTTTGGTGTGATTCTTCATCTTTTTCAATTGTAGCCTCAACAATTTCAATTACTTTTGGAACAATTTCAATTTCTTTTGGAACAACTTCAATTTCTTCTTGTATTTGAGATTCTTCTTTCTCAATATCATCTTCTTTTGGGGAAAGTTGTACATTTGAATTTAATTCATCAAATGTTTTTTCCTTAATTTCAGTAATTTCTTCTTGATTTTCAATTTGAATATCTTGCTGTACATCCTCCTTAGGATTAGCTGTTTCATCTTCTGGAATCTGCTCTTCTTTTCTATCAATTTCTGCATTCTCTATGATTTGTTGTTGATTATCCTGGTTGTCGACTTCCTCACATTCACCTTCAACTTCCTGTTGTATTGGAACATCCGGTTCTCCGCATATGTTGTGATCTGTAGATATGCCAGTTGGTTCGCTTGTGATATCATTACTTATGATGAAACAACTTGCCTCATTTGTATCGCCTTGTTGATCTATGTTTGGTTTATCGTCAGACAAATTGGCTGAAGTGGATTCGGGCAGGGCCTCCTTGTAATCACTTACCTCTTGGTTGGAGTCCTGACCTAGGGATAAAGAGGAGACATCGTCTTGTCGCTTGTCACTGAATTCAACACGAGGTGAACTCAGTCGTTCATCGTTAGAGTCAATCTCCTCCGCAGTTCCCTCACCACTTCCCTGCCACTTGTGTGATTTTTTCCTAATTGACGAATTATCAGATGTTTCTGAAATATTTCGTTGTCTGCATAATTTCAATTTTTGAATTTCACCTGGTGATGCATCAGCTCGTGCAACTTTCCAAACTGAACCATTGTCCTCTGTTTCTGGCGATGAATCCTTTTCTTCAACATTTGGAATTGTTATTACCATTTCACTTTGTTCAGGAATTAATTTTAAATCTTTATTTTGAAGACGAGTTAATTCTTTATTACTCTCTCTGGAAAGTGAAGCATCAGATGTTGTATCCTCTTGAGAATCATCTCTTTCAGGAGATGAAGATGTTGCTCTTTTGCCACGTCTACGTGCTGATTTTCTTGTTGGTTTTTCAATTTTCTTCTCTGGCGAACCTTTTGTTTTATTTCTTTCACTTTTACGCCTCATATCTGTATTAAAAAAAAAAAAAAAAATTATTTTGTTTACAATACAGAATAAATCAATAAATTAAATAATTGAAAACCTGCCAAGGTAAAATAATCGATTTTTTTATTCTATATTTAATAAACCATTTTTTTAAAATGTTTATTTTTTAATACTAATGAAACAAATATTTCACTGTATTTAGAAAACTTCAATTTAATATTTAAAAAAAAAGAAACGCCTTACAGGTCATTGATTGAGTTGCTTTAGCAAAGGCTGGGGTTAGATTATGTATATAGCTATATATATATAGGAAATGTGTAAACATCTAGTCAAAATATCCAAAAGTATAATTAAGACAATCGTCAGCTAATAAATATAATTAAGATTTCTTTAACTCATCTAACAGTAAAATTTCAAATGAAACAAAATTTATTTAAACAAATTACTCAAATTAGAGAAGATAATTAAAAAAATATCTTTCATGACACAGTGCATTAGTATAGCGTTGCGGGCAATAGTCATTCTGAAGTATGAGTAATTTTTAAATAACAAGAAAATATTGAAAAATTCTTTACCTGAAAATATTTATGGCCCTTTAAAACGATTCTTTTAAATATTGGTTATCTGCAAACTTTTAAATATTTAAATAATTAAATAAAACAGAAGCACCACAATTAAAATAATTCTTTTTCACTTTCTTAATAACGCTTAAACGAAAAATGGTAGATTCACAATATATATATATGATAGGAAACTATTTATCACAAAATATTACAATGCAAGCTAGTTCATAATGCATCTTTAAGGTACAGTCACACCTCTGTCTAAGTGGAAGATCCGAAATGTGACATAGATTTATTAGGGTACATTTACAAGTCCAATTAAACTGTGAAAGACTAAATTGTAGCGGGATTTATAAAAATAAATTCTTTTCATTTTCTTATTTGATTGACTAAATCATTAAATTAAGTAAAAAATATTACATATTTATATATTAATTAATAATTTATTTATTTATATATTAATATTTATAGGTATTTTTCTTTAAAACATAAAAATAATTATATAAAAAATTATAAATATTATATAAAATAATTATTATATTAATAATTGCAATAATAATTAAAAAACGAAAATTTAATTAAATGGTTGATATTGCATTTATTTATTTATTTATTAAAGTACTCGTCCATGAATATGTAAATATAATATATTTATATAAGTATGATAAAAAAGTATAAAACTCTTACTTTAAAATTTGTGATCTCAAGTGTCATGGATTCTTCTTAAAACTTACGTCTCATATATTTATATATTTATAACAACAGTCTTATTAATAACTGCTGTGTATTTAATTTCGCATTTTTTTTTTCTTTTTCTTTCATGTATATTCAATATTTATAAACATCCCTTAAAAACAGAGTAAATATCATGACTCAGGCATATTTTGTAAAATTAAAATCATGTAAAATTTACGATTGACAATAATTAAACAATCAATAATAATTGATGTATTGTCTTGCTCCCGAGACTACTTTGAAATACATTTATTTACAATTTTAATCTTCCTGTAACAAAATGAATTACAATTTCAAATTTAAACGTATTTCAAAGTTTATTATTATTATTATTTTTGACCTCAATATCGAGGCCTGCGGGCCACTCAAAATATTTTGAGAAGAATAATCCCTTTAATAAAATTTTCTTTATACAATTTTATTTAATCCACGTATAAAAATATATACATAGATAATAATTTTCTAAAAAAAAAAAAAACAAAAAAAAAAAAAAACTACCTGAATTAGAAGCTAAAAAAATAATTAATCACTAATATATTGTTTTATAAAATTATAAATAATTTAGATATGCCACCAATATCAAATTAAAAGGCATACACGTATAATGTATGAATAAATGAATTAAAAATTGATTAGCGTCAATTGTGGCCCGCAAAATGCAAATTAATGAGGACACCCCCCTTTATCAGTGTCTTAAAATATTCTTTTTATAATCATGTATTTCACTCGAGAGCAATATTCCTCCCAGGCGAGTCCATATCGCTGCTGACACCGTTTGTTATCTCTGAATGAACGGTAAATTAACATCGTTGTCAAAAAAATTGCATTATAATATGGTAAAACATCTTTTACGATAAATAAACCAGCTATCGACCAATGAAGAATAATATCACCGAGATAATTTGGATGTCGAACGTATCCCCATATGCCTGATACAATCAATTTTTTACCTCTTACAGTTGGTATTGTTTCCAAGCCTAAAAACATAAATTAATATATTTTTGAAAAAATTGTTAAAATTAGATTGTTTTTTTTTTTAAATACTTACGAGCTAGACTAGGAGAAAGTGGATTTCTTCTGAATTCATCCTTTTGAGAATTACAATATCTATAGATACCGTGACCAATAAAATAACAGACGACTAATAAAGCCAAAATGTACGGAGACTGAGAAACCCTAAAAAGAAAATTTGACAATTAAAAAAATTCAATTTTAAAAAATCAAAAAAAAAAAATTTATCTTACTTGTTATAAAGCGCATATCTTGCGGGTAGAGTGCAAAGAAATGGATACATCAAATATCCAAAGCAAAGCATAAATCCAGTTCCTTCATATGTAACTTCAAAAGAACTCAAAAATACAGCTTCAAAAATCAATCCATCAAGTGCATAAAGTATTTGCAAAATAGCAGCAATAAGTGCTGTCAAATTAATTGTTGCAAGAGAAATAGTTTGAGATTCTTGGAAAATATTTACGATTACAGCAATGGAGACAACAATCTGAAATTATAATTTTTATAATATTATATTTACAATCATAATTAAAACAATAATTTATTTAAATTAAAATTATTACCGATCCAATTAAAGTAGCTCTGATGAAATTGAATTTTATATCTAAAGGTCCAAATCGTGGATTTGTTTCTCTTCCTTGCCAAAAATCATAAATATGATTATTTGTGGACGCATATATATTAAGATTAGCTACTGACGCTCTACCTCCTTTAATATAAAGAACAATTGATAAAATTGTTCCAATAATAAGTCCAACAAGTGTAAATTCTACACTATTGTATAAAATGAAATTGCTTATTTGATATCCTTTGTACTCGGCGACGCCATATGCAATCAAAATCAGTATTCCAGTTAATAGACCTATAAATTAAAAAAATTTTTTTTTAATTTTCTTTTTACATATTTCAAAATAAATGTAATGAAACAAACAAATTATAGATTTAAAAAATTTTACCATGATTTTTATTTTTAAAATTTCAAAATAAATAATTTTTTTTTTTGCTTCTTAGATGTGAAATTTATTTGTAAAAAAAGAAAATTAGTAAATTACCATTAATTCGGTATTTGAGTCTACCGATTCTTGTTTGTTGACCTTCAACAATCCAACCAATTGGTACCAATGACATTATCGCCACAAAGAATAAATATCCTGTATAGAATAAAAATGTATCAGCATTTAAATAGGTTTTAATATCCTTATTTAGACGAAATTTTGAAATGCTGCAATAATCTCTCGAGCAAGCAAATTGTGGTAAAAGAATGCTAAGTGGCCCTAGGAATATTAGCATTAAAGCTCCAAACCAGCCACCCCATTCTTGTGGTTTACTAAGAAGATCAATTTCTTTTTTATGTTTCTCAGCAACATCCGATCTTACATTATCATCGTAGAGGGCATTTTTTTTTAAGTCCTGGAAAAAAAAATAATTTTAAAAAACAAGGAAAAAAAGAGAAAATTGAAAATAAATTTAGATAACACAACTTACTGAATCTCTAATCATAGAAAATCCTCTTTCTTTGCTTTCTCTAATACTGTCGTATGCTTGAACATTCCTTTCAGTTGGAAGAGAAGCTGCACGATCAATGGTTCTTGTCAGTGCAATTAATCTTTGTTCTTGTTCAGCTTTTGCGACATTCGACATAATTCTTATAGAACGTCTCGTTAATTGTACATTGTCACGAGCTCGTAATTGAAGAGGAATCACATCTGAATCATCATCTTGAACACTTCCACTTGCTTCGCTTGAACCTTCTATACAAAAAAAAAAATATTTAATTATAACAATTTAAAAATAGTATAATAAATCAATTTACCTTTTCGCTCATCATCAGAAATTTGTATAAGCCTTGAGCTTCGTGATGTTAATTTTCTAGTTTGATTTTGAAGTCTACCTGGAGATCTTCTACTAGGAGATCGTCGACTCGGTGAATTTCGCGAAGGACTCTTTTTTGTTTGTCCTCTAGTTCTCGTTGCACTTCGCGATGTTCTTGTTGGCTAAAAATTTAATTTAAATATAAAAAAAAAAATTTTAAACAGATTCTTAGCATCTTTAAGAGTTTTTGAAAAAAAAAATTAATAATAAAGCACTAATGACTTTTTCCACTATAAAAAAAAACAATTTTTAAAAAATTTACCTTCATATCGCCTTCCTTGATTGTAAATTGTGATCCTCCTTTGAATTCAACACGATAATTACTTCCCTTTACATTAACGACTTTTCCTTTTTGAAATTCCGAGGTATTTGGTTGTTTTGCGAGGACTTCCTCGCCTTCAATAAATTTCATGTTTCTGTAATAAAAAAAAAAGAATTTTACTATTATTTCAATTGTTTAAAAATAAATTTTCACCATTTTAAATATAGTTTATATCTTTTATTTTGAATTCTATTTCTAATGTAAAAACTATCTCAAAACCCTATTAATAGATATATAAGAAGCCGGGGCTGTTTATATAACGGATTTATAAAACTTATCTATTTGTATTTATAATCAAGCTTTAAAAAAAAATTAATATAAAAATATATAAAGTTGAATAACTTACGATAAATTTTTCTTTTTTCCAGCATAAATAACTTTCCAAACAGGCGAGAAGGGAGGTTATATGTATGTTTTTTTTTTCAATAAACACAATCTACGTGATGTATAGACGCCAACAGCGTTCCTAAATTTGATAAGTATTGGCCACGCAAATGGCGCGTCGCGTCATCAGTGTTGCCAACATTAACTACATTCAGTTTAATAAAAATAAGATATACTACAATGATTATAAATTACAAATTTATCAGTTTATAAATACTATTTCTAAATTAGTAAAATTGATTATTTAAAAAAAAAAAAAAAATATTACAATACATTAATTTTAAATAGTAAGTTAATAATGTGAAATTGATTCAAGTCAGTTGGCGGCAACGACGACTCTTCATGGTTAATGCCGTTTCAACAAGTCCTCTGATTGGTTAATTGTATTAGGGTGGGTTGTCATAAAAAATGTAATTTTTTATTTTTATAAATAAATGAAGGTTTTTTATTTACAAAAGTTTAAATAAATGTAATATTCTTATAATTTTCACAATTACATTTTTTTTCATTATTTTGTTTAATTGGCAGATTATGGTGTATTTACGAACGCATATACGATTTCATAAAGGTGCCTTAAAGGTGAATTCACATGAAGACGTAACCGGAAATTATAAGTGCAAGAGAAATATACATATATAACTATCCCTCTCTTAAGGTGCTTTTATACCTCCAGTATATTTTGGTCAAGCTATCGGATTTAATTTTCACGGAGCATCACTGAATTTAATTGGCTTTGACTAATATTCCATTTCCACCGTGAAAATTCAAGATTGCTTGACCAAAATACTGGAGGTAAAAAGCACCTTTATGATTTTCTCCATTCACATTTCTATGTGAATTCACCCTAAATGTCTATGTAAAACGAAAACGGTGTGAATGAAAGCTGAATGTTATTGTTTGAAAACAGCCTTACTATTACATTATTATTAAATTTATTATTAATAATAGAATAAAGTATGAAATTGTTAACAAAAATTTCTCATTCGTTTTGTAAACGATTATTACACACCGAATTGAAAACAGATAAAACTATTCATTGGATAAAACCAGAAGGATTTAAAACAGACATTAATTTGTATAATTGTTTATTAAAATCTAAATTTCCATTAATATTAAAAAATAAAAATATCGTGACATGGTATATGTGTGGGCCGACTTTATACGATTCGGCTCACATTGGACACGCTAGGTAAAATAATTATCTTGACAGTTGTCAAGAATTTTTAAAATAATTCTATAATCAAGAGAAAGAAATTGAAATGTTATGTTTACTGCGATAATTAATAATGTTTATGTATACATTTTTTTTTTTAGTACTTATGTAAGATGCGATATCATTCGGAGAATAATGACGAATTTTCATAATCTAGATGTTATTTTAATAATGGGATTGACTGATATTGATGATAAAATAATAAATCGTTCACAAACAATTGATCGATCATGGAAAGATTTGACTTTATTTTATGAGGAAGAATTTTTTCGTGATATGAAATTGTTAAATGTTACCAAACCTTATATGAGTTGCAGAGTAACTGATCATATTGATCAAATTATTAAATTTATAGAGAATATTTTTAAAAAAGATGCGGCCTATTTAGCTAAAGATGGTAATTTTTCTTCTAGTAAATTTAAATAATAAATGTAGGCAATAAAAATGTGTTGTTGTTTTTTTCCAGGTTCCGTGTATTTTGATACATTAAAATTTGGTAACTATGGAAAATTAAGACAATGTCAAGAAGAAAATCATGATTCAATTAAAAAATCATCATTGGATTTTAGTTTATGGAAAGCAGCAAAGAAGAATGAACCATTTTGGAAGTCGCCCTGGGGAAATGGAAGACCAGGTTGGCACATTGAATGTAGCGTAATGGCTAGGTAAAACAAATTAAAATCGAAAACAGTAATTATTCGTGATAATTTAATTTCACTTGAATTATAATTTTTGAAATCTAGCGAGATTTTCGGAAGTCAAATTGATATTCACAGTGGTGGAATAGATTTGGCATTCCCTCATCATGAGAATGAAGAAGCTCAATCTTGTTCTTATCATGGTACAGAGCAATGGATTAATTATTGGATTCATACGGGTCATTTGTATTCAAAAGGAGATGTGAAAATGTCAAAAAGTTTAAAAAATACAATTTCTATTGAAAACTTTCTTAAAGAAAATTCCGCTAATGAATTTAGATTATTGTGTTTAATGACACACTACAGAAAAGGTAAATAATTAAATTGTTAATGATTTAAACATTATTTAATTAGTATATTTTTTGTAAAATTAGATCTCGAATTTTCGGAAGATTCAATGCAATTGGCAGTTTCTACACTTAAGAAAATAGAAAATTTTATTAGCGATTGTCGAAGCTATGTATCCGGAGAATTGAACGGAGGCTGTATTGATGAGTCTTTTCTTTTGAGTGTATGTTATTTTTTTTTTAATTTAAAATTATATTAGTCATTTTTAAAAATTTAAATTCACAGAATTTAAATAAGACGAGAGAAACAATTGATGCTGCACTCGCTAACGATTTTAACACACCGGAAGTTATAAATTCAATTGTTAATCTTATCAAAATTGGAAACAAAATGCTGCAACAAACATCGGTAAATGAAATAATATATTAATAATAATAAATTTTAATTAAAAAATAAAATATAATATTCATTTTTAGGAAGTTGCTCAAACAAGAAATCCAACAGCTGTTGCAATAGTTTCCAATTATTTATCAACTATACTTGCAAAATTAGGTCTCGAAAATTTTAATACCACGGAAGAAAATCAATTCGCTTTAACGAAAATTATAGAAAATTTTGTCGCTTTTCGTAAATCAATTAGAAATAAAGCTTTGGAAGATCCAAAAGATATAAATACATTAAAAATGTGCGATGAAGTTAGACAAAATTTACTCTCCTGTGGAATTCAAATTAAGGTATGTTAAATAAAATTTAAATTAATTAAAAATCTTTATTTTCAGCTTTATTTGATAACTAAATAATATTGTATACAAAAATACATACAATAAATGAATCTAGAGTTAACAATATATCTAAAAGTATAAAATAATTTTAGGATCAAAGGGATATTTCAAGATGGTCATTTGTAAAGAAATGATATAATTAAATTATAATTTATACACTAATAGGTTTAATTTTTTTAATATTTGTTGTCTCGCTCGTATCCAACATTTTTCGTTTTCTTTCCTCTTTTCTTTCAGTCATTGTTTTTCGTAATCCTTTCATTTTTCTAGTTTGTATTTTATTTAATTTTTGTGCTCCCATATGAACACGGCCAAGTGTCTTTCCAAGTGGATCTTCAGAAATATTCTTCTTCTTCTTTGCCTATAAAAAAAAAAAAAAATTGCAAATTTGAATCGTAATTCAAAAAATAAATTAGTATAAATTAAATTTTTTTTGTTGAAATTACCTTAAGTTCTTTAGGTTTTTTGCATGATTGTTTAAACAAATCATCGGAAGCAAGTTGCGTGCGTCTTACAACTAAATCAACGTGTGGTCCAATTTCTTCTAATTCAATTCTTGGAGTTCTTGTGCCAGATTTTTTCAAAAAAATTCTGAAATTATATTCGAAAATTTAGGGAAAAATTTATTATTAAATTAAAATTTTTTTTTTTGTACAAAATGTATATTAAACATACCTGAAACTGCGTAATAATATTTTGTTATCGCGAGCAGTAAAACTAATGACATGTTCGAGTCCTTGTAATCGGACATTTTTTGCTGATTCCCTATGAAACATATCAATCAAAAGATTTCGAATTCTTCCATATTCGCGATTATTTTCAAAAATATCACCATTAAAAATTAACAAAGGTTTTATTCCCGTTGCTATTTTTGGAATTTTAAATTCTTTAAGTCCTATATAATTCTCAATTCCAAATTCTACCATGTCAAGTAAGGAATTTTCAAACATTCGTCCCATAATGAGATTATTTGGTCGTTTTTTATTATGGGATGTGAACATAAATAAAGGTGCATTTAATTTTGTGACAAATTGTTCAATTGGCGTAATATCCTCGAACGGTCGGATTTCATTCTTTTTTGTCATCATTTGTGCATCAGGTTTTTTAAGGTCATACTATAAATAGAAAAAAAGGGTACATTTTTTTTGTTTTAATTAATATATATATATATATATAGATTTCGATGCAATTAACTATATATAACCGATTAATTAAATTAAAATACTTACAAAATCTTTCATGCAATCGTGTGCCAATTTGGAGCTAGTACTACCTTTAATGCATAATGTTTGTTTTGCAGATTCTAATAATTGTGGTTCTTTTTTTAAAATTGCTCTTTTTCCACGATGAGTCTTAGGTTTTCTGTAATTAATCGTAACAAATTAAATTCTATAAATTAAGAAATTTACCAGAAATAAGCGTCAAGTTCAATGACCTGATGAATATAATATAAAATTAACTTACTTTATTCTATCAATTGATGGCATTTTTACGTTTTTCTGTTTAAATTTCTTTCACTTTCAATTGAAATAGTTATTTAGAAACAAAAATAATTCACTGAATATACATTAATTTAAAATAATTAGACAGAATTAGACAGTCTTTCATTTCCCACACACGTGTTTGTGTTTATCTGAATATGTGAAACATTTTTAGGTTAAGTATCTGCATGGCTAGTTCACAATTCTCTGCAGAAGAGTGTACACATAAATTTCTAAACATATATTTTTCATGATGCATTATTTTTCAATAAAATAACTCTTATTAATTCCTTTAATTAAATTTAACTTAAATTTATAAAGATTTATTAATAATTTAAAAATAAAACACAGAAAATATAAAAAAAAATTCAAATATTTTTATTATTATGTTGGTAGTAGTGAAAAAGTTTAGTTTTTGTTATCTTGAGTTGGCATTGGAGATTGGGGCTCATTACAAATGGCGTCGTCAGAGAGAGAAGGTCCACAATTCGTTCGAGAAAATTTAATCTTTTAATATTAGGTAAATCATAACGTTAATTGTATATATTTTATAGTAATTAAGTTCAGATTTGTTGAAATTATCGATAAATAATATAAGTTTCGTGGCAGGGAAAAAGAAAATTATTATATTTCGATAAAATTTTTTTGACACGAAAACCTAACCTAAAAATTTTAGCATTGAAATGTTAAACCAAAAAATTGAGGTAATGTATAATTAAAATCGTAATACTATACAATTTTAGTTTTATTAATAATAAATAATAAAAATTTGCAAAAAAACCAATGAATAAAAGAAAATTAGGTTTTTATTAAAAAAGGGAATTATTTTCATGTTGGTAGAAATGAAAATATTTTTTTTTTGTTATTTTGAGTTGGCATTACAGCTCATTGCAAATGGCGTCGTCGGAGAGAGAAGAACCATATTTCGTTATAGGAAATCGAATCTTGTAGTTTTTCTTTAATCAAAACGATTATTATGAATATTTTTTGATAATTAAGTATTGTTTTCTATAAATATTCGGAAAATTATAAAAGTTTCGTGGCAGGCAAGAAAAAAATGAATATATTTCGATAAAATTTTTTTTGACACGGGAACCTAACCTAAAAATTTTAGCATCAAAATGTTAAACAAAGAAATGTAGGTAAAGTATAATTTAAATTGTAATAATATAAAATTTTTGTTTTATTAATAATAAATAATAAAAATTTGCGAAAAACAAAATGAATAATAAAAATTAACTTTTATCAAAAAAAATTTTCCATGTTGGTAGAAATGAAAAAATTTTTTTTTTGTTATTTTGAGTTGGCATTACAGCTCATTGCAAATAGGGTTGTCATAATGTAGAAGATCGAATTTGTGTTCCGCAATATTGAATCTTTTAGTATTTTTTTAATCAAAACGATTATTATAGAAATTTAGGATAATTAAGTACTCTTTTATATGAATAATCAAAAATGCATAAAAGTTTCGTGGCAGCCGTGAAGAAAAATAATAAATTTAGGTAAAATTTTCATGACAAGAAATGTAACCTAAAAATTTTGGCATTACGCTTGTTGTGACTTGTCGCATTTTTGCGCGACTTTTGAATTTTTTTAAAAAATATTAAATAAATGAAAAAAAATAATAAATAGAAATAAATTTATTAATAATTATTAATTAAATTGAAAATAATAAAAAACAAAAGTTACTACATTTAAAAAAAAGTAGTTAAAAAAAATTTCTAATTATGTTGGTAGAAGTGTATAATTGATTGGTAACTTTTTTCGTTGACGTTGGTATCATTGCTCACTATAGTAGACATTGTTAAAAGAGCGGTTGTTTGCGACAGAAAATTTCTTGAATAACAGAAAACATCTTTAAATCTAAATAGAAATTAAAAATATATTTGAATAATTATGTTCAGTGTGATGTAAATTTTTCAGAGTACAATTAATTTTTGTTGGTAAATATCAGAATTTTTAATATTTTGTGATTTTCTATAACGCTTTGGAATTTAACCTAAAAATACTACACAACCAATTTCATATTTCTTTCCTATATTTGTTCGAATATTTGTCCGCCGTATTTTAGAGATAAAATTTAAAAATAAAATTTAATTATTATTAAAATTCATATTATATGTTTATTTAACTTTTATTTATTTATTTACAGAGCTAAAAGATGGAATAAAGTTATCTTAGGAAAAAAAGGACAAAAATATGTTGAATACTAAAACAATGTCAATCCCTTGGGCGCCAATTCTTCTCAACTCAGGTGAATATTTGTTTATTTGCATTTTAATAGCAGTTTTCCAAATTTTTTTATTAATTTTATATTTGTAAATATAATAATAAATTAGTTTATTCTTTTAATTTTCTATTTATACATAATGTAATAATTGAAAGTTCTTTACAAATTTGTTATAATGATTTAATATTAGAAAAAAAAACTTCTGAATTTTTATTAAGACAATTTTTATTTATTATTTGTCTTTACAGAATTCACACTTGGAGGAGAATACGATAAAATTCTTATCCATAGACGAGATGCCAAAAAAGAAACTTTTACTAAATCTTTAAATAAGTGAGTATCTTCTGTTTCTTTTGTAAATATTTATTAGTATTAGTTTTTCTACTTTTGATAGAGAAAATTATTATATTTTACTTATTAATTATTTATCGTTTACAAAGTGTAAAATTCAAACAATTTTCAATGAAAATTACTTTAAAGTTATTTTTTAATAATACAAATATTGTTAATTAATTAAAATTTTCAAAAGAAACTGACATTAAGAAAATATTTAATTTTTATAAAATCAACTTAAAAAATAATTAAATTTATTTAAATTTGAAAATCTTATTTTATGTTTTTATGGAAAATACATTTTTTTTCTCAATTTACAGGTGTTCAAAACGTGAAGGATGGGTGTTTGTTGCGGAGCTGCTCCTGGAGGAGATCTTGCATTGCTGAGTCGCAGTTCAATGTAAGTTGATCATAAATTTTTTCCTTTAATTGTTTTATTGGCACAATATAATAATTGATAATATTTACGATTTTAAATAAAAATATTTAATAATAATTTTTTTTTCCAGACAGTTGGTCCAGTAGCAGAAAGATTTGAGCTTTTAAAGAGAAGCTATGCTGTCATCGTATCTTATATACAACGCAAAAATGACCCCTTATAGGTGAGTCTTGATTTCCAATATTTTTCAAAAATATCAATTTATAATATGTGATGGAATATCAAATATTAATATATATATATTTTAAAATAATTGATAATATTGAGGATTTTTAATATTTTATTTTATAACATCATGAATTATTATATTTTTTTCAGGTCCAGAGAAGGAAGTCCTTTTATAAAAAGGATATGGTGTCATCGTATCTCTAACACTGCGCAGAAATCCCCTCATATAGGTAAGTGTTTTAATTTAATTATTTTTTAATTAAATTAATTTAATTGTTTAAAAAATAATAACTCAGCATTTAATAGTGTTTTGAGAAAATAATTGTATAATTTAATTTTTAATAATTTGTTTTTTTCAGCTCCATTCTAATTTTCCAAATACCTGAAGATGACTGGGAAGGATGTGGAAGAAGAAAAGTGGCCCCTGCAACATCTTTTTTTTATACAATTTTTTTTTTCATTTTTTATTATTTTTTTTATAATATTTTTTTTTGAACTCCCGGCCTCACGCAGAAGTGCGTGCAAGAAAGAGGGATCTTCGGGAGTTGGCCCAGAAGCGCTCGAGAGTGGCAATGACGTTATTGTCCCGACGAGGGATGATTCGCCGATCGGTGAGTCATTTTTTATTTAACCCCTTCCCTGTTTAAAACAGTTATTTTTTTAAAAAAAATTCAATTAAAATTGATTTATAAATTGAAAATTAATTTTTTTATATATATTCTTAATTTTTTTGAAACTTTCTTGACTTTTTAAAAGAATTTAATGTATTTATAGAAACGTTTGAAGAAAAGTAGACATATACTGCGGGCTTAATTGTTAAATATATATCATATTAAAAATTAAAAAAAAAAAAACAGGGAAGGAATTATGACAACATAGTGACACCATTGACAAAATTTATTATTTTCTGGTATTTTTTAGGAGTAAAAATCTAAAAAAAAAAACATGTGATATTTTCGGAAATTTAACCCCTTATTTGTAACACTCCCCAGATCCTAAAGTATTACATGTTTTGTGGATAATACTACCTTAATACTAAGTAAATTAATATTTTTGTCAATGTTTTTTTCATTGTTTATATATGTATACACGGAAAGAAAATAAATAGCAAATTTTATAAAAGCATTTTTAATGTTTTATAACTTTTCTTATTGAGTGAAAGTAATTTTCTTTTCTATTTAAAAAAAGTAATTCTAATTTAAAATTTGATAAACTTTAAATAATTTAATTAATTAATTTTGTTTAACAATTTTTCAAATTTTGTATTTAATTCTCAAATAAGTTAATGCATATGAAATTTGAAGTTTTTGATAATTTTTTTTTTAATAATTAACTAATTAAATGTTTTTCTTTTCAGAAAAGATCGCTCAGGTGACGGTTGCGTCCCGGGACGTTAACCCTAGTGTAGGTAATTTGCACCTGGGCGGTATTAGTTTCGTTTAGAATAGAAAAATAGGTAGGGAAATTCGGGAAAAATAGGCATTTTTGTTCGTTTTAAATATAGCAATAGGTAGGGAAATCGGGTAAAAAAAATGTAAGTAAAAGAACAAGTAACTGGAGTACCAGTGAAAATTTAATTTATTTCTATCTATTATTTCTATTGTCACTATGTTGTCTTTTATATTTTAATGTTTTATAAGTGTTTTGTGTTTGTTTTTTTAAGTGTTTTGTGAATGTTTTGGTTAATTAATCATTATTTTCAGATGAATCAACGTGGTGAGAAATAATATTTATTTTTAATTGAATTAATCATTTATTTTTTCAGTGTGTAATTTATTATATTTTTAATTTATTAATATATTTATATATGTATTCAATATATGTTTATTATAAATGAAAATTTTTTTTACATAAAATTAAATTAACACTATCTCTACTCAAATTAGTTAACATTTTAATTAATTTGATTTATTGTTTTTTACACTTTTAGTATAAATTAATTATTTCAATTATATAAAATGTTAACTATTTGAGAATTTAGAGAATATTTAAAATTTTAAATTGAATTTTACAAATTTAAAAATTTTTTTGCTTTTGCAAATTTTTCGGATATTTTTTTGTTTTAATTTTGAAATTCAGCATTGCGATCGTCTTAATCGCAGCTGTTTTATTTTTTTTTTTTCTTGTGAGTTTTATTAATATTTCGAGTAAGTACAATATTTGGATTATTAAATTTATTTACATATTTTGATAAAATTTTTGTAAATAAATTTAAGCCATTTATACAACTTACTATTTGAATACTTCCCGGTATATCGAAATGTGTGATGTATCGTGCTATCCAGGTGGTAATTTAACATAGATATCTATTTTATCGATCGGGGTGTAAATGTACAAATACACTGATTTTTATATGTACATATATATGTGTCGATAAAAGAAATATCTGTGCTTAATTACCACCTGGATAGCACGATGACGTAACACTGGACATATCTAATTTGAAAAATTTTTAGGTTACATACCTGGATAGCTAATGGCTAGTTCACAATTTTCTGCAGAAGAGAGTGCATGAATTCTTATACCTGATTGGCTTTTCATAAAATTGTCCAGTTATTTATTCAATAAGAGGCAAAACCAAGGAAATAAAATCTAAAAATCGAAGAAGATAATTAATTGTGAGTAATTATAATTTTTGAATTAAATTTTAATTTATGCACCTTAATTTTTATCTTCATCAATTTTCGATAATAATTATTCAAAATATGTTATAATTAATTATATTATGTTAATTAATTATATTGAATTTTTGATTATTTTGACATTGGAAAAATATATATTTTACAATTCAAATGTTTGTAAATGAGAAAAAATTTGATTTATAAAAAAAATTTGAAGCAAATCATTTCTGGTTATAAGATCATACATTGAAAAGACTGACGTCAATAATTTTAGACATATATCGTTTAGATTGACGTCAACGTTTATATCCTCGCAATTCTCTCCCCAAATGAATCTGTAACATTTTTTTTTTGTTTCTATTTTTTTTTTGCATTTTTATTACTTCTCTTTTTTTAGAAATAATGAAACGTACATATGACAAAGGAGTTATTAATGTTTATATTATTTGTATGATAGTTTGCGGTAGCCAATATATATATCCAGAAAATGTATTAAAAGCCAAAACAGTATATATAGAGCTGAGATCGACGCGGCTTTATTGCCTATAATTATAATATAAACTTTAGAGTGGCTTTAGTTTCAACAGTGTATTAAATAGTAAATTGAACAATAACAATCTCCGGCATTCTATATATTATATTCCCTTGAAAGCTCGGGTTCCATGCGAGAGTCTCTAATAAAATGAATCTAATATACAAATTATAACACGAAATTTTACAATTCATTTATTTTTAAATTTTTCATATTTAAAAGTTTTTAACCAGAAATCGAATTGCATATTGATTATTACTTTTTTTATATATTACACAGAAAAAAATTAATTTAAATTAATCGGTTACGAATATTTATTTTTATTAAATAATTATATTATTTGAAATGGTATTTGTTTCAAATACAGAAATTATTGATTTAAATATAGTTTATTTAATTCAAATAAAACTTATTTGGTTCAAGTAAAAATTTATTTAACAATAAACAACACCCAGAGAAATGATTTATTTGAACCATAAATAAAATATATTTGAGTTAAATAAACGTATATTTGTCTCAGAGCCTACTATAACTTATTTATTTGGCATAATTAAACACGGAGAAAAAGGAATGGTTGGGCCAACCATAGGTATTGATAAATACGTCCCATCAATATTATATGGTTACCACAACCATATCTTTAGTTGATACAACTATAGTATGGTTGGCGCAACCAAAGGTGAGGTTGACACATCAAATTTGCAATTTTTCGTCATTTTGATGTGACAACCTAACCTTTGGTTAGGCCAACCATACTATGGTTGTATCAACTAAAGATATGGTTGTGGTAACCATATAATATTGATGGGACGTATTTATCAATACCTATGGTTGGCCCGCAACCATTGCTTTTCTTTCCGTGAAAATTTTATTTGTCATAAATAAATTTTTCTTTGGTTCAAATAAATTTTTTATTTAAACGAAATAAAATATATTTGCAACAAATAAATGAGTTAGTAGGTAGGCTCTGAGATAAATATACAATTTCTCTGAGTGAAGTAACCGATTATTTGAATCAAATAACATTTTTTTCTTCAGTGTATTAATATTGATATTACAATTATTGATAGTTTCTGATATTATTTTTTTTTTTATCGTTTCCAGACATGCCACGACTTTTCACTCAGAACAATATATTGGAGCTTAAAAAAAGGAAGATGTGAAGGAAAAAGAAAACTGCTAATGGATGAGGTCAGTTAAGGGTTAAGAGTTCATAGAGAATTCTATAGTTAAATTTTAGTTTCATTTTTAAAATATCATTGAATGATTAATTTAAATTGTCATATAAAACTTAGAATCGATATATATCTATTACTAAAAAATGATAATTTAAATTTTTTAGGGTGAAAACTAAAATTTTTCTAATATAAATATTTTTGTTGAAACAGTAAAAAATTAATATTATGAAAATAATGCTTTAGTTAATTCTTGATTTAGTAAAAATTATCAAAAAAAAAACAGACGACCAACGCCTATAATTGCGAGGGTTTAGTCGCCTTTATAAAATTTATTAATTATTATAATATTATTACAATATTAATGTAAAATTAATTGAATTTTTATTGAAATTAATGAAACTTAGTATATGTATATAATTGCTGTAATCGCGGTTACAGAGAATATTTTCTAATGCTAAATATTTCTTGTCGATCAGTATTAATGAAAATAAAATTTATTTGATTCAAATAATCGACTATATACACTGTAAAAAGAAAGTACTAAATTAGTACCAATTTTAGGTATCAAACTAAAACCAAATGACAATTTAGTGCCTAAATTTGGTATTAAATTAATACCTTTTATTTTACAGTGTATACTTGACTATTATCGAATACGAGGGGGAATTTACTAGTTAAAAACGTGTACACTTGACTACCGGTATTACATCTCATATTACCCTTATTACTAAGTATTACACGTTATTACAGAGTACACGCAGAGAAATGATTTATTTGAACCAAATAAAATATATTTGAGTTAAATAAACGTATATTTGTCTCAGAGCCTACTAACTTATTTATTTGGCGTAAATAAAAGTTTTATTTGTCAAAAATAAATTTTTCTTTGCCTCAAATAAATTTTTTATTTCAATGAAATAAAATATATTTGCAACAAATAAATGAGTTAGTAGGCTCGGAGACAAATATACCATTTCTCTGAGTGTATTACACTTTATTACAGAGATATTACAGAGTTTTTTGCGTTATTACAGCACCGTAATAACGCATTATTACACGTTATTACACAAGTATTACAGGAAGAGTATGTACGCTTGACTACCTGAGTAAATTCCCCCTCGATCGAATAAATATTTACTTGAACTAAAATAATTTTTATTTGAATTAAATAAATTATATAATAATAATTTCTGTATATTTGTAATAAATAATATACAATTTAATTAAATCATCAAATAATTAGTTATTCCAAATAATAATTAATAAATATTTTTTTCAATCTAATAATTATTTAAAAATAAATATTTGATAATAGTTAAGATTAGTTGAATCAAAAAAAAAAAAAAAAAAAAAAAAAAATTCAGTGTATAAACGAAGGTCCTGGACCAAAATTTTTTAATTCATTCTTAAAGGGCCTTGAATGATTTTCCGATTCTAGAAATGATTGAAAAAGAAGAAGAATATGAGGGTTGTATTTTTAATTTTTTACAGATATATCAGGGATGCTGGAACAGACTGTGAGACTGGCAACTGTCAGAGCTGAGAATGTGATCCTCAGAGAGAGAAAGAGAGAGATAGAGAGAGAGTGATGAAAAAAAAAAAGATATAGAGGGAGGAGAAAAACTAAAAATCAGATGGTGAGGAAACAGAAGGTGGAGTTAAGGTAGAGCATGAGGCAGAAAGTATAGAAGAGAGAATGAGAAGTAGTCGTTGCTCCATGTGAGGATGAGGATTGGGTGGTGAATGACGTCACGTTGCTAAAGCGACACGGCAACGCGAAGCGTCTGCGTGGGTCGACGGGGTGTCTGGGCTGGGATCAATAACGTGCCAGCAACCAGGTAGTCGGTGTGAGTGGCTCTAGGCTTTTCTACAACGGCAGCAGTCCAGGAGGCGAGCCTTCCGAGGAAGGACGTTTGCAATCCTGAACTGTGTGACACACCGGAGGCGCCATGCCAGATTCGAGACATCATAGGCCTCTCATTGCCTAGGATTTTCAACTACTCCAGGTAAATATCATCTTCTTCTTTTGTGTTTTTTTTTTTTTTTTTTTTTTTTTTAAACTCGAGCAATTTCATGCACCTCTCATCATTTTGAGATTATTATCTCTTCATTGATGTTCATATTGAATTCATCCTATGTGCAACTAGAAAGTGACCATCGCGAATTGACAGTTATCTATTGTTGGGGAAGATGAGGCCAAAGAGGGAGGGACTGCTGAATATAGGGGTGGGAGCCATCAAGAAACGTTATCAGGGCAAACCTCTGCTTTTCAAAGTCAACAATATCTTAAAAACATCGTGCTTTTTGGTTTTTATAAATATTTACGCAACTAATTGTTTTCTAAACCTTATTTTTCGTTTCAATTGGATTTAATGGAAGACTAGAACAAAGTTTTTTTAATCCTTTTTATGCGCGAATTTTGTTTCTTCTTTGAAATTGAAACTGAAGACTAATAAGTTTTTTTGTAGAAAAAAAAAAATTCGAAAATCAATGTAATATAGGTGTTTCTTGTTCTTTTTGAAATTTTGTTTGAGAATTCTTTTTTCTTCATGAATTTGTGATTGGGAATAGATTTTTTTGAGTGAAGTGAATTCATTCAGGTATTTAGATATGGTAAATCAAAAATCTATATAGTGGAGCGCCCGCCATTCCGTATGGTTCAACTATATGTATGGCAGTAGCTGATACAATAAGTATCAACGAATTGTTTCTTTTTTTTTTGATAATTCCGATTAAAAAATCAAATCATTTTCAAGGGGATTAATTATTACGTTGTATTTTCAATTTGGGGGGTTTTTTTTTTTTTCTATAAGAAAACAACTAAATTTTGTAAGAATCTTTATTTTTTTAAAAGCTGCTTTAAAAGGAAAAAATTGTGAAACTTGAAAATAAAGATAAAAAATGAGAAAGAAAAACAATTATTAAATAGAATCATGTAAACAAAAATTTATTACAGGACTGGATTTTAGAATAACAGTTTATAAATAAAAAGTGAATTTTTCGAGTAAATTTTGAAGCTTTAAATTTTCAATTATCGAGATTAAATCTAATTTATCGTGAATATATAAAGTGAGAAGGAAGATTGGATCTTATTTGAAGTTGGCGACGACCCTCATTATAGAAACTGGATTAAGCAACCTCTCTTCCTATATATAGTTGGACTTGAAAATATATATATATATATATATATATATATATATTCAAGCGTAAATCGGTCATGCATTGGAGGAATGGTCTCTTTTCGCAAACTAATAAACTAAGTGTTTCAAGTGTTGGCAAACTTTGATTACCGGATTTAATTCATAGTTATATTAGTTTACTGTTGTTCCTTGTTTCGAAACAAGTATATATCTATATATATGTTTAGGGTAAATTTATTTGAGGTGTTTGAATCAAGTATATAGATGGTTAATTATATTGGGATCATCACATTCCTAATTCTTGGGTTCATCAAATATCTCATTATCCAGGTCAACCCGTCACCGGATACGTCTATCTCGTTAAGGGTGAAATCAAGTAACCTCCCGACCTATACCTTATTAGTTTCTCATAATATCATCTTTTTTTTCCAATTTATTTAATATTTAATGAATTTCAAATATATTCGTTTATAAAAATATCAATTACTTGATATTTTAAACTAGAATCAAAGAATTGTTTTTGTTTCATTAAAAAAGAAACAGGTTTTCTGAATTTTTGATTTTTATTTCTTTTTATGCTTTTCTCTTTATTTTCTGTTTTGACTATTCTTTAAATACATTTTATTTCTTCATGTTTTTTCTTTATTTGCAATCTTTTTTTAAATATGTAATTTATTTTTTATTCGTTTTTTCTATTTCCTATTCTAAAGCTATTTCAGATAAAGATTTTCTACTTATTTTACTTTTCTTTGATATTATTGATTTTTTCTATCGTAGATAAAAACTAATGAAATATATGGAAAATAATTATTAAATAGAATTTTGTATAAGATTTTGCGTCTAACAAATTGTCCCTCAGGATAATATATATAGTTGTGATTTAGGGGTGGAAGAATTTCTTTTAGATACTGATGTATATAGGAAAACAGGGTGAGAGAAAGAGAGAGAGATAGATATAAAAGGGGAGTTGAGGGTGAAATCGACAAAAAGGGTGTAATATGAAAGGCATCGATTTTTGTGCCATGTGCGCCCCACTTAAAGGATTTGAAATCGTGTTTGCCCGAGAAAATTTTTTAGAGAGTTTTGCATCAGGAATAGAGAGGATTGATTTACATACAGGTCTATATATTATAGATATAGTAATAGAAAAAAGAACGTGGGTTTTGTATCGAGAATGAAAAATGCGGACAAGTTTCACTACTTTTTTTTTTCTAGCTGTGACAAGTAAGAAACATCGTCGTAAAAGTGCAGAGAAGCTCGTAAAAATCCTGGTTTTACGGGACAGGTGGAATCCGTAGTTTCATGAATTATAACTAAACCGACGCACTGGGACCTTAAACGTCTTGTATACGCATATAAGATTTGTGTGAGATTAAGGGTCGGTTTCACCAACTCCGATTAAGTATATATATATATATATTATATAGTTAATTCTCGATTATAATTTAATCAGTCTTTTATGTACCAACATCTTTAAAACGGCGGTTAAATATTAAATTAACGGACCTATTTTGGTTTAATATAATCTGCGCGCGCAATTTTATCAGCTGTTCTGAAATGTCCAATCAGAATGGCTGCGGATGAAAAGAAAATTAATTCAAGTTTGATGAAACCGGCCCTAAATAATAAAACGACAAAATTATATAGAAATTTTATGAAAAATTCATTTGAAAAATTAATATTGAAAAAATGAATCTTGACAATATTGTTGTTTTTAGAAACGTTTATTGTTTTTATTTTTTTTTTTTTTGTCATTTCTCCGGATATGAAAAGTCGATACCAGGTCGAGCAAGAGAATTGGACAGATATTTGATACACAGCTTAGTAATTTGACAAATTGGCGATGGTAATCGAATTAGTTTTGAGATCTCCATGACAGTTGAGCTGTATGATGACGTACACTAATTTCCAGAGGCCTTTATCGAATGTAATTGGGAACGCGTTCTTAATTGCTCCAAAACGGAAACTGAAAATTAACCCACGGATAGTGCCGTTGCTTTTCACTTCTCTCCATATATATATACACACACACAGTTGAGAGCCATAAATGCTTCGAGATTTTCTACCCCTTGATGAAAAAGGAAATTGATTTTAAGATTCTTTTACACTTTTTCCAAGTGTTGAGTCTCCAATTTAACCATTCCAGATCTTGATTACTTTTAAATTAAAAACATTTTAAAATATATGGCAAACGAAAAAGATCCAAATTTTCTGATCATTTAACAAAAGAATTTATTTGATTTAAATGTTAAATTTGACGATTTATTTATTACACATGATTCGTTAAAAGAAGCATAAATTTAATATATATATATATAAGTTAATTATGATAAAGTTTTTCAATTACAGGGATTTAGAAGATTTAAATCCATATTCGAAACTTACATTAAATTAAATCCGTGTAACTTTGAGTTTGAACTTTATACAGCATCTCGAAAGTTTTCCTTCCAATTTCCATGAATATGAAAAATTACTGATTCCAAATATAGATATTCTTTGTCTAATATAAAACAAAAAGTATTTTTTAAATTTTCAAAGTAAACTTCTGAGTATTTTTTGTAAAATTAAATATAATAAATTAAAATAGAATTTAAAAAAAATTAAAATGTGACGCGCTCTGAAGAAAGGGTCCTTAGAAACAAACAAATTATAGATTATTACGATAGTTTTATTTTGATTAAAAGAAGTTTCTTTCTATTTATGTAAAATTATTTTTATTATTTTAAAATAAATTTTTTTTTATTTATTATTTTCAATTGAATACTTAATAATTTGTATTGATCAACTTTTTGTATTTTCACATCAAAATTTTGAAGCATATAATTTTTTTTGCTTCTAAGGTCCCTTTAGAGCGAGTCACAAGAGAAGGGACCTTGCGTCAAAAAAAAATTTTAGGTTATGTTTAATGATAGTTTTACCTTTATAAGAAGTTCCTTTTTAATTAGATAAAATAAAAATATGTTTTAATTGAATTTTTTGAATGTAATTGAGACGCGGAAGTGTTTTGTATTAGTAGTGAGTATTTTCGCAAAAAAACATAACCTAAAATTTTTTTTGACGTATGATACCTTTGCTCGTGGAGCTTGAATTAATATAAAAACAATTTTTAACAGTTAAAATTAAGAAAACATTTGCTAAAAATACATAAAATTTCTCTCGACTCCCTTTTTTTTGGATTTGAATCTTCTTTGACTTTGTTAAATAAATTTGTGTGAATTTATATTGTTTAACTATGAAAATAGAGGAGATTTTAAGATAATATATATGATTATTTTGACTTGTTTAAGATGTACAGTTTGTAATTCCTCTTTGTGTATTTAATCACATGTTTTCAGGCCGTCGAAATGTGGCCTGGAGCATTACCGTTGATAGCATTACTGGCAGCCCTGCTACATCCGGCAAGGTAAGTGCATATATTTGAATACAACTCTATATATAAGCTAGAAGATGTGGTGCGCTACACCCAGGAAGTAAATCTCACCCCTCCCCCCTCCCCACCCCTATCTTATATGCAATATACCATACGTCAATCGGAACTCTATCACAATTTCGTTTATTACACTTTATTTCCAAATTCGATATTTCTTTCTCGGGAGTTTTTTTTTATCTCCCATTTCAAATTCGTTTTTTTTTTTTTTTTAAATGAATTACAAAAAAAAAGGGAACAAGTATCCAAAATTTAACGTGACATATAAAGTTTTACGACAATTTATATATGTATATATAGTATTTATAATGTTGTGTGGTTTAGGATTGTAATAATATTTACATATAAATGAAAAAAAAAAAAAAATAATGTTGCCAGGCCAAGGGGTTGGCACAGAGGGCAAAAACAAAGTAGTACTTCTGCATGGGGAAAAAGAAATTCAATTTTCATGTCTCTCCTGCTGCAGTTTTCATCGCGCAAACTTCATAAAACTGTTTAAATAAGTTTAACAAGTAAACAAAATACGCTTGTTTCCAAGCGGATTTTGTAAAACTTGGTTTTCTCTTCTCATTCCCCATATATATAAAAGATTCACGACTTGAGCATGAATGTTTACTTCTTTAAAATATGTTTCCTCTCTCGTAAATAAAAAGGCCAAGGCATATTCAATTTTTATATTTTTCTTTTATGTTCATTTCTCTCACTCAAATCGTCAACTTTGTGAATATAACAATAACAATAATAATAATAATAATAATAATAATGATAATAATAATAATAATGATAATAATAATAATGATAATAATAATAATAACAACTTTAATAATAATGATACTCTCTAAATCTGAATTAGTAGTTTTTCTACTCTCTAAATCTGAATCAGTTATATTTTACTGATTAGCAGTAGAAATCTATACTAATTGCCATAGCTAGAATTGAGTAACTGACAATTAGTAAAAAATTTACTGATTCAATTAGTAAAATATCAATAACTGATTGAATCAGTAATATAAATATATGGCGGCGGCCGCAAAATCTACTGATTTAATAGTTAATTTTAAAAGTTATGTTATATACAAATTACGGTTTTACATAAGTTATTTTCTATTGCTTGTATATTCACTAATTATATTAGTAAATTTCAAAAAATAACTACAACTTCAGTTAAAATGAAAAGTACTGATTGAATTAGTAAAATTTCTACTGATTCAGATTTAGAGAGTGTACTATAATGAAAGCAGAGTGCGGATTCGTTATTACCAATTGAATTAGTAACAGTTTTGACTAATTTGTAGTAGAAAATTACTAATTGTTAGTAGAAAACTACTAATTCATGGAGTAAATCGTATTTTTTACTATTTTAAATTAGTAAGCCGATTTACTCCATGAATTAGTAGTTTTATACTAGCAATTAGTAGTCTTCTACTAAAAAAAGAGTCAAAACTGTTACTAATTCAATTGGTAAACGAATCCGCACTCTTTCATTAGTAGAAAACTACTAATTCTGATTTAGAAAGTAATAATTATTATTGTAGTTGTTATTGTTTATTATTATTATTATTATTATTATTATTATTATTGTTGTTATATTTTCTCGGCCTATTTATCAGATGAAAGATAGTTTATCTACTATGAATTTTTTTTTTTTTTTAATGACGGTCATTGACTTTTGTGTAAGGTTGATGACCTGATATATTTTAATCCAAGACACCTGGTAGCAGGTTGGCACTGTGAATAGGTTGGAGTCGCGTGTAACCTCAAGCGAACTGCCGATCCAGCAAAAGGGAAGTTTCTCATCAGAGATCAGCCTGAGGCTGCAGACTGGTTTAAATATTTCACCACGGACATTATCTTGTACTTTAAAGTTCGGACAATTTATTTCGCAAAACTTAAGTGGCAACATGTGTTTTCAAAACATTTTTTAAAGAAATATATATATATATATATTTTTTTTTTTTAAATACAGAAAATATTTTTGTTAGACGCAAGTCTCACTTTCGGCTCTGAATAAATTTCTCATTACTGTCAGTTCAAATCACATTCAAGCGCTATATATACAGTTCGTTAAAAAAACAACATCAAGCAAGTACTTGAAGCATCCTTGAAAAAAATTTCATTCATTCTCATTCTCATTTTTGAAGAGATGAATGTCTTTATTTGCTGTTGAAACTATACCAATTCACAAGGTGTTGAAAATTATTATATCAAAGCTCTAAGAAACCGTCAACTTTAATCAAAAATATAATTAACATATTAGTTAAAAAAAAATTTAATATAAATTAAAAATGTGTTATTAATTTTTATTTTAAATTTTACATGGCCTTAAACGATTTTTGTTTCTGTTTTAATTTTTACATGCCCTTAAAAATATATATATATTTTTTTTTAATTGAAAAATTAAAATAACTAAAATCATTTAAGATAATGTAAAAATTAAAATAAAAATTAATAATAATATTTAACCGATTGATGGGGGGAAAAAATAATAGTTAAATTCTGTAAGATTTTCCAAAAAAAAAAAAAAAAAAAACTGTATTTTGTAAAGCGCGCGCATATTTCCGACACTTGCGTTCCACCACGCATCTAACGCTAGGGCTGACTGCACGCCCATTCGTACTACTGAAACAACCTATCTTCTCGTGTCTGTTCACCTCAATCCTCACTTGAAACTAAATATACGTAACGATTTTTCCGAATATCATTTTCCTCTTTAAATTTCTTAATATTTTCAATAGACTTAATTTTTTAAATTAAAAATTTAAATTTTTCTAAATTTTTAAACAATATTAAAAATTTGTTAGTGAAAACAAATTTCTTGATATAAAAATATTTTTGATGGGTTGGGTAATAACTCGGAAAAATTGAGAGTAGTAAAAATAAAAATGGAAAATAATTATTAAAATTTTATGAAAGAAAAAATTATTTTTAGAAAAACTTTGTACATTTTTTTTTTTTTTTTGAAATAACCAGGACAGGAGTTAAAAAGAGGCAGTTAGTGTGCCTACGGAAAACGGATGTAATGTAATTAAGTTTTTAAAGTGAAACAAACCGTCTGCAATTAAACAGAAATAATGTGCTTCAACTCAAAATTAAATTCTCTTGCGTCCGATTCTTGCTTTGCTCTAGAATTTAATTGCAGAAAGTTGACTATATACACTCTAATTAGAAGACGTTTCATCGGGTTTATATAAATAATTGTATTTATTAACAACACATTGATATTCCCTTCAATGTATATATCACACGCGCAATTATTTTATTTTTTTTTTATTTTCTTTGAAAAAATCTTCCATATTGAGATCAAATTAAAATATATATTCGAAATTTAATTTTTATATTATAGGAAAAAAAATTTATTGCAACTCCTGATAATGTGTTTGTAATTAAAAACGCCAAACACAATTTCTACAATTAAACTCTGCGAGTTATAATTTAATTACAAATTGAAACCGTACTCAAGGGTCTATTCAAATAAATAATATTTCCTAATAAACCCTCTGTGGCATACTAATTTTTATCAATAAAAATTTACATAAATTATTACTTATAATAACGGGTAATATTAGTGCATAACAATTTTATCAAATTAAACTTCCTTTCCTAGAAGTGCAAGAGGTGAAATGGCGCCATAATTCTCCTTGCAACTATTGATCGGTCTTTCTCAAATTCAACTTTCGAAATGTGATATAAATTGGAAGCAATATTAAGAAACTTGAAAAATATATATATTTTCATAGTCAATTTTTTTTTTCTTTATTCTTAATTTGAATTTTTTTATATAAATTTTAAAGAAACTGTTTCATTTAAATAAGAGAAATTGCAATATAACATAACCTCAAATGTGAAAAATAGAAAAACAATTCATTTATGAGGTTATGTTCATCCTTAAGGGGATGTCAAAGTAGTGGTACTTCTCTAGACTTTATGTAAAGAAAACAGTATCGCAACTTTGACATGCCCTTAAGGTGAAATTAGAAAAAATACAGACTAGAATATGCAAAAAATAGAGGAAAAAAAAATTTACTTGGAACAGCGAAACGTTTTGTAGTAAAAGTTTTACTTTGTTTCAATTAAATATTTTGCTATTCTAGTGAAACCTTTCGCTGTTTCAGGTAAATATTTTTTTCCGTGTATATATAATAATTATAGTAGAGAATAATTATTTTTTTCCCCATCAATTGGTTAAATATTATTATTAATTTTTATAATTATTATATTGTATAATAGAGATTTAGGAGCAAGTATTTTGAAACTAATTAGAAAATTTCGTGCATCTTATTGTATATTAGAAATAAAGGGAATTTGAATATATATCCTCATTATCGATAGGTTTCTCATTAAAGCTCTTGGCTTTCGTTTCTGTTCGTTCGTTCACGAGCCATCTATCTGGTTTACCGTAACTGTTTACTCATTGTCCCTTATTATTAGCATGTGGTTATGAGGCAGTCGATTCACTTACTCTCCAACTTGCAGCAAAATAGCGATAGCATCGGCATGACTTCGCGCAAGCTCTGTAATTGGGTCGTCCCATGCCAAATCGATCAGTCATTCTGGTCAATGCGAGCTTTTTCTATAGAAATTATTTACATCAAGCTTTTTCAAATTATCTGTGCCGGGGCACATGAGGCAAAAAAAAAAAAATAAAAGAAAAAAAAAAACGAATAATTAAAATATTTTTATATCACTGAAAAAACGAAACTCTAAATTTAATACTATCTTGGCGCATTTAAGAACATTTCGTATTTGTTAAATAAAGAATTTGGGTATTTTTTATAAACTTTTTTTAATTTAAAAAATATCTATTATTTTGTTTTGATATTTATTATTTTTCTCTGAAGAAAGGGACCTTAAAAGCAGAATTTTAGGTTATGTTGACGATTTTTTTTTCGAGTCGTTCTTATTTATAGCGATACTAGCGCTCTTGTGGGGAAATTGTTGCAACTCAGGTGAGAGATGATTTATTACAAATGGCGGACATGATCTGCGCATGCGTTTTGATTCTCTTTGAATATTAAAATTTTTGAAACATAACCTATAATTTTTTTGCTTCTAAGGTCCCTTTCTTTATTGCGCGTCACGTTTTAAGAGTATTTTATATATTCTAAACTGTAAGAATAAAATGGATGAGAAATATTCTTAAATAGAATTACGTTTTTTCGGTGATAATTAATTCTTAGAGAATTTATATATAATTTTTATCAAAGTGATTAAAGTCTGTATTCGAACAATTAAATTAATTGCCTCTTCAAAAGGCTTGAAATGTAATTTGAAATTTGAGGTATTAAAAAAATATATATATATAAAAGTTAGGTAACTTAATAGTTTTGTAACATAATATGAAAGTTTGTCGTAACGAAATTATGTCAATTAAATTACACCCAATCACAACAGTATCATGTTCAATTTGATTATCAGGTTCAAATATATATATATATATATATATATATATATATATATATATATATATATATATATATAAGGGAGTTTGATATTCAATATACTGTGGATATTTTTTCTCTGGCAAATTAGTAATATCTTTAAAATTATAAAGGAATTAGTCACATGTGATATTTAAGTTTTAAACGTTTCGCGAAAGGGAAGTTTCGTGATGTAATTGAATTTAGAACAGAATTTAAACTCGACTTATGAGACGGAGTATGTTGGCACAGAGAGTAATGAAAGTGCGCTAGTGTCACAAACTTGACTAGTAGAAAGTTACTTCATTTTCTCCTCACCCAGAAAAAAAAATTTATAGAATTTGTCAAAATAGATTTAATATTACAAAAATTATAAAATTAATATTAATTAATTTTTAAATTAAAAATTAATCATTATATAATTAATTCTATTTATTTTTTAATATCTCTACAAATGTTTTTTTTTCCTTTTGTGCGCAACCAATACCAACTGTCGATAAAAAAAAATTTATTTTAAGTCTTCTACTATTCCTACATTTTAGCTTGTAATATTACAAAAAAAATTAGTTTTGCTAAAGAAAATAAAAATTTTACATCCTTCCAAATGAAATTTAATTTTTAATTTTTGGCACACGTGAAATAAATTTTTCTGTCGACAGTTGGCAATGGATTCGCGAGCAACTTATTTAAATAATAGAGGTCGACACCTCAAAAAAGGCGCAAGTTTTAAAATTGTAATGAACTTTTTTTTTTCTTTTTTATTTAATAATTTGATAAAATTTACTTCTGAATGAAAAGTCAATTATTGATGAAAAATTGTCTTACAGATGTACGCAGCAGAAGGTTATAAACTTCAGGGAGAAGGAGAAACAAGTATTGGACAACATTTTAGGTCCTGGAAGGTACGACGCTCGTATCCGTCCGAGCGGAGCAAATGGAACAGGTGAATAAAATTTTTGTATTTCCTTATAAGCTTTTACTCATAATCACAAGGGTATTAACCTCAATAATAAAGAAAAATAGAAAAAAAAAGTTCTTTCCCTCGAGTTTCTCAAATATTATACACAAAAAACTATTTTCTTACATATATGTTTTAATTTCTTGATATATGACGCTCCACGCGAGAAGGGACCTTAGGTCAAAAAAAATTTTAGGTTATGTTTGAGATTTTTTTGAGTGAAAATATTTACAGAGAATCAAAATATTTATATTAAATTCAAAAAAAAAAATCAATAAAAAACTAATTTTGATTTCAAAGAAACTTTTTATCAATGTAAAACTTATCACTAAACATAACCTAAAATTAAAAATTTTAAATTAATGTGAATAAATAAATTAAATTAGTTATTAATAAAGTAATTATTAATAAAGTATTAAAATTAAAATAAAAAAAAATTAATTTAATCGAGTTCAATTTGAGGAAAGCATTTTTAATTATTGTTATAACAATTGTTTTCAATAAAAGTTTTGTTGAGTCCTGTTTAGTGAATGTCAGAACAGTGTGTTCGCTCGTGTAATGCATTTATGCGCATATAATGTGCCTACAACTACGCCACGGCTCGAGTCGTAACTTCCCCCTTTAGCTCACATCATATCCTTATCGTAGGCCAGCCTTTGCACATACAACATCATAGGGCACATTATATAACCAGCTTGTGCATATTATTGAGGTAACGAGCCAAACCTATGCGTCAAGAAAAATAGACTTTTTCTAATATGTATATAACACTGTAAAAAGAAGGTACTAAAACAGTACCGATTTTAGGTATCAAAATAGAACTAAATAACAATTTAGTACCTAAAGTCGATATTAAATTAATAACTTTCGTTTTACAGTGAATATACGCAAAGTAGAAAATAGTTTATTCAATTATTTTATTTTTTTATGTTTCCTTATATATAGAAAATGTATATTTGTATATTAAGAAACTATTTGTGACGCACTCTGAAGAAAGGGACCTAAGAAGCAAACAAATTATAGGTTATGTTTACGATAGTTTTACTTTTAAAAGTTTCTTTTTACTTTTTATGTAAAATTAAAATCAGTTTTTATTGAATATTTTCGATGCTATATGAAGACGTACAATCAATTTTTTGTATTTAAAGTTATTTTTGAGTAATTTCACTTAAAAATTTTAAAACATAATGTATGCTTCGGACATTTATTCAACCATTTTCTATGATTGCCACATTCATATACACAATACAACAAAATATGTGTAGCTCCATGAGAGAAGGGACCTTACTTTTTAAAAAAAGTTTAGGTTATGTTTAGTGATAGTTTTAAAAAATTTCTCTTTAACTAGATAAAATCAAAATTAGTTTTTTTTTTGAATTTAATATAAATATTTTGATTCTCTGTGAATAATTTCACTTAAAAAAATCTCAAACATAACCTAAAGATTTTGTTTTACGTAAGGTCCCTTCTCTCATGGAGCGACACATTCACACGCATTTGGAAAGTGTTTTGTTAAAATTTGCCTTATACAGAATATTCGTAAATTATTTTTACAATACTATATACTCGTATTAAAAAAAAAAAAAGAAAAAAAAAAATTGCGAAGCTCGAGGGAAGTTCAGGTAAGGCTTGAATTTTGCCTTTGCCTTATCTGTGTATATCAAAGTATAATCAAGGTACCTTATACCGCTTGAGACCTTTCGCTATGTACGCGGCGATTATAACTTCATTTTCCGCACCGAACTTCCCTTCGTACCCGCTCAAATTGATTATAATTAAACAGCTTAATCTCCGTTAATTGTCTGATTTGATGAATCTCACGGAAATGGAGTGCTTCGCACCGATAAGTCTATCAGATCGACATCTTGCAAGATTTGGAATTATCTCTTCAAGTTTACTCGACCTCCCTTCTAACCTGTTATAATCGCATATACTCTATGCGACAACGCACATAAGCGTTTCCAATTAAGAGATAAGGCTTTCAATTCAGGATGATCTATCTATATATATATATATAATATTGGATCTATTGGATATTTAATCATAATTTTTATCTTTTTCTTATTTTTGTCTATTTTTTATTTATTTTTTTAATCTATTTTTTATTTATTTTCTCTCTACTTTTTTATATATTTTTTTAAATATTTTTTTTATATATTTTTTTTCTTTTTTGAAAAAAGCCTCTTTTTTATACAAGCACTATGGTATGAGGGTGAGCAAAAGATAGAGATAAATATCTTGCCTCATAATGTAATTTATTAACTGACTGACGCATAGAAAAATACATTTGTTATTGTTTAACAAAGAAATTTTTCTACATATAGATAAATTTATCAATTTACAACAACTACTGTATATATTATATTATTTTAAAAAAATTATATATTTTTACTTTTATTAAAAAACTTATTATTTTGAAATAGAAAATTAATTCTGTTTTTAAGAATTATGAATAATAATTGTAATTATAATTATATATTATAATTATAATCATATTATAATTATTATTATTTTATAAATTATATAATTATTATTATTTTATAAATTATATAATTATTATTTTATATAATCATATAACTATAGTTATGAATTGTAATTATATAATTTATAAATTTAAGATCGTTTCTATCTCTATAATTTTGTTATAGGTATTAAAAAAAAAAAAGATGCAACGCTATTATTTTAATGCCAAGTTGAATTAAAATTAAATCTCTCTGTTATTTATTATAAATTTAAAAAATACAGTATTCTGAATGAACAAATGGTTGTCGCGAAACATTTTCGTAATTATATATAATAAAAATGGCAATAAAATAATATATTGTTCGCATTGAAATTAATATTAATAAATAAATAATGCACGCATTACGCAATACAAAGGGGGAAACAAAGCTTTTTATAAAAACAAATTAAAAAAAAATTAAATTTATAGGAAAATTCTTACTTGATGTAAATACATCAATTAAGTGTACATAATTATTAATTATTAATAAGTAATAATATATTTTTTTATTTATTATTAATAATTAATAATATATTTTTTTTTAATTTATTATTAATTATTAATAATTAATAATTATTAATTTAAAATTTCCTTAAATATATCTATATAATTATTTTTAAAAAAAAAAAATAATAATAATAATAATAATAATATTTGAGACTTTTTGCGAATAGATGTAACTCAATAAATGAAATCCAATTTAGAATTCTAATTTAAAGTTAAACTAAAGTATGCACTTGGCCACTCTTAGATCTTTAAGCAATTTTCGAAATCATTCCAAGAGTGTAAGGAATTTAGTTTAATATAATCTAAGAGCAATAAAACAATTTTAACATGAAAATTTCTATAAACAATTTATCTAGGTTATTAAATTTTTTTTATTCAAATATTATTTTGACTATAATTAATTAAATAATTTTCTTTAAATAAAGTGACTTATCCCTTATTTATGGCTGACCATACCTCTGTTCGTATTACTAATTTCACATTTGTAATCCTCCAATATTATTTATGCAAAAATAAAAAATATAATCTATTTTATATACCTATATTTAATATAATATTTAACGTAAAATCGATTTATCATATCAGAAATGATGAAAATCATGGGCTGCCTATGTCATTTTCAAATTTCGATTTATGTGCATGACAGTTGTACGCGTATATATATATATATATATTTTCGGCACTATGTGTGGAAATTGCCGTGCGGTAAATTTATACGACATTTTAATATGAATCAAAAGCAGAATCTCTTACTAATAAATTGCATGTGATTTTATTGAAGAAATAATTTCATGTTGCGAGAAAAAAAAAATTCCCAAATATATATACTTTTTGTACACTTCGATTTTTTTTTTCAATTTTTCCACACGGAAAAAAAGAAAAAGTAACTTTTACTACTTTAAAAGTAAAATTGGACCTGTCCGAAGTTTCTGCGCATCTCTGGCAACTTTTACTCCAAAAATAGTAAAATTTACTTCAGAAATAGTAAAAATTACTACGGAAACAGTAAAATTTACTACAGAAATAGTCAATTTTACTATTTTTCGAGTAAAAGTTGCCAGAGATGCGCAGAAACTTCGGACAGGTCCAATTTTACTTTTAAAGTAGTAAAAGTTACTTTATTCGTTTTTCCATTTTTCTCCGTGCAGTGATTATTCTTTTCAAATTATAATAAAAAAAAAAATTATTTGATTCAAATAATCAGTATATTAATGTAAATTTATAAAATAAAAAAAATATATATTGACAATTGAAAAAAATGACTATGATAAGTAATATAGGCAATAATGAATAATCGTTGAAACAGTTGTAAATCAAAGGTTGTGTAATTGAAATTGATTAAATTTCGAATTGAAATTTAGAGATTTGGTATAGAATCACGTGTGTCGAGAGTGATACAGGATATAATTAATTGAATGTGCATGATATTTTAAGCCTGATTGTGATCAGGGTTGATTTTGATTATTTCCACTGATCGATTTAGCGCGCAGTGTGTTTCCAACGTTGAATGTATATAATTGTATATATATATATATATATATATGCGGAGTATTGAAGTGGAGGACTTAGTAGTTACGAGCGGCTTTGGTCAGCCATATACAGTTTGAGGACGATGTGTTTGACACGCAGTCAGTGCAACATCGTTTTTGATCAGCCAAAACAATTTGTTCTAACACAATATTGTATCCGATTTTAATCTTACAATTTCAATATAGAATCACATTTTACTTCTTTCTTTTATAATATATAAAAAAGCTTCTTTTTTAACGGTAACTCATTTTTTCAACAAAATTTTACTTTATTTTTTGTATTTGATTTTCTAATATATTTGAGAATAAAAAATAATTTCTTCTTTCTTTATTATAATAATTTTTATTATTTCATAAAATAACATTAATTGTTTTTTTGCTCTTTAATTATAAAAATTAATGTTATTAAATATAAAAAAAATTACGTTATTAATGAAAATTTATTTGTAGAATTTAACTTTTTTTCAATTTTCTAAATTTTAAAAGGAACATTTAGAGAATCAATTATTATATACAAAAGGAAAAGTAATAAAAAAAATATCAATAAAATTTATTATATTAATTTTTTAATATACTAAAATTAATTAATTATAATTAAGATATATAATAATTACGATTTAAATATTATAATTAACTAACAAAAAAAAATTCATTAATTATTAATAAAATAATTCTCCAACTTCCCGATAAAAAAAAATAACGCGACACTAATTACAGTTGCTAATTATTGAAAAAAAAGAAAGTCCCGTTAATTAAGATGGCATTATTAGCGAAATCAAAGAAATGGCAAAATATTTTTTTTTTTAATTTTTCGCAAAAAGAGACGAAAAAAATGAAAAGATTACGAGAAATAATGTGAGATCAGAAAAAAAAAATTTTGAGAAAAGAATAAAAAGTAAAAAAATATGGAAGATGAGACAAAAAAAAAGAAAAAAAAAAAAAAACAGGAACGACACTTTGGAATTTATTTAGTAAAACGGGGCTCTGTTGTTTTTGCCCTTAGATGGGCCAGCCATTGTGCGGGTTAACCTGTTTGTGCGAAGCATAGCGACAATTAGTGACATCAAGATGGTAAGTATATAATGCCTATTTTTGTTGACGCGGATTTTCACTAATTCACGCGACAAAAAAAATTTTTTAATTCTGGCTCCTTGCAATGTAGGCGCAAATAGTAGGATATAGCGTATTTTTTATTTTTTATTTTTTTTTTAAATTAAAGGTTGTATTCATGACGCTTTCTCGAAAATAATATATTAGTCTGAATAGAATATTTTCATTTAATCAAAATTCAAATTTATTTTATTCAAATTTTGAATTTTTGATGTGAAAAATTTTATTTTTATCGAGATTTTATGATTTTTTTTGTATTAAAAATGAAAAATTCGCGTTTTTTTTTTGGCTAATTTAATTATATTGGTTTAAATTAAATAGAATTTGTTAAAATTAATGTAAATTTTGGACTAATACATTTTTTTTTTTTTGGGGAAATAGTCATGGATTCTTTTTTGAAGGTTACTGAACAGTAGCACTATGTTGTTTTTGGTGCTGCAAAACAGCATCCTTCATCTTCGCATCATTCCAATAATTTAACCCTGACCTTCTAGCATTTAGTATAGACGCAGGCATGAGGCATACAACGTTTCAGCTTGTTTACCGATAGCGCGTCAAACTCACGGAATTCGGTAATGCCATCTTCGAAGTAAACAATTAATTATTATATATTGAGAGAGGTGTCGTGTTTCGATATAGGGGTGTGCCAATTGCGTGATAAAATCAATACACTGACAAATATATATGTATATATATATATCCCGTATATACGCTGAAAAAACAAATTCATTTCATTCAAATAATATCGGTTACCTATTAACAAATAAATATTTAATTTTATCAAATAAATTTTTATCCAATATATGTAATTCGAATGAAAATTAATTGGTTCAAATCATTTTTATTCGAATTACATATATTGGAATCAATGATTTCTTTTTTTTTTTTTTGAAACAAATACCAACCAATACCGTTCAACTTTTTCAATATAATTAAAAAAAATGTTAGGTTTTTTTTTAAAAAAAGCTTCTCGTTATATTGTCGCAAGCATTTTGTAAAGACCAATAAAATTTTATTAAGGTACTCGTTGGGCATAATACGAAGTAATGCGGCGGATTATATTAGTCTCCTGATGCATGCTTATAATGACGCTCTACAAAATGCGGTAAATATCCGTCCAGAAAATTATTATTCATGGTCAAACAAAAATCCTTGATTAAAATATGATTTAATGTCAATTAAATTTATAATAATTTAAGGACAAGGCAATATTTCAAAAAAAAAACAGTTTTCAATTTAAAACATATTTAAAACTTCTTTTTTGTTTTCTATTTTCTCAATCCTTTTAGATCAAAAAATCTTGAATGTTAAAACTACAATTATGATTTTCGTACAACGGGAATCGTTCATATTCGCGATTTAAAAATTTATTTATTAAGAAGGTTTTAAATCGGTTATAACTTTTTAACTATCAAAAATTTAATTGCGTTAAAATTTTATTAAAATCTTAATTTTTAATCCTTTTTTACGATTCCTTAATTTAAAAAAGAAAAAAATGTTAGTTATAATTTTGATGTTATTTTTTAACGATTAGAATAATTGAATCTGATTTAATCAACGTAATTTTAAAATGAATAACAATAATTAACGGATTTAGTTTTTTCGGTGTGTTTGGACCTGTCCGTGACCTAGATTAAAACGTGTATTACCCTATGAATTATTTTCATCAGAAAAAAAGTAGGCCGTAGTTTCGCAAACGTATATATATAACGATTTTGATGTGGGTTGAAAATTTGCTAAATAAGTGACATTAGTCCAATATTAAATACAGTTGCATAAAATTTTTAATATAAGTATATCGAAAATATGAAAAATTTGATTCTGCACAGCAAAACAGTTCTTATATTATTCTTTTTTTTTTTAATAAACTATATCACTGTAATTAAAAATTTTTTTTAACAATAACAATAATAAACACAAAAATACACTCTTGAATGGAAATTTTCTATACTTATTTATGCAGGCCAGACAATTTATTCAACCCGTGTTATTGAAACATTGTTTAAATCCGTATTTGCCCATGTAAATTCGGACAATGTGAATTTGATAATTAATATAGTGTCGAGTATATACGGTTGTTTATAATTTCTTTTGTTTACAAGTGATATAATTTCAATTGAATATGCCTCAAAAAGGAAAATAAAATAAAATCGTGATTTCAAAATATTTATTTAAATTCATTGTCGATTATACTGTAAACTGAAAAGGAAATTTATTTTAAATATTCAGTTACTTGACTGTCGCAAATAAATATTTATTTACAACAAATAAATATTTATTTGTATCAAATAATTATTATTTGAGATGGTATTTGTTTTAAATACAAAAATTATTGGTTTATAAATACACTTTATTTAATTTAAATAAAAATTATTTGGTTCAAGTTTAAATATATTTATTTGGTTCTAGTTTAAATATATATTTATTTGATAGTCAAATAACCAATTATTTGAATCAAATAAATTTTGTATTCAGTGTGTATAATAAAAACAATGATTTATTTAAAAGAAAAAACCTACCCGTGTGGAAAAAGCCACGATCTTGCCCTCAAGAGTTCGGGGCCCCCGGCGGGGGCCCATGAGGGCTGATCCATATGGCGAATCCATGAGGGGCACCGTAGGGGCCCCGCATGGATCGCCCTCATGATCGATTAGCAAAATTTTCTAAGTCCAAAAATCAAATATTTTTTTATCACCAAAAAATTAATGTTTATAATGATTCAGAACCACGAAAAACGCGTTTTTAATAAAAATATATTTACACTTTTTTAAAAATAACACTCACACTTATGGCAAAATAGATGAGGGCCACCGTAGGGGCCCGCATGGATCGCCCTCATGATCGATTAGCAAAATTTTCTAAGTCCAAAAATCAAATATTTTTTTATCAACAAAAAATTAATGTTTCCAATGATTCAAAACAACGAAAAACGAGTTTTTAATAAAAATATATTTACACTTTTTTTGAAAATTCACCTGAGATGATTCATGATAATAATCATAAAGCATATAATTAATTATATTTTATAAATTGCATTTGATTGGAAAATATAATTTAATATCTTAACTTTAACTAAATGATGTAAAGCACTTTTCTTTGTTAGGTATTTTTGAAGTTTAAATAGCATCAAGAAGTTAGCATTCGTTTTGAAGTAGCGTGCGTAGCGTAGTTGGTAAAGCGTTAGACTCATAGTCCGTAGGTCGTAGGTTCGATTCCCCCCATGCGTTAGATTTATTTATTTCTCAGGTTTGCGTTTAATCATTAATTCTATGTATGAATTAATTGAAAAATGAAAATATCCGTTAATAGTATGCATAAATTAAATATTTTTTAATTTTTTAATTAATTAATTTATTATTACTTTTAATTATATCCGACAGTTAATTAATTAGAACGTTAATTAATAAATTGAATTTGAGTAAGAATTTAATTTAAAATTGAATAATTATTAAATAAATATGTTATTTATTCATAACTTAAGCTTATTTATTATTAATTAACTTTTATTATTAATATTATTGATTAAAAAACATTATGGCAAACTTGAGGGCAAGATGAGGGCAAACGTGAGGGCCCATAAGGGCGCCCGTAGGGGCACCCTCATGGATCGCCCATGCGGGCGCCCTCATCGATGAGCATGTCGTTTCCATGAGGGGCCCCTATGGATCATCCATATGCGGCCCTCATGGCATGAGGGCGATCCATAAGGGCCCCCGCTGGGGGCCCACATCACTTTTCCACACGGGTAGGGCCAATATTTTAATGATTCATTTATAATCTCTCGAATTATTTTTTTTTCAAGATGTTTATTTATAAAAAACAAAAATCCTTTATTTAATAGGATTAGCGTATTACATTAGAATTTTTCTTTTAATTATTTCCTCTGATAATTGCACACACACATACATACATGTAAAATGGTGTATTCAATATTTTAATCCCTCGAATAAATGAAGGATTTTCACTCTCTTAATTATTCATTTATTCCTTTTTTGCTATATCAAAACAAACAATTCACCTTTTGTACTATTTTATCTTCATTTATTATATATTTTCTTTAAAAAAGTGTACAACTTTTTGATAATATTTTTTTTTACAAATTATATTTTTTAAATATTAAAAATATTATATATTAAAAATTATTTGATTCAAATAATCGATTACTTGACTATTATCAAATAAATATATTTATTTTGTATCAAATATTTTATTATAATAAAATCTGATTATTAATAATTGTTAATTATTATTAATGATTAACAAAAATTATAATTAATAATTAATAATTAATAATTACTAATTATTATAATTATTATCTGTATCAATTAAATTGTATTTGTTTCAAATACAGAAATTATTGATTCAAATGCAGTTTATTTAATTCAAATTAAAAATTATTTGGCTCATGTAAATATTTATTTAAATATGTTGTAAAAATAATTTTTTAATAATATAGAAAGGGAAAATTGTATATAAAGTGAAAAATAACGTCAATGAGATACGGTTTTTTTTATCTTCTTTTTTTGTAAAGAATTACGATAATCCTAAAAATAATCCTTTTCGTGACTTTTTGATTCCTCTCTGAGACATATAGGTTTTACAATCGCTGAACTCGAAACTTCTCTTTTGAACTTCATACCGGGATATACATTACAGAGGGTGCATCGTATATCCCTTGAATTTCACTTTCTATATATATAAAATTCTTGAATAGAATAAGTATAGGATATCTGTTTTGCTGTGCCCGACATTTTATATGCCATCACATATGTTTTTTTTTTTTTTTTTTTTTGAAAATAAAAGATAATCCATAACATTCGTTTTTTTTTTATAAAAAAAAACTTACGTAAATTGAAAATTATTTAATATTACGCTGTTTATATATTTAATTATAATTAAATTATAAATATAATTCATTTAATTCATGCAGGCGTTTCAAAAATTGTGAAAAACAGAGCAGT